TTATACCTGAGATTCTCGTAGTTTAACTTATATTTTACATAAGCAAGTTACAATAAATAATAGCGAACTTATTTTAGTTCTATTACACCTTTAGTGACTTTCATATGTGGCGTACGTGTGCAAAATAGAGGGATTACGACTGATCCAACTTTTCGGAACGTTATATCTCCAAAATGGTGGCTTTTAGGAAAAAAATTATTAATATATTTTTTGTAGAGAATTTCGTGATCTACAATTTTGTACTGGGGTAATTTTGCGAAAAAACTCACCGTTTCGCTAAAAATCGCAAAAAACTCATTTTTTGACCTTTGACCCCGTGCCAAATTTTTAGCACACCTCGGAACGATGAGGACTTTTGAGATTTTCTTTATAATGATGTTTTGAACAACTATGCCAATATTCAGCTTTATGGGAATTTATGTAACCTTCCTCCTGATTTTAGGCTTAAATAGACCGGACTATAACTTCTTACGCGCGTACATAAGTACACGCACCCTTTTTATTTTTTTATTATATTATTAATTCAATTTAATAACTAGGTAGGTTTCATAACCTTTTAACTAAGTAACAATAGGTCTTTGTGAAAAAGCATTGCTAAATTTCTTTGAAAAATTAAAACTCCTTTATTTGTTTAAAAGGTACTACAAATGTCATTATGGTCATTCAAAATTCTTGGCATAGCTGCTGACGTCACGCATATTCTATTTCTTTTTACATGTAGATTGTCTTATTCCCATCTCGCGCACGCTCGGCGCCCATACTGATAATTTTGTGTCACGGTGCGCGCGCATCGTAAAATTTTACTCTCATAAATTTTTCATTACGCGCCTAAAGAAGTATAACTTCAAAAACCTTAGTAAGCCGGCTGATATTGCCACCGATAGTTGATCTTATATGACTTATTAGTCAGCGAACTGAGCGTTAGCTGCCCTAGATGTGTTTGTGGGAGGTTGCAAAAGTCGTAAAAAAAGCAATAATACGCCAGCTGAAACTTTTTTTTACGAATTGTTAACATCATACATAGCTGGAAAAAAAAATCAGCTGCATTGTGGAAAGGGGGCTATGCGTCAGCTGTTATACATTTTAAAAAAAATTAAGAAAGTTAGAATAAAGTTATAGTACGCCGGATGAAATTTAACTAGATTATTGCTTAATAAAATTTGAAAGTACGAAAATAATAGTCAGCTATGTAGGTAGCGATGGAAAGAGTAAGTAGTAAAGAGCATTGCCACAACGCTATTTCCTTTTAAACACGTATTTCCGAGATAGATCCCCTCAAGTTTGGAGTTAAGGGAACCGTCAAACCATTTTCGAGACAGCCTATCGATTTAACGGTAGAACAAACTATAAGTGGATTCTGCAAATTAAAAAAAATGGGATTAATGCATACTACGAATTTAATTATGGCTCGTCAACGTTGGTATAAAAGGCACAGCATTATACAAGTATTAAATCCGCTCAAACTGGATTGAAAAAGTGTCAGGGGCCTTAGTCAAGATGCCTTAACAGTAGTGTATGTAGAAAGTCGAAAACTTATTAGTTCGTGTCGAAAAGTTTTCATACAAATTTAGTTTTTGACGTTCTACATACACTACTGTTAAGGCATCTTGACTAAGGCCCCAGGACATTACTGCTGATGTCGTATCCCTTGGCTGTGTCACACAGACGGGGTAATTTTTAAAACAGATAAATCAGTTTTACTCAAAATGCTTGAAAATAAACTGATAACAATGCACCACAAAGATGTGACGTACTTATTTTAGTCTAGTCGATAAGTTGAAAATGGTACAAAATAGAGATACTGCTCTTAAAATTATGTGCGATAGCTCATTGGATCCGGAATGACGTCTAGAAAAATGTGCCAAAAGCGTGTATTAGCACATACAAAATTGCAAAAGTTATAAACAATTAATGTTAAAAAAAAATGGCAAATAGAAAAAAAATCATCAATTTTTTATTGTACTTTTAAAAAACACGTGTTACAAAATTTTTTTTCTATACTTTGTTGTATATGGTTGTTTTTGTTAATTTTAGAAGTTTTAGAAAAAAAATAAAAAAAAGTTGACAATTTGTTTAAATAACAAATTGGTAAGTTAATAAACAATAGAATTGTTGATAAAAAATATTTTTTTTTTGTTAATTATTTAAACAGAAATAATAAAAAAATTAAGAATTTTTTTTTTTAAATCATAATATTTGTAGTATTGAAAAATTTTTAAAAAAAATATTGATTTAATCAATTTGTTTATAAAAAAATTATCAACAAATGGCGGGAAAATTTTTTTTTGCAAATCAATAAATATCTTGTATTAATAAAAAAACTATAATATTATGATGATTTAGAAAAAACAATTTTTTTTAACAACACTTGGATTTTTTAGTTTTTGTTTAAGTAAAAAAATTGTTATAAACAAAGTATAAATATTTTTTTTAACTTTTATGGCACGATCTTGTTAAGTATGTATGTAAGAAAGGCTCTACGAAGCGAAAATTTTTTACGACCATTATTTAAACATTTTTTTTCACTTACAATTAAGACGGTAGTTCGAGAAAATTTCGTTAGTTAACAATTGTTTAACTTGTTGAAAAAATAACTTTAAGTAAAATTTCCAACGGGAATAAATTAATTATAGTGTTCAGAACACCATAATTTTTTCAAATTTAAAAAAAAAATTCAATACCTTAAATAAATTAATTAACGTGCCGTACTCGCTTTTGACGCCACGCGCGCATCCTAAAAATGTCACGCGCAGACCTATTTTCAGCGTTAAATTAAAATGATAAATAATGGAGATAGAGTTCCGGGAGTTCGGAGTTTTTTATTGGAAATTTTTGAAGTTCTTAAATATTAATAGTTTATTAAATACTGGCAAAAAACGAAATGCCATTTTTTTTTCATCTTTAATTGTTTATAACTTTTGCAATTTTATATGTGCTAATACACGCTTTTGGCACATTTTTTAGACGTCATTCCGGATCCAATGAGCTATCGCACATAATTTTAAGAGCAGTATCTCTATTTTGTACCATTTTCAACTTGTCGACCATTGATATACAAAAAACCCAAGATGCACAGTCTCGAATAAAAGTAACGCTCGAAAGTGTCCCGAAACACTATTTCTGTCCATAACAGTATATGTTACAAGCATATATTATTGCAAAACCAACCTTACGCGAATTGCTTAAAGTTGTTATTACAACGCAGTGTATACGTACTTAAAGCAATAAAATTTTACGACCGACCGTGGTCGGTAGGACAAGGTATTGAGTGGAGTCGAACATGACTTTTTTATTTACAACTATTTAACATAATTTTAAATTTATACGACTTTTCGGGTGCTTTACAGCGTGAGTGGTCACGGTGACTGAAGACAAAAGGTGTTGGATGTTAAATAGTTGTAAATTTATAATAATACATAACATTAATCCGGTTAAAAAGTTTTTTCTTTAAATTAAAAAAAAATGTTAAATTGGCTACCTCCTGACCCACACTTTATATAGCGTAAATATATTTGTCAAAAACTACACACAAAAAAGTTCAAGAGTACATAAATTTATTTATAAAAAAAACACAAATAAATAACATCGACTCCACTTATAGACGCGAGACTATTTGAAATGAGCGCACAATTTAGAATGTTGCGCTCATTTTTTGAGGACGTTTTTTAGACGTTGATTGTGCATCTTGGGTTTTTGTATATCAATGTTGTCGACTAGACTATTTATGGTGGATTTTTATGTTCCATGCATTTCGAAGAAGCTTATTCAAATCTTTGCAAAACAACCGTGTGTGTACTACTTATGTACACGCGTTAGAAGTTATAGGTACTTTTTTGGCGTAACAAGATAAAAATCTTTTTTAAAAATTTACTGCACTACGAATTTTGTTACAAATATGAATCGCAAAATAAAAAAAGAAGTTTCAAGAACCGTCGATTGTAGTTTATCTGGTCCAGCTCACGAAGAAGCTGATACAAAAATTATATACATATATCCACGTTTGTAAGCTAGATTTCGATGCTTACGTTACGATACGATATGATGCTCAGATATTTGTATTATAATGCTCGGAAATATCAATGCAATTCAAAACGATTTAATTATTACAATGCACATTGGTTCCGGGAATTTCAAAATATTCGTTAATATTACGAAATTAGGAACATATTTCTGATCTGCATTGGTAGGATTTTATGTGCTCACAGGCTGCGATTTTAACCCTATATTTTACCGAAAAGGGATAACAAGCTTTTAGAAGTGTTGCGAAAATCTCAGGCATATAAACTCCTAAGAGCGATTTTCCCACCATGCAAATCGAAGCTACACCAGAATTTAATGCGCACGTCGTACATGGTGCACCTTTAGAACCACGCTCAACTTCAAGATCCTGAAGTTATCTCCTACGTATTGGCAATGGGAGGAAAAAAATTATATTCAAATGGTTCGTGGGAGATAATTAACCCCATCAGTCCATCACCAGACATAACATCGAAAATATTGGCGGTAGGTATGGAATTTTTGACGAGGACACTTTATGTGAGCTGTTTTGTTTTTGGAAATCTTATCTTTTTTCAATGCGTAAGCGTAATAAGACCCCTAAAGAACCGCCATACTGGTACAAATGACCCACTATTTTGTGTCACTATCTCCCGGCCTATGTATTTAAATAATTGTATTTCATTTGTGGAAAGTAAAAAAAACACTTAATGTTATGGCAATAAATTTATTTGCCTATAAATAATGAAGCACAATGAATACAGTTTTAGAGTTACCAAAATTAACAAGTTAACGAAACCCCTTATTCATAAAAAATAATTTAGTTTAATTGCTTTGTTTTACTAGTCTTATTTTTTTATGTGAAATTGTTATTACACTGTGGTGAAAGTGGGCAGATGGGTGCTTTAGTTGAATTGGTGCAATTTGACTGATTCTATTTTTATGAATAAGCAGGACAACCTTTAATGGAATAAAGGTCTTCCAAAATTTCTTCTTCTAGGTACTTAAGTTCTCTGGACATGAATATGAAATTTACATGAAGGCATTGCCTGAACTTCAGCTGTTACAACACTATTGATGCAAAGATTGGCTAACCCACCTCTTATTAATCCACAGGTGTAAGCAACATACTGTAAAAAAAATCTAATTAAAAACTTTATGAAAATAATTATTATTACATAGCTTCAAGTGCAACTTAAATCAAAATAGGTACCATAACAATAAGTATGTTATAAAATGAATTATTATTCTAAATTTAATTTAAACAAATTTTAGTAAATTTGTCGAATCATGGCTCCACCTTAAAACAGCTCCAATTTTTTTCTATCATTCTTTACAACTTGTATGTATGTACCCCAAGTAATTTAAAAATGTAATATTATTGCATGCATCATGTAAATGATGTTGTCTCAGTTCAGTTCCAGTGGCTCCAAGTGAATTACATTAGTAACCTAATGTAGGTAAAATTTGTACCTTCTTTCATTCATTTCACAAATCATGATTTTTTAATTAATTTCTATGGGGTAAAAGAACATGCGCCACCATATTATTGCATGGTACACCATTGCCGGGTGATGAAAATATGTAGAATAAAATTTGAAGCTGTATAAGCCATGATACAACAAATTTACCTAAATTTTCTCATAAAATAATTATAATATGTGTATAAACACATATTATTTATTTAAGGTACCTAATTTTGAAAAGTGGCATATACTACAAAATAGAACTAGAGAACATAATATATTAACATCTAATTGGAAAGTTATGAGTAGGCAAAAGATTAAGATTTATTTACCCTAGGTGCAAATTCTAAGTACTGCTGTCCATTAGAGAAGTTTGTAAGGAAACGAAATGCATTATCTTGTAATACATATACTCCCTGGTGATTGGTCCGTAAATTATCTATCTGCTTCTTATAAATACATGTCCAAAAGTCGGTACAGATGAACTTCATTGTGTCTAATTCATCTTTAAATCTTGGCCATTCTCTGGTTAGTCTTTCCATAATTTTATATCCTGCAGCAAAGCCGATATACTCCACAACAGATAAATCTGTGTCCTTGAAATAAAGTAGTAAAATGTTTTATTGTTAACCTATATTCAATATTAACCTAGACATAGCTAATGATTTACCTTAGTCTTAGTAACATCCTTAACTTGTTCTAAAGCATAATTTATAATTTCCGAATGTAGTAGTTCAAATACAATATCGTCTGCCATTGAATTATTTAAACTTTCTATAGAATCTAGATAAATAGATATTTATTATCTAGAAATAAAGGTATTTTATGCAGTTCTACTTAAACTTAAAACTGTTTATAATGAAAAAAACAGTACCAAGTACCAGCTTGTACCCCTTAACATAATAATAAAGTCTTTAGTCTTCACTCTTCACTCTTCGGTGACTGTCTGGCCGTGGCCAAATAATAAATATTATGTCTGCAATTGTCATATGTCATTATTTTGACAAAAACATAGATATAGTTCCTAAAGATGGAGCCTTTGCGTGGCCAATGATGTTTTTGGTGAAGGACGAGATCTTTGATTTACGCGTAGAGAGCACGCTAAAATAAGAAAGAGATATGTTAATCCTTTACTTTCTAATAACATACTAATGTGTAATAATACTTGTCTATTCTATAAAATCAGAAGGAGTTTAGGAGTATAATATATAACTACGATAAATGTTTAGATCGGATCACATATAGATTAGGGAAAATAAAACAAATAATATTGGTACGAGCTTGTGGTAGCTGTTTGCTAGGTACTATCAAGTATCAAGTCGCATGAGAGTTGAGACCCGTCACCCGAACATAAATTTTCGGATTTCACTCGTGGGCGGCTAGTTATTGATCTTATTCTTAGCGTTCCATGTAGTTCTGTACTGTTTTAAGCCCCCATCTATAAATACTTTATCTAAGGTAACCCGTCTCTAGTTTGTGGCTCGGTGCTGTGCTCAGTGGCCAGTGCTACCAATAAAAAAAAGTTGTTATCGAATCACGAATGTCGTCTAGCGAACATGGCGGATCGTCATATACAATTGTGTTGTGCTAGTCTCGACATTTCTTGGAGAATTAATATTCTATTCTGAAGTCGATAGTAAATTTTCGTCGAGTCTTATTGTGAGTGAATTGTTATTGATTACATAAAAACGGCTCATAATTTTCAATAAAAATATATAAATGGAAGTAAATAACTTTGCCGAATTAAAAGATGGCGATTCAACACGGTCTCTCGTGTTAATAGAAGCGCCATCTATAATAGCAATTACGAAGCCGAAGTCGGATGGAAATATTAAAAAAAAGCGTCGTCGCGGCAAAACAAAGCGAAAAATTATTAAACCGTATTTAAAGATCTCTTGGCAAGAAAGAAGAAAAAATGAAGTGAGGAACAACTCTAAAAGAAACAATCGATTTCGTAAAATCGTTTTAGCTAAAACTCAAGCGCCTTTTAACAACAATCAATTTTTGATGGAAATTCATAAACCTGAACCAGAAAATAATATCTTTAGGACACCTTCAGCCAGAACGCGTGATTCAAGTTTCAGTATTGATTCTGAAGATAATAATTATTTTTTTCCTTTACCTGAGGATGAAGAAGAATATTTGACGAAAGAGTTTTCTAGTGTTTATGAAGACGCACAATGTGAACGTTTGTCTAACATGTCTAAAAATGAACTAATTGAAGAATATCTTCTATTGGAAGCAAAGTATGACACTCTTGTTAAAAGAGCGGAACGATATAAACCAAAAGACTATGAAGAAGGCAAAAATGTAGCTGTTGCTGACAAAGATTTAAATTCTGATTCTTTGAATTCAATAAATGAAAGTGATAATTCAAATACAGATAATATTAATATAGGAGACAAACAGGCTTTGTCAGACATTTTGCAACAGCTTAAAGAACAGGAAGAGCAAATTAGGGAACTTCAACTAGCAAATGAGCAGTTGAAAGTTCAAAATGAACACTTACAACAAAACAATCAAACTATGAGTGAAGATTCTGAAAGTGATAGTTCTTCCAGCTCAGACAGTTGCAGTACTTCAAGCAGTAACTCAAGTCCTATTCATGAACCAGATGTGGTTACCAATGATAATCTACCTAACCAAGTGAATGGAATCGAAGATTCTAACATTGTCGAGAATGGACACAACCATGTGAATGGTTTTCATTCACCAACAGAATAAATATAAGTTTAATTCAATGTTTGTACATTATTGTATGTACTGCAATAAAACAGTGTAAGTAAAGAATTTTTTTTAAGTTGTGATTAAGTGCTATTAATTTCTTGAGCTCCATTTTGTCAAATTTACTGATGTTGTTTTGCAAATTTTTTACTGTGCAAGTCAAAATTAGTATTGTGTAGACATGCCAATTTTACCATATAGTATGTTTAAAAATTTATATTTTAAACTTACAAAATTAATTTGACTCAACATATAAAAGAAAAATTATTGCTGACTTATAGATCCAATAAGAAACCAGTGAATTACTGCAAATAATTCAGCCCGAGTTGTATGGGTGCAAAGTTGGTGTTTAGGTTAGGGCATATAAAAACCACAACAAACAAGCTATTAATATTTTATTATATAAAATTTGAGTTAACAATAATAATAGACATATAATTAATTATTATACACTTTATCAGAATAAATATTGCTGGTATTATATGAGATAACAATAAGTAACAAAATCATACACTTGCTTTAGATGTTTCCTGTTTTATAAGAATATATTTTGTATATTAAAGAACAGACATTAAAAATTATAAGTTTTAATCATGAAAGAACAAGCAGGCAATATTATTATAACTTTTCAGGGATAATTCTGTTGAACATAATATTTTTGTGTTAGTTGGGTTCTCAAGAGTTTAATGGTATAATTATATTGATGCCTACCAAAATTGCTTACCACTTGCATATTTTTTAAAACTAAATGAAACCGTTTAAAAAATTGGAAAGTTTAATGATCATAAAAATATAATTGTGAGATCTCACACTAGATTAAGAAAAAAAATCTGTGATATAAATTTGGGCGACTACTAATATTCATTCATTCATACATTCATGACTTGCTTGCTATATGAATATTATGTTTTAGTTTCAATCATGGTGTGATTTTACATATATTCACCTAAAACTTTGTGATGTTCAACAAAAATTGATCTCACCATTATATTTATTGAATTTAAATGTAAAACAATGTTTATTGGTGAAAAATATTGTTAGAAACTGTGCCAACTAAATCATGCTTAATTTAGAGCAAATATTTTTTGCCTGTAACCATAATTTATTTATAAAGTTTTTTATTGAATTAAAAAAAGCAATGTTATGTTGGAGGTATACTATTTTCTAAGTCAAAGCACAATCTATGTTAAGTATGTGTGCAACACATTATTATTTACTCCTTTGTTGGCATAATATATTTAATATGTCTATTGTCTATGTTAGATTCAATGATAGTGTGTATGTATTCATATAAAATCAATATATGACTTCCATACTTTTTATTATCTTATCAATATAATATAATATGCACTATAAAATAATATGCACTCTGCATATTAGTTTAACAGCAGATTTTTTTATTTCATTTATAAGTTCATAGATTATGATACATAAGGAGTCACTTAGAACTATTTTAAATTTTTTATATTCCAAATTTTGATTAATTTTCAAACATTAGTAGTCATAAAGTTTAATATTTTATGTAATATGAATGCACCTAGTGTTACATATTAATATAAAATATAAATATTGTATTAGAATTTAGATTTAAAGTTACATCTGTGAATTTAGAAATACATGACATAGTAATATATAAAATATATCTTGTTTCATTAATTTTTATCAATGGACATGTTAGATTTCTTTTTTACCTTTGACTCTGGTGCATGTGGGTTAGTGCCTTTATAAAATTGTTTCAATAATTCCATAGCTTCAATTGGCAAGATGTTACCAGTTAATTTAAATCCTTCCGTGTAAATTTTGTTTACATCTAAGACTGTACTTCCTCCAAATCTGTCATTTGGACAACCAAAAAAAACTTCTTTTATGTATAACTTCTTTAAAGCTGCTGCACACATAATACATGGTTCCACAGTTACATAAACAACAATGTCTTTAAAAAAATTAATTTGGTCAAAGTTATGTCTTTGACAATAGCTTAAGACTTCATCTATACAATTAATTTCAGCATGCCTAGTAGGGTTACGAGTTTCATTAACTTTGTTTCTAGATTTTGCCACTTTTATTCCACCTTTTACAAAAACACATCCAACTGGAACTTCATTGGCCTGTAAAGCTTCTTTAGCTAGATCGAGTGCTTCTTTCATAAACTCCATAATTTAAATGGTTAATTATATTGAGTAGTTCTATAACAATATAAATTATAATAGCATCAAAATCTTTCAAAGTTTATTTTTAGTGTGTCTCGACTCTCGAGGCTACAAAGTCGCGGACACGACATGCAATCGACTACGCACTGGGTAATAACTAATAACATTATAACAGTACTCGCCCTACTCGGTAGCTATTAGTATCAAAGACAATGAAAGTAAAGTTCTTTGATTGCCTTTGCTAGTATGCACTATCTACTATAATATTATGATATGCCGTAATCTGAACTCTGCTGAAGCATCGTAACCTCTCCGTTTTTTTATTATTTTTGGTACACACTACACGTGACGAGCTAAATGCCAAAGGTCGCGGGGGGCGAGGCGAGAGTGTCAACTGTCAACATAGCACAATCGCGAGTCGCGCAGCGCTTACTCACTGCTCACTTAACAGTTTTTTTTTAATGGCTCTGGCACGATTTGTGCATTAGCCAGCGTCAAGTATAGGATTTTTTATAATTCGTGCTTGTCTTTACAAATTCGACCGTGTCCTCCATGTACGGTTTAAGCACTCGCCCGGTAACGCACAACCCTCCCAAAGGCCGAGAACAAAATTAAATTAAAACTTGCCCTCGAACCGGGCATCGAACCCGGTACCCCTCACCTAGCTGCCACTTAATAAGACCGCTAGGCTATAAGGCCCCCCACTTAACAGTTATGAGATTGAGGTAACACTAACGTGTTACCAACTCTACCAACTTTTAGGTAGATCTACCAACTTTTAGGATTTTTCTCAAATCTACTACCTTATAAAAAAATGCACCAACTTTTTTTTATAAAAAATTTTAATTTAATTTTTATATTTTTATATTGTTTAATTTTCTTTTATGCACACAATAAGTTAAAAACAGCGCGCTTTTGCGTTCTTGACAGTTGAAATATATCGATATACATCAGCCAATAAGAAACCTCGGCTTATTGCGAGTTTCGACTAATGACTCAAGACTCTCATGAACTTACTATGTTATTAAATAAAGTATTTTGGTACTATCAGTCTATCTAACATTAAAAAATAAAATGATTAGTAATGAATGTGAAAATGAAGAAAATTCTCCTCCACGAAAATTGAGGAAAATTCATTATGATCAAAAATATTCAAAATTCTGGGAACAAGAACCAGAATATGCAGGTTGGATTAAGCATTTCAGTTTCCGGCCCCCATTGTCAAGTAAATTATGTTAGATTGATCACTTCAATCCATAACATGCTTTGATTTTTTTATGAGTATTGTCCATTTTTTAGTTAATATTCATTTTTTTACTTTAATACTATTAGAGATTGCTTTTTACGAAAAAAATAATTAAAGGTATCACATCTTAGGGTAGGATTTTATATAAAACTCGAAATTATAGTTGGTAGATCTACCTACTTTTCGAATAGAAGATGGTTGGAAACTACCAACTTTTGAAATTGTATCTACCTACTCGATAAAATTGGAGTTGGTAACACTGCTAAGTGCTAGTTCACTAAACAGTAATAGTTTATAGTATACACTTTGTAGTTTGTCGTTTGCTACTGCACTGTAAGGACGCTCGTGTTTTTTTATCATGAAGTGAAGTAACGATATGTGTATGGCTTTTATAGAGTTGTATCAATGATTAAAATAAATATTTAAATACAGAAGCTGAACACTAAAAAAACATAATTATAGGCATATTATAGGCTTGAATTAAATTATATTTATACTGCAATGATAAGATGTTTTTTTGTATTTGTGATATAAACGCAAGGTGTTATAATATTGGTGGGCACATAAAGTAGCTAACGCAGTCATTTCAATCGCGTCCATCTTGTCTATAGATGTAGCGAGTAAATATATAAAAAATATAGCGATAGTGTAGAATGTAGATCACACTTCGTGCAGCCTCAAGTAGCCAATATTCGTGGCGAGGCGGATCGCGAGTGGCGAGAGTCTGTAGCAGTCAGCACTCGGCAGGCAGCAGACTTTAGAAATTTGGCTTAACACTATAGAACCCTGTGATAGTATCTCGAAGAAAAATAAAAACAAAAATAATATTACATTTTGCGCACAAAATAATATTACTGTATTTTCGTATAAAATACTAATTATAAACTGATTAATCAACATATTACAATATATTATTTCATTTAATATTTTATGAGCGTACCGAAATATATTTGTATGTTAAACATTATCTCAGAGAAGTTTAAGGGGTCTCAACGGTTCAATCTCATATCAATTATTTATTGTTATTAATCAGAGGATGAGTGATACCGACAAGATAGTTTCAGCTTTTTTCGCATCTCCGCAAAGTTATCGATCTGAAGAGGTTGAAGATAACGACGATGACATTTGTGAGGAATTTTTAAAAATAATAGGTGACTACAATGAATCTCTTAAAAACATCAAACTGCCAGAAACAGTTACACATGTATACAATCCTACCATCTATGCTAGAGATACTTTTGAAATGTATATTAGAAAATATTGTTGTACAAAAAAGAAGATAATGTTCTTTGGTATGAATCCTGGTCCATGGGGAATGTCACAAACAGGAGTATGTGAATTCTTTTATATTTTTTAAACATTATATTTTCTTAAAATGTTTCAGTTATATAACATTAAGTTACATAATAATATCATAGTTATATGATTTTTTGTAATTTAAAGTAAATAAACAGGTACATACTTCTTATTAAACATCTATTTGATTTTGTATTATCCAACAATAATTAAACTTGTAGGTACCCTTTGGAGAAATATCCTCAGTCCGTGATTGGCTTGGTATTGAAGGGTGTGTTGGAAAGCCCTTAGAGGAAAATGCTGCTCGCCCAGTTAGGGGTTTTGATTGTACTAGGACAGAGGTATCCTTTATCATTTTTATTTAATATGAAGAAAAAAAACATTGTTGCTATATTATATTAATAATTTCATATTTTTTATTGCAAATTGAAATAAAACTCGGTCAGTACTCAATGAACTCAGTTCTCATGTGAATTCTTGAAAGATTTGAAAGCTTTAATGTAATTGTAATTGCAGGTCAGTGGCAAAAGATTTTGGGGTCTATTCAAAAAATTGTGTGGTTTTCCAGAAGTTTTTTTTGAGACAAGTCTTGTCTATAACTATATTAATCAACAGTGGATGAACAGCAAAGGATGCAATATTACACCAGCTGATTTCAAAGTAAAATATTTTATGTTATATTTAACTTGATAGGTATATTATCAATAGTAATATTATAAAATACTTTATAATCTTTAAACCCCAACAATACACTATAAATATAGTACCAAAGAGATGGTTATAATTTGACCATTAAATAGTAATGAGGGAAACATGGCCTTGTTGCTGTCAAACAATCTCTTCCAGGCAAATAAAGTAAGAAAACATAATATTACATAGTGCAAGAAACTTGGTACTTTTAAACATAAAAACATATAATCTTAACTTGTTATTATTATGTTTAATAGAAAGTGTAAGATGCATGATAATGATATAGAAATAACTATTACATACTAAAACATTTCAGTTTAAGAGATAAAATATTAATATTATTTTTTTCTAGATGTCACAAATGGAATCTCTTTATAATATTGGAGATCTTGTATTTGCAAATGTATTGAGACTGTATGGAGTTGAAACTGTTGTTGCTATAGGAAGGTTCTGTTTAGTAAGAGCACAGAAGGCTATTTCACAGTATATTCTGCTTAAAAATGTTAAGGTATCTGTCCCGATATTGATTAGAGTGAGAATGAACATATGTTGTACCTTAACAGGCCCCCTTCTGTGGCTGTAAATTTGAGAGAAACAAATAACTTTCATTATAATCTATATATATCTAAACCCAGAATCCAGTCAGCTAGTGGTGTTTTACAAATAGTGTACCCTTCAGGCCCTGTTATAACCATAACCTAGCAGTAACTAATTAAAATAAAATATTTCCAGGTTATCTACTTACCCCACCCTAGCCCAAGAGTTGTAAACAATAATGATTGGGAGGAGAGAGCAATATCATGCTTAAGAAATAACAACTTATTACAGTATTACTGCAATGAAGACTTGCCAGTACTCCAACAAAAAACTTAAATTAATCTCAATCTCAATATTCAAAACTAATATAAAATATTTAAAAAAAAACAAAATTACTAAGGAGTCTATTAAAATTGTAATACAATCTTATCGTTGTAATTTTTTATATAAAATTACAAATATAAATTATCTTAACATAAATGCCTAATGATTAAATATTTAAAATATGTATAAATAAGGTATATTTTTAAGTAACTCCTAAAGATTGAAATAATTGAATCTCATTTTATTTACAATAATTGTCTAGTCATTTAGAATTTCTAAAACCTATAGTTTTATATTTGTTTGTTCCACCTCTGTCAATGCTACTTCTTCAAAAAGGCTTGACCAACAAAAGACAATTTTAAAACTCATTAAAAAAGTGTCTCTTTAAAATTTTGTGAGCCAACTGGCATTGTGTCTCTGAGCATATTGATAATATAGAATAAGAATTATTTGTACATGCAGTTTTATATTGTACTTTTGAAATTAAAGTTTCCTTAATTTATATAACGTATTTTAATTAAGTACGTAACTTCATATCTTTCGTATTTTTTACCCTTATAGAAACGATAATTCGTAACTATTTATTTGTATAAATGTGCATTTGCATGTACAAAGGTACTTTAATCCCTTATTGTATCAATCTTTGGTAAAATGATAAAGATATTTTTTAAATTTAATTTTTATTATTTATTAACACTTCGTTGCACGAAATGCAGTACATTTTAAACATTGAGGAGACTCAGTTATTTACCCTGGCTACATCACACCTCTCCTACCCGGGGTACATATTGGAAGTTGGAACATTCCTCTTTGCCGCGATCGTGCGTACTGCGTACGTCAGGATGTCTGTTTTCGTCTGATTAATGGGCATGACTGGGACCCATTTACGTGTAATAGGCGCAAAAGGCTAAGGCTGGGGATACACATGCCAGTAAATCGGGAAAGTAGATGGTATGAAAGTTACTGGCATGTACGAGTAACTGGCACACTGCGGATACATTTGCAAGTAATACTGGCATGCATACTGTGCCCTTGCATGCCAGTATTACCATCGCGTATACACAGGACAGTTCGTGAGAGTATTTCGTACCTACCTATTCTTGCGCGCTAAACATGGATAACAATCGAAGTGAATTAAACAAAATTGTGATGTTACTAGCAATTGAATGTGTAGCTAAATTAATGAGAGATAAAAAGAAAAAACGAAGACGGGTTTGGGTAAGAGATTCACACAACGAGTCGGTTACTGGCATGCCCGTAGCTGTCGCGTCTGTTCACACGTGCCAGGTTAGGAGTCCCCCCGCGCCCCTCCCTCAACGGGCATGCAAGAAAATCAAATGTTGTGCTAGCTACTTGCAACTAGCTAGCTTCCAGTTACTGGCATGCCAGTTAGTGAATACACATGACTGTAGCTGGCTCTTGCAAGGAGCTGGTATGCTAGTGTGCAAGCTACGGGCATGTGTATCCCCAGCTTAACTATGTAGTTGCATATTTAAAGGAAAATTATCAACGAAAACATGCGACCTAAGGTCAACAACACCCATAAAGGGTTGTAGCACTCCCGGATTATTCTTACATACATAAATTACATTATTAATACAGTACAGTCACATATTAATATTCATATATATATATACAACAGTACAGTCATATATATATATATATATGACTGTACTGTTCATATCCCACTGGGGCTAGAGGAACTAATATAATTATGCAAAGAATTGTTAATTGAAAATCCCGTGCTTATTTTTCTTGCTTAATGCACAATAGACGGCACACAGACCACTTTTAAGTTTTAAATACTAACGCACAAAGATAGTAGATACTATTATGATAAATGTGACCCAGCCGTAGATAGAGTATAGAACTAGATGAGCTTCTTTTTTCAATTTTTTGATTATCATGAATATTACTTTAAAAAAAAATTTTTTTTTGTTACTTTATAGAGGACTGTCAATTATGATTTTTAGAAAAAAATTTATTTCTTAACTAATCATTTAAACAATAAAAATATAAAAAAACGATTATAAACAATTAAAAATTGTTATTAAGGAAATTTTTTTTTAAATCATAATATTTGTAATGTAATAAAGTTGTGAAAAAGTTTTTTTTTTAAACTATTGATTTAATCAATTTGTTTATTGATTTTTTGAATTATAATCAACAAATGGCAGGAATTTTTTTTTTTGCAAATCAATAAATATCTTGTATTAATAAAAAACGATACTATGATGATTTAGAAAAAACTAATTTTTTTAATAACATTACTTGTATTTTAGTTTTGGTTTAAGTAAAAAAATTGTTATAAACAAAGTATAAATATTTTTTTAACTTTTATGGCACGATCTTGTTAAGTATGTATGTAAGAAAGGCTCTACGAAGCGAAAATTTTTTACGACCATTATTTAAACATTTTTTTTCACTTACAATTAAGACGGTAGTTCGAGAAAATTTCGTTAGTTAACAATTGTTTAACTTGTTGAAAAATTAACTTTAAGTAAAATTTCCAACGGGAATAAATTAATTATAGTGTTCAGAACACACCATAATTTTTTCAAATTAAAAAAAAAATTCAATACCTTAAATAAATAAATTAATTAATGTGCCGTACTCGCTTTTGACGCCATGCGCGCATCCTAAAAATGTCTCGCGCAGACCTATTTTCAGCGTTAAATTAAAATTATAAATAATGGAGAAAGAGTTCCGGGAGTTAAGTGTTTTTTATTGGAAATTTCCTCCTCTCTTCAGAATCTTAAATATTAATAGTTTATTAAATATTGGCAAAAAACGAAATGCCAGTTTTTTTCATCTTTAAGTGTTTATAACTTTTGCAATTTTTTATGTGCTAATACGCACGTACGTGCTACACGCACATTTTTCTAGACGTCATTCAAACTCAAACTCAAACTCAAAATATCTTTATTCAAGTAGGTAACCAAGTACACTTTTGAATCGTCAAGTTAAATTAATCGTAAATTTACATTTACTACCAGTTCGCAAGTCAAGGGCGTAGAGCGGGTAAGAAGAACTGGCAAGAAACTTTCCGCCACTCTTTTTAATCGCCAAGTATTGTCATACAAATTGTTTGAACTGGAGCAATTCAATCCCAAGGATTAGGATCATTTAAGTAGTCCTCAAATTTATAAAAAGCTTTGTTGATTAATTTTCGTTTAACGAGGGCTTTGAATTTATTTAGTGATAATTCTCTAATTTCGCTTGGGAGCTTGTTGTAAAAACGAATACAATTTCCATATAAGGAGTGGTTTATCTTTTGGAGCCTGGTTGGTCGTACACTCAAATTAGTTCTATTTCGCGTATTATACTGGTGAAAGTCACCATTTGTTTTAAAATCGTTTATATTTTTTTGGACATACAACAAGGCTTCAAGAATATATTGACCAGATAGTGTCATAATATTTAATTCCTTAAACTTATTCCGTACCGACTCCCTCGGAGAAACACAACAAATACCCCGAACAGCCCGCTTCTGCAGCACAAATATGGATTGAACCTCTGCAGCAGCACCCCACAGTAAAATGCCGTACGACATAACGCTATGAAAGTAGCTATGGTACACAATTTTAGCCGTGTCCTCATCAGTAAACTGTCGGATTTTCTTTACTGCATATGCTGCAGAGCTCAGCCTATTCGAAAGAGTCTCTATGTGTGGGCCCCATTGGAGTTTACTATCTATTGTTATGCCTAGAAAAACAGTTTTGTCAACAAAGTTTAGTTCACTGTCCTTAATTTTCAGGTTACCAATATCTCGCTTTACGCTAGTAGTTGTAAATCTAATAGATTTTGTTTTATTCTCATTAAGCAATAAGTTATTTACATTAAACCAGTTAACTATACGAGAGATAGAATTGTTTACATCGTCCAATAATACGTTATTCCTATTCACTTTAAATAGAAGTGAAGTGTCATCAGCAAACAATACCATCTCATGAACTTCGTTGACAAAGAATGGGAGGTCATTTATGTAAATCAGAAATAAGAAAGGCCCGAGAATCGATCCTTGGGGGACGCCCATTGATACCTGCGAACCCGGAGAGGTGACTCCATTGACATGAACTCTTTGGATCCTTCCCTTTAAATATGAATTCATCAGGCTGGAAGCTTTGCCATCAACGCCATAGTGTTGAAGCTTTCCAACGAGTATATCAGGATGAACACAGTCAAAGGCCTTTGACAGGTCACAAAAGACGCCGACTCCATCATATGATTCTTCCCAGGCGTTAAATATGTCCGAAATCAACTTCACACCGGCATCGATTGTGGAGCGACCCTTAGTGAAACCATACTGTTTATTATGTAAGAGTTTATTTTTATTAAAATGTAAAGAAAGCTGGTCTAGCATTATCTTTTCAAAAACTTTGCTCAACGCAGGGAGCACGGAAACAGGTCTGAAGTTTGACGGATCAGACTCACTACCGGCCTTGAACAACGGTGTAATCTTACTTAATTTCATTTCGTCCGGAAAGACTCCACAATCGATACATCTGTTAAAAATTATAGACAATTCAGAGCTTATTACATTAATAACGGAATTTAAAATGACTGTTGACATACCCCATATATCTTTACTTTTTTTTAAATTAATAAGCTTAAAAGTTTTAACGATATCATTACAAGTTATATGTTTAAACTGAAATTTAATATTACATTCAGGTACACATTTTTCTAGCAATGAGATCGCAGCAGCAGGTGAAGAATCTAGGGACTTGGTCGTATTTAGTGGTACATTTGTAAAGAACTCTTCAAAAGAAGAAGCTACCTCTGGGTCAGATTTTATTAACTTCCCTTTAACTTTTAACATATAATCAGTTCGTTTGTCAGACGTTTTACCTGATTCTTCATTTATTATTTTCCAGGTAGCTTTTACTTTATCCATGCTATTTTTTATTTTTGAACTTAAATATTGAGACTTTGCAGTTTTGCAATCTTTTTTGAAATTATTTGAATACAACCTAACATATTCCCTAAATTCCACACTAGTGTTATATTGCATTTCGTCATAGATTTCATATAATTTTAACCTTTTCCTGTGTAACTCCTCATTTGCCCATTCCGGATCCAATGAGCTATCACACATAATTTTAAGAGCAGTATCTCTATTTTGAACCATTTTCAACTTGTCGACTAGACTATTTATTTGTTTACCACCGAGCCCTTGGTGGTAAACAAGTTTTCACCGCTTACTGATAAATCTGTGAAACCCAAGTCAAACCAATATTTTAAGCTTTTATCCTTATAAGAGGTGTATTTAAAGTGTCAGTCATTGTGAATTGATCCATAATTGGCTGTAAAAGCTATAGTGAACGTAAAGAACCAAACATAACCTTTCATCGGTAAGTAGCATACGACATAATATGTCGATCATTCGCTATCTCACACGCTGTACGCTGATGCCTGGTCTCGTCTATACCATAGTCCGTCTACGGACCCAGCAGTATTACCGGGTCCCGGGATAGTGCATATTGACTAACAACGACATTTCATAATGGCAATTGACACTTGCTTGATGTTTCTAAAATGTGTATGTATTTGTTTTGGTAAGAACCGCTTTACGTTAGATTCTAGAATAGAATAAAAAAATAAAATATTTCCTGATTTCTATGTCTCAAATTCTCAATGAGATAATTAACACTATTATTTTCCCTATCTATTAATTACTCTAATAGTAGGATAAGAGAAACTGCTAGACGACTGTAATGGTGATGTAATGCATCATTGCATTTATGATTCAACATTCATATTATATTGAACAGTTGTAAAATTCTGTAGTAAAGTGGCAGTTGCTCCGTTTTGCAGTTAAAGTAAACTTTTTGGGCAGCATGTCTCTAAAACCAAGTGAAGATTTGGTACGAAGTTTAACATCCAATGTAACTGTTCCTCTTATTTTTCGAAATTTTGTAAACAATTGGGCTATATGTCAGTGGAATCTAGAGAAATGGATTCAAGTTTTTGGAGATAAAGAGTTGCCGTTTCGTTGTATGAGGAAGGACTTTATATCAGACGAACCTTGTTGGGAAAGAAAATGCAAGATGAAGAAAATGACTTTTAAGGCTTTTGTTGAAAACTTAGCAAATACTTCTGAGTGGATGTATTTCGACTATAAATATCTGCATCAGTGGTTTGATGGAGATAGCGAATTGTCTAAGGTATATGTTTACGTTATTATGGGATTTTTCAAAACTTAGTGTGATCTCTGCACTTACATGCACATTTGGTCCGTTGTATTAAGTTATGTTTACGAAACATTAATTAGTTAAAGTAAAGTAAAAAATAGTAATTAATAACTAAGAAAATGTTTCAATTTTTAAGGAACTAAACTGGAAGCAGTTTGGTTATGATAAGGGGCCTGCAGACACAACCCTTTGGGTGGGCAGTGATGGTTCTCACACTCCAGCACATCAAGACACATATGGTTACAATATTATAGCACAAGTTCATGGAAAGTTAGTAATAAAATACCTAAACTAAATATTACTTAACTTAGAATCTTTTTTTTAAATTTCACTGTGTCAGACTAAATTAATGATATACATGATCTATATATTATTTGTAACAGGACATTTTAATATAAAGATGTTTATGGATTTTAAAATTTCAGAAAACAATGGATACTGTTTCCTCCTGAATCTGGAGGATTGAAGCCAACTAGAGTTCCATATGAAGAATCAAGTGTATATAGTGAATTAAATTTTTATTGTCCCCATAATTTGGAGCCATTTAATGGTATGCAGATTTGTAACTTCAATAATAATTTGATCTGCTTAAATATTTTATGAGCACATTACATTTAGGTTCACACAAAACTTTTTTTATACTTTAATATTAAAAAGAGTATGTTTTTTAAGGTTTGACTGGTGGCCGTACTGTTGTACTTTCGGCTGGTGATGCTCTTTTAGTTCCAAGAGGCTGGTGGCATTATGTTCAAAATATTGACCCTGTTAACATTACCCTAAATATGTGGCTTCCCCATGTAAGTTAATTTCAATAATTTATTGTCAAAATAACAATATTAAGGCAGTAGTGGATTCACATAATGATTAGTTGTTTTGTTATACCAATTTTATTTTCTATGTGATATTCCAAAAGCTTAGAAGATGGCTTCTGACATGTTGGTCAAATTGTTGTGTGTGAATTAGTCTTTTAAAGTTTTATAATTGTTTAAATATTGTTTCGTGATTTATATACCAAAACAACAATTGAAAAGTAACTTCTTACCTATAATCAAAATATTGCAAATGTATAAGATATAAGTATATCTGCCTTATGCCACATTACGGTTACAAGGTACACAACTTTATGCACAATATGTTTTAAATATTATTATTTTTTTTATAATATTTCAAATAATGTAAAAATATATTCAGTTTGTTATATTAGCTATGACCGATACAGATAATAAGTCTAGAACTTTATTCTTCAGGAAAGAGATCCATCAGCACATGTATCAGAGGCTCTTATAAAAATATTTATTGCCCAGATGTGTAAAGATTTGCCTCTTGAGACTGCTAAAATGCTTGTCAATCCAAATGAGGTAATTTTTTTAAATCTTAGCTTGCTGTCTCCATGTTATCCATACCTTGTTGGCATTGTTACCCAGCTCAGTTTGGTTTTGGCAATGTTCAAGTTTGTTATACAAGTTTATATACTAGATATCCTAAAGTGATTATTAGAATTTATTAGAGATGAGTAGAGTATTCAATATACATATATCACGTATCTTGGCAGGAAATCAGAAATTATATGACCACAGTCTACACAACAAAACAAAGGAATAATGCCACTAAATAATTTTTGAACCTGTTATGATATTTTTCTGCAAAGTGTTACACTTGAGTATCCACAAATGCAACATACAAAATGAAACGCAGTGATCTATGGTTGTATTTAAAACTAAAACAGCCATACATTAATTCAAATAGTCGTTCTGTTAGTAACTGACACGTATCGAGCATGCAAAGTGTTGTTTGTTATATTTGAATCTAGCGAAGTTTCACCACTACAAGTAACTTTTGCTGTACCTAACATTTATGAGTCGTTCATTTTTATTAAGTGTGAAATGATATGCAGGTGCATTATTGCTGCAATGTTTTATGCCAATAATTAGTCATCGCTTTAATTAGTTTTAATTTAGCTATGAGTGTGGTCAGGGATGAGTAGGTTATTAATATTTTCTAGTGTTTTAGCTTTGTTCCTCGCTTTTTATATTTTTTCTGCGTTTGCTTCAAGTTTGCGGATCTCAATACAAAAATAGTGCTTTCGTTATACGACTTAATAATGTTTATTTCTGTGTGTCTACTTTGCTTTTAAATACATATTTAATTGTTTTTAATCTTAATATATATATTTCTTCTGTGCGTGTGTATGTGACTGAACTCCTCTCAAACGACTGGACCGATTTTGATGAAATTTTTTGTGTGTGTCCAAGGGGATCTGGGAATGGTTTAGATTCACAAATCAGCCCGGCAGATGGCACTGCAGTCGGTACTTTCATACTTTGCTTAATATCCTAATCGCTTTAAATATCATGCAGGACAACGTCTGTGGGGTCCACTAGTATCACCTAAAATCAATGAAAAGTTATTTGGAGTTGTTTATTGACCATTAACGTAATTTATTTAATAATTATTTTTATATATATATATATTACCATAAAAAGAATACTAATATGGCACACTATGCTTTCGTTTTATTTAACATTTTTAAAGTTGCCCTGTTATATCATTTGGTAACATTAAACGTCTTTCAGGATGACATAGTAGACACACCACTCGCAGTGCTGTTTCTTCAACTAGAAACTGTAGCGAACACATATATGGATAAAAGGAGACGGGTTAGACGCGTAAAACGGCAGAAAACACGTGAGAGTGACACAGATTTACCAGAAACAGAGGAATTTGATCTCAAAGCGCTGGTCGAAAACCCGGAAAATAAATTGGAAATCGCCTCAACCATCTCCAATACTGAGCTGATTAACATGTTGAAGGGGAATCTCAAAAAGTATGCGAATACAGAGAGAGTGTTGGATGATGACGAAATAGACGGTGCTACAAGTAGCCTTTGTTTGACAAAGGCAGTGATTGATGCCTTCAGTCAAAATAATGTTATTGATCTTGTTAAACACAATCTTTTGGCTTCCCTTAGCTAGTAGTTAGATCAACGCTGGTTTTTTACCATAGATATTTAATTCTTGAAGTATGGAGCGCTTTCAACTTGCAATAATGATATTGTGATAAGTACTAAGTACATATATAAGTAAGATATAGAATAATTTAATAAATAAATACGGCAAAAAATTATACTATCTTTAATTTCAAGCGATCGCTTGTTAGTGAAAATTCCGCTCATTGTCGTCCTAATTCTTGAGGTGTTCTCCTGTTTTTGTAATGCGTGTTAAATTATCTGGGCAGAGGCAGAAGTTAGCAATTCAAACACCTTTACCTTTATTCACAATTATGTTCTACCCTCGTAAATTTCCTGATCAGGAAATTGAATTTTGGACCTTGTTTTAACTGTCGTTAGTAAGAAAACCGAAGAATTTCATAACATCTAGTTGACTATTTAACATCGAATCATATAAAAATTAATAACTTTTAAAAATCATATTTTATTATTCACAATGCTTATGATTTAGATTTCATCAAAAGCCGTCGGCTTTTACATATAAATTATAACAACATCATTTTCTCTTGGTGATCCTGTTTGGTTTGATATAAGCTCGATAGTAAAAATCGCAGAACAATATAACCATAAAGAGGTTCTGCGGAATGAGAATGTAGGCTGGTACGCGCGGAAAGGGACAATCCGACGCCAAGGCAAGGGCCATGAAATGGGCTAATAATAAACTAAACTGTATCTGCAAATAAAAAAACACGTAATAGCACGATTTGGAGCAGTGTTGGCCTAGCGTTGCTTGCGACTCTCATCCCTGATGATTTATTTTTATGTGCGCATTTAACATTCGCTCGTACGGTGAAGGAAAACATCGTGAGGAAACCGACATGTCTTAGAGACCCAAAAAGTCGACGGCATGGTTAGGCATAGGAGGCTGATCACCTACTTGCATATTAGATTGAAAAATTATCAATCATGAAACAGATTCAGAATTCTGAGGCTCAAACCAAAAGAGGTTGTAGCGCCACAATTTTTTTTAATAGCACGATTGCTCACAGAAGTAGACAGTTTTTATTCAACGAGTTAGTATAGTTGCATAAGATTATCTTATTTTTACCAGGCCTAATATTAAAACTAATTGAAAATCATTGTAAATTTGGTAAATGATTATAAGATTTCAGAATGCTAGTGCGTGAACTTCAATGTTAGACGAAGATATATCTATACTAAAATTTTTTCTTTAAAAACTCACAATTTGTATTTGCGTGACATACTTCTTCCACCAAATTGACTTCTTGAAGGAATCGTCCAATGTCGTTAGGAGATAGTATGCATACATTATTATGTGAACAAACGAGTTCACCGTTACCAACATTGTTATGTGACCGCCTGAAACGATGAATGTAGTCACTTACGTTCCTGGCTTTTTCATAATACATATGTCGCAGTCAACTAGCTTTATAAGCCGTTTAATTAACAGCCTAGCCTTTTAACTAAATAGCGCCGTTTAACTAGCGGCCTGAAAGATATTCAGCCGTAGCGTTTGTAACAACATTTGATAAACTGGCTGGCTAATGCTTAGGCCATCCGTACGATAGAGTGACCATGTGGCAGAAATAAAAAAAAATATCATTAAAAATTAAATTGCTTGAACCTGTCAAAGCTCAATTCACATTACTATTGTCACTATCCTCTTCCAATCTACTTGTTGTTTTTCATTAAAGTTTGGAAAACACCATCAAAGTTGTGGTCTGCCGACGTTTGTTTGAAGAGTTTCGTTTCGAGTTTGAGAGTGGCAGAAAGTGGAACTAAATTTAAATTAACAGGCTAGGCAAGTAATGAAACGTCATCGATCCAAGTCATCTGCCTAGCAGTTTGATCAACTAGCTGAGTATCTTTCAGGCCGCTAGTTAAACGGCGCTATTTAGTTAAGAGGCTAGGCTGTTGATTGAACGGCTAACTAAGTTAGTTGGCTGCGACATATATATAATATAGTAAGGTTTCTATTTTTAGCTTTCAAGAACTAATATAAATACGATCATATATCAGCATGTCATTGACATATTTTATGAATATTAAGCAGTATTTAAATAAGGGTGAATGTAGCTGTATATTTATTCCATTTCTAAACAGCTTAGCATAAATTTTAGCACGGCAGTTATTAGAAAATCTCTTAATTAAATTTGTTGGTTAATATGACTAAAAGAACGATAGTTAATACCGTTTTAATATAATAGGAGGCAAACGGGCAGAAGGCTCACCTGATGTTAAGTGATACCGCCGCCCATGGACACTCACATTGCCAGAAGACTCGCAAGTGCGTTGCCGACCTCATTTTAATATTCACAATAATGCAGGCCTTATTAAGTGTTTAGTGTTTCATCACATTTTTTTTTAAAGTTTACTCTATATGTATATACGTATAATAAGGTTTTCAGACCGAATTCTATATTTTAAAAGAGTTTATTTACCTGGAACCCATTTAACCACACCCCAAGCCACTGCTACCATGCCAAAATGATGGTAGACATGCAGGAATGAGACTTGATTCTGTTTCTTTCGCAAAACAAAAAATACCTAAAAAGAAAACCCAATTAAATAATCAGTACAATTTTGCATTCTTATTATTTTACTGCTTTTAGTGACGAGTTGTCTGAAATTTATTGTTACAGCAATAGGCCCGTTCCAACTCAAATTTTCCTTAAATGTATTGCACGTTCTACATTTCGATATATATCTGTAGATATATAGAGGAAAATAGAATAATTCTAAATATTAAATTCTAAAGTATTAAAGATTTTTTTATTAAACAAAATCCTACAATTTGTAGTTCGACTTTAGACTTCCGTAGGTACCTATATCTACGGAAGTCTAAAGTCTAGTGCCAAGTCTCTAAATCTTACCCTTAGATACATTTAGCGCATGCCGTATGTGAGAAAGGTATACGTACTGTGTCTAAAAGATCAATTAACTTTATAGCAAAGTATCCAAAACACACTTTCCAAGCATACTCGATGCTGTGAGCTTCATAATCAACCGGATGGCACAAAAGAGAGTAATGGTTCAGCCAACCCAAAGTTAAACTCTGTAAAAAAGATTCATACTATCTTGAGGAAATAATTGATAACTTAATTTTTTTTTGAAAATAGCTTAACTATCCGAAACAATTATCTACCTATTCTAACGCACTGTCTAATATTTCATAGATAAAAATGGTAACAAAGTGCGTGACCTGTCTCACAAGCAATTTTGTTTTGATTTGTGCCGTATTTTGATACGCGACGATCCATTATTCCTAAGATTCCTACATTCGTAATATTAATATTTTTTGCTAATGTGTAGGAAGGTGATTTTACGCTGAACTGACTCCAAACATTAAGTGAAAAAAATATCAAGTGTCTCCGCAACTCTTAAAATGTCCTGCATCTGATTCATGGTTTAAAATAGATATTTTTTTGGCGCACATATTATTAAAAAACGTGTGTGTACTTATTTACACGCGTTAGAAGTTATACTTCTTTGGCGTTTGATTTAAGATAAAAATCTTTTCAAAATTTTTATTTTACGTTTGTAGAAAAAAAGACACTAACAATAGAAAAATACTAAAATGTTGACTATAGCTAACTTCAGGGTGTCGGTTTTTTGTGACGGTGTGCGCACGCATCGTAAAAATTTACTGTCATTTCCCTTCCGCGCCAAAAAAAGTATAACTTCAAAAATCCGTAGCCAGCATTTGAACGCACGACCTCAAGATCGAGTGGTGCGCTCAATTACTAGGTCAATAACACTGCTTTAACCATAAACTAGCTATATTTAATATTATTATAATATACTTACATAATATACGACATAGGCACAAAAAACGATTTGAAAAGCATTGTATACTGCTATCACACCACGAAGATCAAACGCTGGCCTATTCTTCATGTAATTAGGTAACCATTTTAAAACAACGAACAAATAGAGGATTAACAGAGCTAATCCTGGCCAGGGTGAGCTGATTAAAGGCCAATCTTGAGTCCTCTTATCTAAAAGTTTAGGAAATCTAGACAAACTTTAACCAGATAAGCTCTTAGAAACTGGTCAGGGAATTTCAATGTGAAATAATGACGCTCTCACTAATTAATTATTAAAAAGCTAGTTTTTTTATAGTAAGCATTCAGAAAACGACAGTAAATCTATTTTAGACTGATCCGAAAAAACAACTACGGTTGCATGCATTATCCCACATACACACAAGGTTCCTTTACAAAATAGCGAGCTTGCATATTATAAAAAAATAAATATACCTGCAATTTCCTCATTCAAGTAATAGTACAACTTAACAGCTCCTTTCAAAATTAGTGCCATGGCGACTATCCTTCACAAATAAATTTACCCAGTGCTGTGCTGTCCGTCACACTACTAAACTTTCCACAATAGTATTCGAGTCAAATTATTTACCATATTGAATTTATTTTCGTGCAAAACAATGACTTAAACGTGGTATTCTGATTTCAAAACGTGTTTTGTAGTTCAAATATTCATAATCTGTATTAGTTGCATTAGACAAGAATGATTTAAAATGCCAGTATTCATCGTTGACTTCAGAAATCGAACTATTAGGTACAATATGTCAAATGGAAATTTATTAAAAAAAAAAAAAACATTTCCTTCGTGCGTTTGTATTTGTTGCAAACAAAATATTGAAATTCTTATAACTATGTAACTTGTTGTCCGATTTATAAGTTCGATTGACTAACAAACATTTTAGGGAAATTATGTGATTCTGTATAAATGTCTGTCTGTCAAAATAAAGAGAAAGAAGCTCATACATTTTAAACGTTTTTAATTAAAAACTATTATATTTCCATAGAATTTTATTGAAGTCGAATATTAAAAGTCGATATTTCAAACTAGTTTTTGAAGGGGAATTCAGGGTGTTTCTCAATGCCTGGGAAAAAGGTGAAGTCGCAAATACGCCCCGCCTCGCCACGGTCCAAGCTGTTCAATTGCTTCATTTCTGTTTCATTTAGCTCGAAATCCCATACAGATATGTTCTGAAATTAACATTTTAACATTTCATAACATTTTATGGTACTTATAAAATTTCAAAAGTCAAGAATTTAATATTGGCGTAGCGTGCAGTCGTTTGAATAAGAATTACACGCTGCGTGCATTGTTATTTAAATAAGACTTGAAAGAGTTTTATAAGATTTCCTAATCTAAATGTATTATAAATTCGAAAGTTTGTTACGTTTTCACGCCAAATCGTCTAGAACAAATTTTAATACAGCAAACCTGGAGACAGTAGTAGATTACTCCCTCTCATTGAAACCTATAAGTGTGCGAAGTAGTGGGAAAGGTAGAAAATATTGAGTATGCAAACATATTTGGATAAGATAAGCATTTTTATTTATTAAAACTGGCAAATTACAAAGAAAAAACTTCAGTTTAACCTCTTTTTTTAAAGAAAAATATTTTTTCCTTAAATAACAAAAAAAATGCATTTAGTACCTGTTTAATTCTGGTGGGATCCGTACTTTTGGGAATAGCTCCTACGCCGTGTTGCAGCAAGAACCGAAGTAAAATCTGCGCAGGAGTTCGGTTATGTGTTGCTGCAATACTTTGAACTACTGGCAAATCCAATAGGCTCGGGTACTCTCGTCTGTAATTATTATAATAGTTAATACATATAATTAAACTTATAATATACCATATTTATTCCATCTAAATTACTAATGTTTTGTTATGTGCATGGAAAATTTCTATTTTCTTTTTCAACTATATTTAAATATTAATAATTCTCGTACTAATAAAAAATATTTATAAACTTAGATTGAGTGTTTATTACTTTCAGTGTCTTAAGGTATATCGTATGTCATCTTGTGTGCATAAATAAACAAAAATGGGAAATATAAAGCGGCGAATATTATTAAGGAGCTCTGGAGATAACGTTTCTGAACAAAGCAAAACCCCAATCGCATCATTACTTTTAGCTATACATAATAAGACACCTATTTGATAAAAACAATAAGTTCACCCAGTCTTAGCAGCCAGCATATCAGCGAGAGCCTTGGATCCCAATGGAGAATAGGCAACAACAGGTATTCCTAATCGATTGGATGCGTCGATTAGAGCACGTTGTTGGCACAACAAATGAACCTCTATTTGCAGGCAAGCCGGCTTTGCAACCTCACACAGTCTCTTCAGTTGTTCTTCGTTTACATTTGACACGCCCAAGTGTCGAACCTGTCCTGATTGCTTTAGTTTTTGCATCGCCTGAAAAAAAATGATAAACTTTTGGTTTCGTAGAGGTTTAGTAGGGATTGCTCCGATATTTATACTAATATATTTTTAGATGAATGTTTTTTTTGTAATGGAAAAGCGCCTTACTTAAAATATGATTATTATTATAAAAACTAATTAAAGAAATTATTTGGTAAAGTTGTAACAATATTTTATGTGAAGAATTATAGTCTGTATATAAATTTTGCCCGCATCCGTAGCTGTTGGCAATGTAAGGTAAATAATGATCTGAATTATCATAGACACAATATTAACAAAATTAATATCGTTACGTTATAATCCAAATATGAGACCCTAAACAAATTATGCCAAATGTAAGAAAGTGGACATAACTTGACTGATAAAGAAACTAATAACGAATAAATAAAGTTTCTAAGGTAATGAAAGTGAAAGTGATAACCTGATTCACATGCGATTATCTATTTGTAAAGTAAACTTCTCCAGGTCCACATATTTTATTCGGCGGTCTGTAAACTGCCACTCTCTCCAACTTATCGTTATCATGAGTTTCCGATCGTATGCGGAGGCTAGTAGTTACTGCTTTAATAACAACCTTTTTAGTAGTTCTTTCGGGCTTATTTGAATTTATAAGATACGCCTGCGGTGTGATTACATTAGTAAATCCTTTAGGCAATTTTAAGGCAAGGTACGGTGTAGGAGCACCAGTGCTTTTTCTGTGCTTTGTTCTTATTTTTCTTACTGCGTTTTGCAAGAAACGGTAAAAAGTAGTTCGTTGCTGATCTTTAACTTTTTGTTGTAAACACAATGCACTAGCTATCGATGAAATATCACATGTTGAATTAGATAAACCAAATGAAATAATTTCCAAACTGTGATTCGATTCGTGGTTATGTTGACATGAAAAGTTGCTTGTTGTGGGAGCTTCGACATTATCAGCATTTTTATGTTCCAACGACATATTGTCTGAATGGCCTCGAAGCCCACTTATATTAACATTTCCCTCGCCCCTGCTAGCAAAGCATCGAAAGACGCGTTTGAACGCTTGTTTTACATTTCTTCCTCTCTCGCATTGTAAGTGATTTAAAGGAAAGAATAAATAATTTCTTTGTTTATTGCGATCGCAGTGTATATTTCTAATGCCATTTTTGGTTTCAGAACTACGCATTTGTCTCTTTTTGTTCTTTATATCAACATAAAATGTCTTTGCCATGTGCATATTATCTTCTGGGGCACGTATATAAATATCTGTTTATCTGTCTGATATCAGTATTTGGATTGTTATATTTAAAGATTGTTATGGTTTAATTTATAGGAATTAAATTTAATTAAGTAGAATTTTGTGTCTATATTAAATTTGTTTCATTGATTTAAAAATGAATATAAAATTTTGGTATGTATTTTTGGCAATAGCTTTCATCATATTAGCGTAAAATTTTGGTGATTTTTTCCTTTTTAAGCTCCCTTGTAGTCGCATAACACTCATCAAAGAGGCATCTATATGAATTGGATTTAAGTTATTTTGCTGTAAATCGATGCTTTCAAAGGAATTTATTGTTTGCTGTGTGCAAAGATTTTGATTAAACGAATATAGGTTTTCTATTTCATCATCTCCTCCACAGCAACAGGGGCACATAAATTTGGGTATTAAAGTAGTTAAAATGTTTTTTTTTTGCGTCACAACCTCGACATTTCTCACTGATGTTTGTGTTGGTGTTGTTTTAAGTTGGTTATTGTTTGTACTCAAATTATTTTCTGAATCGATAGCTAAAACCTTGCAAATTAAATCAGTTTTAAAATTAACTGTTGAATGACAGCTCTCATTCAGATTTATTTTGAGCTCCCGAAGAATTGGCGCTTGAATATTTTTTGTCCATGGAATATAATCTTTTAGTGATTTAACCTGAATCCGCTCGTTCTGACATTTTTCTGGCTTACATTTGCTTAATATGGTTTTATTTATTCTTTCGCTGTGGGAACTATTATGGGCACTGATTGGATAGCTGCATTCTTTATAAATTTCATCACTGCGATAACTAAGCAGTATATTTTTATTATCTTCACTCTTGTATTCACATTTTTCAATTTCACAACGCATACAGCTATATACTCCCATATTTGAACTTTATTTATTGTTATTATGGAAACATTTCAAGAATTACGACCAAATTTTCATTGTTAGCCTGAAGTTTTCTGTTAGCAATATTGAAAGCCGTTGTCAGTGAAGTAATAGACAGCAAATTAATCAAATTATAATAGTTAATAAAAAACAAGGTTTACCTAGTAGCCAATGTAGTATAGTTTTTAACCTTTACTTACTTTCCAAGTGCTCACAATATCTGTTGTAAGATTAACCTTCATTGATCCATCAGGGTTTTTAGGGTGAAGATCTCCAGGGACATGTTCAAAAGTAAAAGGAGTATGCATCAGGTATAGATCGATATATTGCAGCCCCAAGGCTTTGAAAGACTTTTCGAAATATTCGTCTATCAGTTTAGGCGGATTTCCTTAAAAATAAATGCGAAAATTAAGAAGTTAATCTAAAGGTCGCGCGAACAAACATAGTTCATTCTGATGATATTGTATGGTACATATTTTGATTGGCATTGCTTGGAAATTGTTCTACGGTGGTCTAGGATCTTGGTCTCAGCCTCCAACACCAGTTTTATTTATCAATTTTCTTAAGCAGGGATCAGTCTTCTGTTCGTATGCTTGAAACACATTGACAATTTTTGTGTCAAAGGCGTGCTGATTTCGCACGATGTTTTTTCTTACAAAGCAAGTTTCCGTACAAGCAACTGTACGAATATTCATTGATACATGGGATTCAAACCCTTGACATCAATATGTTTTTATGTATATTATTATTATTAGGTAGGTATGTAAAGAATAGAGGAAGCTAGGTATGTTCAATAGAGAACATACCAGAAGGAGCTAACTTGGTAACCACGAAGAGTTCTTTTCGTTTTTGGACGTCACCAGCGATCCAGTGGTTAAGAGCTCTACCAAGAGCAGCTTCGTTTTCATACGCCTGGGCGGAGTCGAAGTGCCTGTAGCCTGCGTCTAAAGCAAATGCTACTGTCTTCTCAAGTTCCGTATCTGGGCACTGAAATTAAGTATTATAGAAAGTATAAGAACAGTATTTTACGTAAGGAACATTTTATGAATTTCAGTGTTTTCTTTGATTCAAAAACATATTTAATGTTGCCTACATTTTATGATTAGGAAAATTATAGGTTTCTCGTTGAGTAGATTTTTTATCTGTGTACATCATGACAGTTAATATATTTACGTTAAAAATTATTTAAAAATGTGCTTTGAATATATGTACTTCAAATACAAAAAAAGCTAAAAGCAATGAGAAATGTATGAGATAAATTAGTTGGTTAAATGGTTTCTGTGTCATCTTCGACTGTATTTGATAACTTAAATTTAGTGGAAGATAATTGGTCTCAGGATAGTTGTTGTCGTGCTTCCACGTCGAGGGGTCTCTCTGCGAGGAGTGGAGGGGATCAAGACAGCGAAACATACTCGTTTTGTAGCGGCAGGTGTTCTTGTGGGACCGACAATGCCTATGTGTCAGAATGCTGTGATAAACCTCTGGTCATCATTGACTCTAAAGCTAAAATTCATAAATCTAAATGGGATCTCTTCAAGGCATATTTAAAGAGACGTATCAAACTAATTAAAAACGAAAAGGAAAACGCGAAAACTAACAAGACTTCCCTTGTAAACATAGTAAAAAATATTAAAGCTGATGAAGGTCAAACATCAGAAATTGTTCAAAAGTAAATTCATTTATTACAATCTTTTAGCTAGTCCTGTATACTCTAAGTTTTATGTTGTATCGCTGGGAATGTTGCATCTATTAAATTATAAAGTGTATTGTTTTGTTTTATTATTTTCACACGGGGTCGTTGTCCTGTCTAAAAAGTCTTAAATGCAAGAGAAGGTGCTTTTTAAGCCGTTTTATAACGCATAAAAACCTACGTATCTTTATATAATGTAATGTGCTCAATTTCAATATAATCTTAAATTTATCCTGTACAAAACATGTTATAAGCCATTGTCCCACTTTGATGTATTAGAAACTTATAGTAATAATTCAGTGTAAATAAAATTTTCAAAGCGTCGTTAAAATGATTTTGTCTTTTAATCGCGCAATACAAAAAATTCACATATTTATTAAAAGACATCGTATAATGTCTGTTGATTTAAATAACAGTTTTCTGGGAGTTAAGATATTAACAGATCACATAAAACTTACTTGCCAAGTCCCAAATCCAATTCGCGGAATACGATCACCATTTTCAATTACAAAATATTTCGGTACAGACATGATGAAAATTAAATAAAGTATGCGTAGATTAACTTGTTCCAACGCAAAAGACGTTCACCTCAAACAAATTCACTGAGGTCTCTAAATCTCAATACAGGCTTTCGAGTTGTTGAAGTGGTATGATTGTGTCGGACTGCAACCTTGGTGTTCGTAATGTTATTAACGTAATTACTATTTTATTTATTGAGAAAGATTTATAGCTTATATAACTAAATTATGAACTTTTACGCCAATAAGAAAATATCATATAATTAAGTACTTAATAATTTGATGGATTGGTGCAAATAAAATCATTTTAATCCAGGCTAACTGGTGACTAACAAAGAAAACAATAAACTAACTAAATTAGTTTAGAAGGATTAGATAGTAAACTTAAGGTACAATATTTATTTTCCTAAACAATTCAGATGTCAGAGCTCTCCTTGCCGATACCACACTTGAGGCGAACAGGGGGTCTAGCCAAGATGGCTTAACAGTAGTGTATGTAGAAAGTCGAAAACTAAATTTGTATGGAAATGACAGTACGTGTCGAAAAGTTTTCATACAAATTTAGTTTTTGACGTTCTACATACACTACTGTTAATCTTGACTAAGGCCCCAGGTCAAACAAAATCAATAGTTAAATTGTTAAACTTACCCGCCGCCCTAACCATAAAGCTGTTCCCTCTGTTGTATACCTATGTCCATTTTTTATTTAGAAAATGTTGTAACGTACCTAAATATTATGTATGATCGCTTTCTTTTCCGTCTAGTCACTTCAGATATTATTTTAAAATCGATTAATATTTAATAATCATGGGTGAAGTGTCAGTATATTCATCTTAAAATGTATTTAGTTAAAATTTATATCTATATGGCAAAGTCTGTACGCTTAGATCTCCTAAACTACTCGATAGATTTGAATGCTCTTTATTAAGTAGTATAAATAATCTCTATAAATTATATATAGTTGCTTTTCGTCTTCGTTCATCTGTCCTTTTCTAGTATGTAATCTATTATGGTTCTTTTCTATTTCTATGCGACAAAGTCTCAAATAATTAATAGTTTATTTAAATTAAATTGCCTTACACTTTCCTAATTAAACACAACGGGAATCGGCAGTACAAAATATAAAAGTTTACATCGTAGTGATTGCATGAGTAGCTATAATTATCTCTTAACTGTCCTTGAACGGTAAATGCATACATAGCATTTACACAAACACAATGCAACACAAGCTAGTTTCAGCTTGGTGAAGCTATATTGTTATATTCGTTTAAAAGAACCGCAACAATAAAATAATGTGTCACTTGAAAATTGGATTGTTGAGATTGTACAATCAGTTAACGATGTTTAAATAGGAATACAATGTTTGGCGATGCATCTTCGAGATAGCGGTTTGAATTGCCGTTATTTGTTGGAGCGACAAAAACGATTAATGGACGATAACAAAATATGTACTGAGGTTTTCTGTACTAAATTTCTGTACTACTAAATATAAAATATTTCGTGAAATTTCAGAGCCATCCGCGTAGTATATTGACATGTATTCATAATTCTTTCAGAGGTTTAAGTATCATAGCTCATTAAACAAAAATCGACAGTTATAATAGTACGATAATTTCGTGAATTAGAAGATACAGAACTTCTTCTGCTAGGTATTTAATCAAATATATCTATCAAAAAGCAATTATGTATTTCATTACAACGTATTATCTCGTACGTCGAATCTCAAAAGATGCGTTATAAATTAATTATCTATTGACCACAAATGTGCAACATCCGACCCTTTGTGTAGTGTCGTATTACAAGTCAATTTATGAAAATTACAAAGTTGAATATTTATTACAAATTAATTTTCTCACATACCCTTAAAGTAATAACATTCTTTTGTGCGCTAAACAGTATCAATTTCCTTTTGAAGCTTATGAATGAACGGACGTCACAACACTCGTAGGTTAACCGATGCGTATACAGATTCTGAGATAACAAACAAACCGCAAAATGTAAGGGATGCGAGAACGACCCTTCGCATCATTCTCTATAGGCGTGGACTGTTTAGGACCCTCCCCATATTATGTATGATGTTTTTAAATGTACCCGATTAGAAATGGTCTGTAGTTTAGCTTCCGTCATGGACCTATCAGCGCAGGCCAATTCCAAGTGCACCTCGGACTTTAGTATAGAGAGAATATTAAGTGATGACTCCAAGAAAGAGGAAGTGTCGCCAGCGCCCAGCTGGTTGTGTTGTACTAGATATCAGCCACCCCGACTTCCAAGTCAGTACTTTTATTAAAACTATAATATATATTATACCTACTGAGTTGTACTTTTCCAACATTCATTTTCTCGTCTGATGGTGCTGGGCCAGTTGCTACTGGTTTTGTTGCATATATTTATACGTAATAGCACTGTTTTCGGGCGATTATATAACAGCATTTCTGCGGAGCAAAAGTACAGCGACAACAAGTCCATAGCAAAATAGAGGATTTTGTGCAGTATATTTTTTGCACGCGTATTGGTTTTAGATGTACTATCTATTTTTTGTTTAGAATTATTTTAAACTGCAATTATATTCTGAAACTATGCTATACAGAAAATTATTTTTCTAGGAACAGGTAGCGCGTGTCGGTCACGTCGGTCCGGTCGTCATGCAAGAGTGCCTTTTACGGCTGCGCAGGCGGCGGCCTTGGAAGCCGCGTACTCCAGAGCACCTTACCTTGCACCACCAGCATTGAAGGCACTAGCATCTGCACTCCAGCTAAGAGATGATAGGGTAAACTCTATTTTTTTAACATATATTTAAATATTTAGGAATATTCTTTCCAATTCTCTTATTCGTACAGCAACGGAAGAAGGGTTCTCCTCAAGTGAATTAAAAACTGAGTTAGGCGTTCGACAGGAATGTATATTGTCTCTCTTACTCTTTCACTTCTACACATTTGGACTAGAATAAGAGAGTATCTGCTGGAGGTCGCGTTATTAACAACCTAAGATAGATACAAAACTTTTTGCTCAAACAAAGGAGGATTTAGAAGAATTACTGTCTCGCCTAGGAACTAGTAGATATGTAATTTGGACTAACCCTGATCAGAGAGAAGGCGAAACTGATAGTAAACCGAGCTGGGCTTAGCGGTGTAGCAATTCAGAAGATTGCTGCGAAGTAGTACAAAACTATATAGCTTGGATCTACTGTTTTGATCGCAGGAGAGTGTAAGGACGAAATACAGAGATTATGTCCAAAAACGAGAACCGCAGTTGTGAGTTTGGGTAAGAGATGAACTGTTGGAAAAGGCTCCTTAAAATACCTCGGATGACTTCCCAGACCAACAGTTCCATCCTCAAAGAACTCCAAATACAGAAAAGACTTTCGTCGCTTGTACATATGGATGTTGAAGTTCATTGGACATATCTCAAGGAATGAAAATTCTTGAATGATGCGTCCGGGGACATTGTGTAGGGATAACGCGCGATTTTATTAATGAAACAACTGGATCAACGCTGCAACAGTGCTGTCGAGATGCGGAGGATAGACAAAAGTGGTGATCTGTATTGATGCGAGCAGCGGTTTTGGGAAGAATTAAAAATCTTGCACTCTTTTCAAGATTTTTAATTCTTCTAATAAGAGTTCCTTTTCTTACTGCAAATAAAACAAGGGCAAGAATTGGAATTTCTATATTATTAATTAGATCAATATAAAGTTCACATTTCTATTAGGAGTTTTTTTTTAAATTACAATCTGTATATTTGTAATATCTTAATGAAATCATTTATTATCAAAAGCACAAGTGAGAGAAATAATAAAAATTATAAAAAAATAACGCCTACTACTATTTCTACAGCAAACTAAAATATGAACTTCGAAAAAAAACATAAATTTATGCAGGGGCCGAAAAAATGATTAATGAACTTATGTCTTTAATTTCTTATGTAATTATTTTATTTACAGATAAAAATATGGTTCCAAAACCGAAGAGCTCGTGAGAGAAGAGAAAAAAGTGCAAATATTCCGTCGCCTCAAAGCGGCATTGTGATATCACCCAATCAAAGACCTGCAATTAATTCATCTTGGCTAAATCAATCTGATTTACGATATAATGTGACGTCTGAAGAAATGGACCAAAATTGTACGAAAAGCAATTATATTAGTAATTTATATGAAAGTGAAAACTCGAACGAAAGCTGTGACTCTCCACTGAATGTTGATACATAGAAACAAAAGATTTTTTAAGAAATTGAGCCCTCGTCAAAGGTCCACAATTTTTTTAAATAAAATTTTGTGAAACCGAGTTAGCCAAGGTTTCCTCGGAATGCCAAATAGGTCCCACGATATTCTTTATCAAACATGTAAAAAAAAAAAAAACAAACATGTATAGGTAATGAGAAATAAGACTACTATTTATTATAGGTACATGCTGTGATTATATTTTAAATTTGTTCTTTATATAAGTTAAGAAATAACTAGGTAATAAAAATATATTTAAAATAGTTGTGTCTTTCTGGATTTTTTCCATCAAAAAGGAGGTTAGGCTCCTTTCAATTTAGAAAAAAGCAAATGTATTCGGTAACTCATAAGTTAAAATAAAATACTTAATACAATTTCTATTAAATTATGACAAAAAGGGCTTCATTAAGCTTTTTTTCAGGTAAAATAATATACCCCGCATGAGCTAGTTACTATAGCGGAGACCTTTATTGTAATAGGAGACAATACTTACGTATTAATTTAAGTTTTAGTAAGATTGAGATCTTTATCGATAGGTAAACAAATAAAGCAACTTTACTATTTATTTTAGTAACAGTCTTGTAATATTCCAGCTGTAATTTAATCTGAAAATTAACAATTTCCTTATTTACTTGCTCCATTTACTAGAAGTGATTAAATTTATATTGACAAACAATTTACCGAGTAATTCATGTAATTAAATAGGAATTTATTAGTAGTAAGTAGTAGTGAGTAAGATTATCTGTTATCACAGTCATATTGACATACGAATGGGACATTTTTGCCTTAATTATATTTTTTCAAGGACAAGAAGTAAATCAGCTAGTACTTGAACCGGACATAATTGTTTCGAGCGTGACAAACACTGTTACAATATACGACGTAATTAGGGAGCGTTCAAGTATTACGTAACGCAATTTTTGGAGATTATTGTCCCCCCCCCCCATGTAACTCGCCGTAACATTTTTCAGTACCCAAATACAAAAAGCAAAAAAATACGTTACGTAATACTTGAACACTCCCTTAGTGGTTGGTGAACTCAGTTTCCGCACTTAGGTTCTCATTAGGTTCGTTGTCCTTGAGTTACGACGTAATAAGGGTTATGATGCGGTTTGTACAAAGGATTCATTGAATGGTAAAAAAAACATACTCGTAGCATTTCTACTTCCTCATTTTTAAGTGATATTGTTAAAATAGTGTCTTCACTCCTTTAAGTGTTCTACACAGATTCATTTTAAAATTAACTCTCCAAAAAGAATTATTTGTATGTGTTTTTTGTATTAACATTGATTATTAATAAGTGACACAAAAACGCTATCTAAAGTCCGCAAAACTGTATGTCAAGATTATTTTCGTTGCTAAGTCTGAATATTCCATTCGTTTATTATTTAATTTAAGTAGGTATTTGTAGAATTAATTCCAATCTGCAGTCATTGTACTCGTGACATTCATGTTTGAGGCAGATCCGGCACGTGAAACATTTAAATAACCTCTATTTTAATTTAAACTTTCTTACGATCATTATTTAAATGTAAGGGGATTTTATGGTAGATATATATTCTAAGATTTTTCTATTGCCTTCATGGATATACAAACATTATTTTAATATAAAAAGAGCAGTGTGGGCCTAATGAAAGCGTGACTCTTAACTCTAAGGTTCCATTCTATTAAGTTCTTACCTCAAACAGCTATTATTTAAAAATAGTATTAATGTATTTATGAATTTATTCATGAATCATAAACGTGTAGCTTACGTGGCAAATTAGTGAGTTTCCAAGTTGGTAGAGGCGGATAAAAAATATCAAACAGAAAGTAAAAATATTTATTTTAATAAATCAGTTCCTAATTAAAACAGTGTCGCTACGCTTCATCCAGTTCAGTGTTTTTATCTAAATCTGTGTCGGTCAAACACGTGGATTTGCTTAAAATTTCATAGTGGTTAGCTTCTTCCTTTGGAGGGCTAGTGTCGTCCAAACTATACCTGTAAATAATTAAATAAGTTTAGCAAACAAATCATCCTTCATAAAGCTTAAAGATAGTGTGTTACGAAAGCCTAGCACGATCGAGCTCGTGCATATAGTATTCTCGACATGAATATTAGAAGAACATTTTGAAAATATTCTGATAAAGAGAGACTTTCGCCATTAATTTTTTATACACAATTCCAGCTTAAATAACTATTATTAAACTGTGACTTCATGATTCAAAAACAATTTTTTAATTTAAATTACGCACACAACTCCAGGCGTAAACTAGAAATCACACAAAAATTTAAAAAATAATAATAATTTCAAACATTCATATACCGTTGACATAAAATTACTTATAATTGAAACAAGTACGAAGTATCGTACAACCGGAGGACGTCTTTACAAATCTAATATCAAAGTATTAAATCATCTATTCGATAATGTCACACAAGAAGCCAACCGCAGAGGACGCGTGCTACATATTACGTTTCGCGGAAGCCCCTTTATCAGCACGTCTAGTGCGCGTGCACATGCACATTGCATAGGTTATCAAAAAGTTTTTAACATTTTAACTTTAAACAATTTCTTTCGAATCAACTATTGACCGCCTATCGGGCGTTGAGCCTCTATGAACATTTATCTCCGTATAAACAAATATTAATTCCGCTTGATATTTTACGTTAAATTATAAATTAGGAAAGGCTTCATCAGACCTTTACACCTACGTACATAGATCTTATAGTGCATACAATTTTCTTTAATGATAGATATATTTAGAGAACGGTGCTGTGCTGATATTGCCCATAGACAATTATTAACATAGAAGACGCTTTTTGAAGTGAAACTTCTTTAGGCGCATGAGGGTAAAATTTTTACGGATGAAACGCAATAATATTAGCGTCACGAAGATGTGCAGCGTTTTTGTCGAAGAAAAGGGAGAGAGCGATTAAGACAATAATTTGTAAAGAGGATTTATGAAATATTAATTATTATTTTATATTTTATGTAAGATAATTTGTTGAAATCTCAAATGACGAATTGCAAATTAAAATGCCACGTGTTTTTATTATAGACAAAATAAATTAAAAAATTACATTTATAATTTCTATTAATTTTTGACACTTTTAATATTCTAATTACAAATAAATTCCTTCAATTCCTAACATATCTTCCTTTTTCCCTCCCTCTAAGTCTCGGAAATCGAAAGTTTTAGATTTGTATAAATATGAACAAGACTTAAAAATTTGTTTGCCAAAGAAGTTTCACTTCTGACATGTGTACTTTGTACGCACGCACTTTTTTTTACGTTCCGGCTGCAAGTTATAATCATCATGACTAAATTGCTTAAGCCATACTCGTCTGAACAAATCTGTCATTGTTTATCTCAAGATCACTTTAATTATTTCAATTAATTACTATCGTAGTCTGGACTGAGATGACAGATTTCAGCCTTTCTTAAGTTATTATCAAAGTGTTGTTTGTTTTCTTAAAAAATAAGGTCATGATGCAGGCCAACAGTTATCATACAACAAAATGGTTCTAAAGTAAAAATTAACTTTTTTTGCGCCTACACAAAATTTGTATTTTGTTTCGGGTTCCATAACGTTTTGCCAATAGAAATTATCAGTAAATCACAACTGCGTTTGCTTAATTACAATTGTTACGAGACTTCAAATAAGTATTCATTAAGTTGATGTTATTAATATTTATCGGTAGGCAGTTATTGGGTCACCCGAGCGTGTCCGGTTCATGTCAGTAATCAATCATCGATGTCTTGATATCTGATCTAGCTCAGTTAGCTAATTAATAATGCCAGTGTCGACCAGCTGTCTGTTCTAGAATATAATATTGTATAGAACATTGGTTTAAGTTGTTTGCTTCTTTATTATACGAATACAGTTTTAGATTTTAATACTTAATTTTCGCAATTCGTCCAGAAACCTAAATGGTATTATTGTCGCAGCCAACTAGCTTAATTAGCCGTTCAATTAAAGCCTAGCCGTTTAACTAGCGGCCTAAAAGATGTTCAGCCAGTTGATCAAACACCTAGGCAACTTACTTAGATCGATGACGTTTCATTACTTCCCTAGCCTGTTAATTTAAATTTACTTCCACTTTCTGCCACTCTTAAACTCGAAACGAAACTTTTCGAACTGTCAATATGGCATCGGCGAACCACCTTTCATGGTGTTTTCCAAATTTTCATGAAAAACAACAAGTACTATGGAAGAGTGTAGTGACAATAATAATGTGAATTTGACTCAAGCAATTTAATTTTAAAATAAATATTTTTTATGTCATATGTTTCATCTTTTTTTATTTCTGCCAAATAATGACTCTATCGTACGAATGGCATTAGCCAACCAGTTTATTAAATTTTGAACATCTTTCAGGACGCTAGTTAAACAGCACCGTTTAGTTAAAAGGCTAGGATGTTAATTGAACGGCTAATTAAGCTAGTTGGCTGCGCCATCAATATCCGAAGTTCGATGCTTGTTCGATATTGTGAGAATGTTAAACAAAAGACGAGACGTTCCTTTGATTGTGATTGGACTATTGATGCTGTTGGTATTCAAATGAAGTAGAAAGAAAAAAGAAAAAACTTAATAATACACATAATAAAAAGGGATGTATGGTTAAAATAAAGTGCACTAGCCCCCATACTAGGATTCCCTGTGTCATGGGCAGCTAGCCTCTAGCTCTCTTAAGGTTATCATGAATGTATAAAGTTTTGAATCGTTATTGTTAAGTGCATCATTATTTTGACTTAACACAATACAGATACTAATGTGAGTTTTAAAACTCTGTTGACCAATAATAATTTATTACCTTTGTAATATAGTATTCATGACCCAAGAAAACAACTTAGCTTTACACACAAAACAGTAGATACTAAAAGATTCATCATAGATTAGCTTCTTGTTCTAAGTTTCAAGTTATGACTGGGACATTTACTAAATTTTACTTTATAGGTATGATCGCAAATAATCAAATAACGCACACATGCAAACGTAAAACTGATTAAAAAAAACGTTAGTTACAATAAATATGTAATCACGCTCAAAGTTGCTGCACTCCCCTAATCGTAGAGAACATTGAAAGGTGAAAACTGAGTAGCAACTGCCGTTGGCAACAAGGAAAATTATTAATTGTCTCACGCTTCGCACAGCTGGGTTTTTAAAATATTTTAAAAATAAATATAGCCTCATACAGGAAACTTTAGAAATGGATGCAGTAGTTTGAGTATAACCGTTAAAAAATCTGTTCACAATAGTTTGCCTTACACTACCTTATTTCAGAGGTAGTAAGTTTTGCAAGGGTTGCTGTTACATTTTGGAAGGGGTAGAATGTGTTTTATAAAACTAAGTCCCGAATATAAAAGTTATCCTTACGTCAGAAAATCATCTTTAAATTATGTAGTAATATTTTGTAATACTATCGTACATCTAAGGTAAGATTACACAAACTAACCGAATCCAACCAAGATCCTTGAACTAGTCCCTTGAAAACCGATATGTGAGATGTAACCACATTGATATTTATAACTCGACGAGAGTTATAAAAAATAATAGTAATGTTATAAAGGAGTACTATAATGCAACCCTAATAACTTACCCGCAGGCTCTAAAGAAAGCCGACGCGGATGGATTATGCGTAAGCGCAGTCAGTCTAACAAAGCGCATGCGCGTAGCAGCTGCTAACTTTTCGAGCACTCGAAGCATCCTCTGGCCAAGACCGCGGCGTCGACCGTCCGCTTCCACTTGTACCTCATAACTGAAACACAGTCTAATTAATTTAATGTTCAATTAAACTTTCTCTAAGGAAATTGTTATTCATACAGCAGTCGTTATAAAGCGATAGCTAGATATTTTATAAATAGAACGTATGCATGCATAGACTGGCAACATAATGACACTGTAAAGGTTATTTAATATTGCCATATAAATATAAAAAAAGAACTAACACGAATTCCGACCTATGTCTAGAGTTGATTAATAATGACGTAACTTAAATTATTGTTATTTTTTAATATCCACGCGGTTAATAGAAAATTAGTTTAAAAACGAAGAGACCAACCGAAATATATAAAACGTGAAAAAAAATCTCTTCTGCTATATATAAGATTTTATTTCAACGCATATGACTATCGCATTACAATGTTAATCGGAGCATCGTATGCACTTGACGACGTCACCGAGGGCCAGTGGCTGCGAGCTTTGGCTAGGCCGCAATCAGTGTCGAGCAACAGCGAGATGCAGGCGCGGCTACTCTTGCTGGTGCTTTGTTGCGCCAGCGCAGCACATACGGCTCGTATACTAGCCGTCTTACCCACTAACACCAAGAGCCACTATGCCATGTACGGGAGGATAATAGACGCTCTCGTCTCCAGACAACACCAGTTGACTGTCATCTCACACTTTCCTAGGGTATGTTATTTGGTTATAGTACTTCCAATTACAATTCTTTGTGTTAATACTTGAAGGTCATACATTTTTGCAAATCGAAGAACCCGCTATAGAGTTTGAAAGAAAATATTTCAAATAATATACATTATGTAATGGTTACATTATAAATTTTCTATTGCATAATCAATATAAGTATATTTTGTATAAATTATTTTAATGTATTTTGATACATATTTTATTCTGATTAATATAATTAAAACAATTTTTTTTTAAAGTGAATTGTAATTATTTATTATACAAATCGATCTATTACTAATACTAATTGAATTTATATTTGAAAATAAATACATTTAAACTTAGTGATAAACAGTGAAAATTACAAAATAAATACTTCTTATTTTGCCTGGTAGAAACTATTCTAAGCAACAAGTCAAGGCGTCAGTTACTGTATCGTGACTAAGAAAAATCCTTGCGCACCATGAGGCCAGATATTTCTTTAAAATATTTTACGCGTTAAATACTTTATAAAATTGAGAGAAGAGCAAGTCTAAAACTAGGTAGAATAAGCTTACAAATAATAATAAAAAACAGACAGCTTACGAGGATTATATAATTCATTAAATAATCCGCCACTTCTTCGTGCAACTTTGAACGTTTGATAGATGACATTTGACAACTGACTCGCTATTTATCAAATTGAACCATATGGAGAAAAAAAGAAAAAACTTTATTAACAATAGTATTCTTCAAACGTTTTCCTCTTATCTAACACGTGCCAAACAAGTGATTATTGAAAATAGGGCTAAGTACGCGGAGCTTCATTGAGCTTTTCATTCGTTAATTTGAAGAGTCATTTAGATACAACAACGGTTATTAGTACTTTTTCAATTGCTTTGAAACTGATTTAGATTTTTTTTAGTACAATTACATAATTTAGTAAACTTTCAAAGAATTCTCATATAAATACAATATAAATAATGATATGGAATAAAATAAATAAATAAGATATTACTTGCACTAAATTAAATATAGGTATAAATGAGTTTAATTACAATCTATTAACTGTAGACTCTTTTGTCTCTTCCTGTCAATTTGTGTTTTCACATGAAGACAGTTTTATTGCGCTGTATTGAAAAGAGTATTTAAGTTAAAACGTTACAATTCGTCTGATTTTTTTATGAATAACACTACATTTATATAGAGTAGTTCGAATACACACGGTATTAAAACTTTTACGCTATATATTATATAATACTTCTTTATCTTGTTCCAAATAATGTATGTAATAAAACGACTTATTGAGGGGCAGTAAAACGTAGAGACACTATTAAATTTTTTATCTGCCTTTGTTGGCACCTAAGACAGTAGGTACTCATTAAGCAAATAATATAAAAATTATCTTACTGTAGTTGTTAGTAATCGTGAGGTTAATTAATTTGATTATTAAAAAGATCCACGCGAATGGTGAAATGTTCAGATGTGATATTTAATTCACCCGCGCAAAGTATGGGATCGAATAAATATTAAACTAATATGTAATAGTTTATAAAGTAAAAGTAAAGTAAAAAATCATTTAATCACATAGGTAACATAATGTACACTTATGACTTGTCAGTAAAGAAATACATATTAATGCTTCTAATTTTACATTTACTGCCAGTTCTCAAATCAAGGGCGTAGAACGAAAGAGAAGAACTGGCAATAAACTCTCCGCCACTCTTTTGAATCGCCATTATTTTGTTTTACAAAATGTTTGTAAGGAGCTGCAACCATTACACCATGTCCCATGTGACATTTTAAGTTATGAAAAATAATAACATAAATTAAAAACAAAGATTTGTCCTCTATCAGCAGAAGGCATGGTGAAATAGGAGCACGCACTTACATTCTCGTGGGAACAACACGCAAACACATAGTCGAAATAACCAACATCACCGCATACACAAATTCAAGTAGGTACGACCGATGTACAAAGCAATTTCCATCTAATGAACCGCCAATAAACAATGTATTGTGACCTTTAATGTCTGCAGTAGCCCACTACTCTTATCGCTGGCACGCGACTGTCTTTGCATGGGTACCTATATCAATAGATATCTATATACACACAATAAAACTTTCGTCATAGTCTAATAAAATAATAACTCGCAAAGTTTGCATGGATGAGAAGATGTATTTTTTGCGCATTCTACCGAATATAGGCTGCTATTAACTATATATTATATATACATACAAAGCCGACAGTTAGAAGTTGAATTTCATTCTGATCCTTTGCCTGTCTTTTAAATTTATTCTATATTTCATGGAAATTGGCTCAAAAAAAGAAAAACTCGCCTATAATTAACTAAGTAACTTTTAATCATTTACAGAGAGACCCACCAATAAATTTAGAAGAAATAAGCTTAGCAGGAACCATCCCGGAAATAGCAAATAATTTGACGAGGCAACAAAGCACTTTTAAACCAGACTTTGTAAGAAATTTAGAACAAATCATTAAGGAATGCCTTCAAGCCTGTGAAGTTGTATCTCGAATGCCCTCAGTCAGAGCATTGCTGAACTCTACAGCCCACTTCGATTTAATAATAGTTGAAGTATTTGGGTCTGAATGTTTTCTCCCGTTGGGAAGAAGGTTTAATGCACCAGTAGTTGGTCTACTGTCTAGCGTAGTTTTGCCATGGGTCAATGACCAAATAGCTAACCCAGAAGCACCATCGTACATTCCATCGTACGTGACCAGTTATGGACAAAGAATGAACTTGTGGGATCGGTTCTTAAACACTTTTGCAATCATTTGGGCTAAGGCAATTTATCGATACAAGTCACAGGTGCCTTCGCAGGTGCGTAATTTATGAAACAATGAATTCGGTTAAAATATAATACATCACTTTAAACATATTTCCCATAACTATTTACTTTCGTTGCAGGTGATAGCTGATATGTTGTTTGGACCTGGGGACAACTTGGAGTTATTGGCACAAAACTACAGTTTAATTCTTGCAAACAGCCACTTCAGTATTAACGAAGTTCGACCCCTAGTGCCCGCATTAGTAGAAGTTGGTGGGCTCCATCTAAATGACGCAATTAAAATGCCAAAGGTGACTTTTAATCAATAGACCATTCTTCGTTAATGATTAAATATTATTAATTTTATAATGAGATGCACTGCTTATCAACTAGCAGCATGATTTCATTGTATTTATGACAATAAAATTAACCTAAATAACACAATCTTTAGTTCCATCTACCCTTTCAAAACACCGAAACAGGACCTAAGACCTTAAACTGATAGCCTCAAAACATGCAGAAATATTTTGTGTTTCTGAATAACGTGGACAAATTCTACATACTTATAGAATACCATTTAATTGTTTTGCTGCAGGATCTAAAACGGATTTTAGATAATGCTAATGAAGGAGTGGTTTATTGGAGCTTCGGGTCTATGTCGAGAATAGAGACCATACCACATGAGAAACTCGTTCAAATATTCGCTGCAATGTCTGAATTGCCACAACTATTTTTAGTAAAAATGAATCGGGCCATGTTATCCAATAATGTAACAGTACCAGAGAACGTATATGCTATGGATTGGATACCACAATATAAAACTTTGTGTATGTATATTTTTATAGGGCATCTGACCCCATTAAATATTATCTTAGCACTGCGATGTTTTATAATGGAAATCACTTGTTTTTCTGTAATTAATATCAAGTCTGATGCTCCTTGCATGATTTTTTATTAATTACAAGCTGACCCGGCTAACGTTTGTTTTGCCATGTATATATATATTATTTCTACGAAACATTTTTTTGGTTCAATAAAAATAACTATCTACAATAATAAAAAATAGGGGTTGATTGTAGAGGGGTGAAAATTAGGGGTTGTGTGTATTTTTGTATGCCGTATCATAAAAAATAAATTTTTGGGTGGCCACCTCTTATCACTTAGGGGTTTGAAAGATAGATAGTAGCAGATTCTCAGACTTACTAAATATGCATTAAAAAATTCATAAGAATCGGTCTAGCCGTTTCGGAGGAGTATGGGACCGAACATTGTGACGAGAATTTTATATATTAGAAGGTTAAGAACATTAACATATTGTTTAAACATCAAATATTTCGTGCAGGTCACCCAAATGTTAAGATCTTTATATCCCATGGTGGATTGTTGGGGACCCAGGAGGCAGTGGCTTGCGGAGTGCCAATGCTCGTTGTACCTTTGTATGCAGACCAAGCATTAAACGCCCGCGCAATGAACGATCGCGGTCTCTCCCTTACGTTAACCCTACCAGATATTACGAAGGATTCCATTAAGAATGCTTTACACAATTTACTCTCAAATTACCGGTAAGTCAATGTTTATTTAAAAGAAGCATACATGAAGCTCAGATCTCATATACTTTAATTTAGGGCGAGAACAAATATTTAATACATGGTTACGTGGAAGTTGGAGAATTATTTGTTAATTTGTCATGTGAATTGTAATAATTGGGCTTAGGGATGTTTTAAGATTTTCATATATGTTTTAGCAACTTTGCTATGTTTTCTGGGGTTTAGGCAAATATTAAACATTTTAATGAAACTTATATTATTCTATAAGTTTATACGCGAATTTATTACATTATTTCCTCAACTAGACTTTTCGAGTACTTTACAGTAATCATGGTCAGCAAGAAACTGTCTAGAGTTTTCTCTTCTACAAACTTTTTATGTGAAATAAATAAATTATATATATTGAATATTTTTTATCTTAACTTTTTCAGTTACAAAGAAAATGCGCTACGACTGAAAGATATATTTCTAGATCGACCAATGCCCCCATTAGAGACAAGTGTGTACTGGATTGAGTATATTTTGAGGCATCAGGGGGGGGCTCACCTTCGATCACCAGCCCTCGAATTATCTTTCACACAATACCTTCTATTAGATGTACTTACTATTAGCATAGCTTTAACAGCAATGACAATTTATATATTATATAAACTTTTTCGCTACCTTTGCACAAGATGTATTCGGTGGTGGCCAAAGCAGGTCATAGCCCAAAAAAGACTTTTAAGAAAAAGTATGACAGTGTTCCACTGTTTTCTTTGGGTTTATAAAATAAAAACTAATTAAGTTATTATGTAAGTGTTAATATTTTTGTGAGTATTTATTTGTACATTGTAGTTATAACAAAGACTTAATATATTTAATTTTATTCAATTGAATAATACAAATGTTATTAGACAATTTGATGTTATATGTTAATAGAGAACTTAGAAAATACTTAAGCCTTCAAGAAAGTGTAAATAAATGTATATTTTAAAAACATATATCTAGTTTTCTATGTAATTTGTTCTATTGACCAAAATAATTACTTTTATATTCCAGTAATCCTTTTAAGAATGGAAAATAATTTGTTACTTACCAGTATAACACTGGGTCTCCAAAGTCCAAATCAAATCTAAAATGTGAGAAGGCTAATAAGCTATCTTTATCTTTTGCAATAAGATACCAGGCAGCATCTTCTGTCATTTCTTCAACTTTGCGATCTCTGTTCCAGCCCCAGGCACAGGTTTCATATCTACAATAAACATGGATACTGCACTTTTCTAAAGCATGTATGAAGGTAAACATGACGTTATATTATCTAAGTGTCTAATATTCCTGGTAATATAACATAATAATACAGAAATAAATAATTTATTTACAAAGAAAGTGATACACAAGATAAATGCAATAAAAAACAAATAGGATTGGATTTCGTCCAATTAATTTTTTTCTGAATCCTGAATAATCTATTTGATTAGATACAATTATTAGAACACAATACCCTAAATTGTGCTTAGAATTATCATAATGACATACATAAGCAATATCACAAACTGGTGATAGATTTATAGTTATCACAACTTACAGATTTTTCATATTCCTTTCAGTTAGATCTATTGCCCATTGTAAAACATTTTTGTCAAGTTCAGTGACCCTCTGGATGTACATATCCACTTCAAGGTTATTACTCTGATACACCAATAGTTCCTTACATAAGGTGGCCAGTTCTTCTAGTCTGTTTGCGTTTGTAACATGTGTCATGCCGTCCGCTATACGACGCTGCTCCAACTTGCGCGCCTGGCGCTTTTCTTTGTTTTTGTTTACAGACGTTGCTGTTTTTTTCTGAAAACCGAATAAAGGCTTTGTACACAAAGTATTTGAAAAGTATATTTAAAGGCATTTTCATTTACAATTTGGCTAGAAATAAATAAAGCAAATTTCCATGACATAAACATAAGCGTACTTAGTACTTACACCCATTTTCTTTTCTGTTAAGTTATTAATCTAATATAAACTTAATATTTAATTGCCCCAGAAACTATTTAAACCTAAGATTTACTTAAAGCGCTATTCGATTTGTAATTTATTCGTCAAAAAACAAAATTATAAACCTAGAGGCTAGAATTCACAGAACACAATTACCTAAAGGAAGAACGACGACTAGGAACAGATTTTAAGATACGCGAATGTATCGCCACCTATTATCAACCCACCCAAAACTACATGTGGCGGCAAATTTGAATTGCCAGCAGGTCCAGGTTCCCCAGAAATTTATTAATTTCAGATGCATAGGCCATTTCATTTGTAATACAAAAGAACACTAGATATTTAACAAATGATCTTGAAATAAAACAAAAACGTTTTCTCATTGAATTATTATTTATTTCACTTTTATGGATCCTTATTATTATTTGGACACGAAATCAACATAATTTTGTAATGTTCGTAGTCGTGGTCGAATTACCTAGGTAATTCAAATGAAAAGTTTCTTCTCTACAATGAAGGGCCTGGCTGCAGATTATCGGGCAATGTAAGCGCAGGAATGAATACAGGTCTAATCTGTAATTACAAGAATAAATCAAGTCACAGTCCTCATTTACTATCGTAATGTTTTTAGGTTTATGTAGGTAGGCCTACATAGTTCAAACTATTACTCACTATGTTTAAATTATAACAAATTTTGGTTAAATTAAATACAATGGTGAGTAAAGTTCACAACTTACCTCATGCGGAACTGCAGTTCTTAGCACCTTCGTGGAAGTGATTTTGGCACAGCATCCTGTGCTCAGCATACAGCTTTTTTTGAAAAGCTATTGAAGTGTGCTGTTCATCCGAGGGAAAAAGGTATTTTGCCCACAGGGTGCAGCTGAAAATAAACGGGCATAATTGTAGTAGATATCAAAGGTAAGGAGTAAGAAGCACGTAATTATTCTTGTCAAATTCAAGGCGAAGGTTCCATCGACTAGAACTTGAACTACATTGTATTTTAACCACGACAATTTGACAGTTGTAACAAAGACCAAACGTTGTTGACTGCTTTCTTGGGGAATGCAAAAAAAGTTCCAACGTTGACGTATAGGTTGAAATATTGTCAATCGATTTGATGTGATGTTAACTAAGAAGTTAATTAGTTTAGTACGTACCGCAAAAGATTCCGAACTCCGGGATTTGGAAAACGAAACAAAGAAACGTTTTCCTTTGCCGTGGATTTGCCACACTTCGAACACCTGCGACTGTCTTCTTTTCGGTTTTCTTTAGCGGCCGACACTTTCAGATTTCAAGAGTCACTATCTCGTATTCACTGTGAAGCACTAGAGTCACTATCTCAAAACGGGCACAAAACATAAACGGAGGAATAAAAACTCAACTCGACGTTCGTAGTTTGGGAAAATGACGAAATAGCATGGAAAAACAAAATTTCGGGCCACAACAACACAGACAACACCAACCTTGATGTAAAATCGCCATGTTGGTTTTCTAGGTTCTAGGTCAATGTTGATATTAGAAAATTTATTTAAGCATGAATGTTTATATCTTGACAGTGGCAATAACTGCCCAAATAGGTATTTTATTTCTCCCATACAAAGTTGATCCCCCCTGCTAGAATTACAAAACAAATTGTTTGCAGTTTGACACTTAACATATTTGGTGCGTTCCACTAAGCGCTCACGACGATCACGCTCACGACCGCTGATTTCCCCATTCCACTTGATTGTGAATGTTACTGTCGTTAACTCAAGTGGAATGGATTATGGAGCGTTTCGGGCGTTCATGTAAATATTACAAATGTCAAGTTTGAAAATAGTAGAATTTTAAGGAGGTTAGGTAATCATAAACAATAAGTTTTGATATTTGTGACATAAATTTATTTATGTTAAAAGTGAAGAATAATTGAATATTTTATAAATAATTTTGGTGAAGTTATCAAACAACTTAAGTAATATTTAAATATAATCGAAATGGCTTTACAATTTCTCTTTCTGAATCAAATAATGTGATTTTTCGTGTCGCCATCTTTAAGCTTTGAATATAATAATATTATTATTTGTCATATTTCAAAAATTGCGCCAAATTATTCTCAACGTTCACAACGACCCACCTCTTTAGATGGGTCGTTGTGAGCGTTGCGTGAGCATTTGTCATGACGTCATGAGTGACGTTTTCGCCGTGACCACAACGACCGCGGTCGGTATGTGGAATGGCTAAAGGAGCATTTTGATCGTCGTGAGCGCTTAGTGGAACGCACCACTAGTGTACTGCTGATTCGCTGAATATAACCCGGGTAATTTAAATCAAGTTAAAAGTAGATCTGAAAATCAATATTTTTGCAACGCGCATCTAGTGTCTAAATCTAGATTATTGTTCAGCATAGAGAATCAAATTTATTTTGATTTTTCTTATAAGTAAATAAAGAACGACGACGGTGCTTTTTTTTCAAATTATATAAAGCCAAGTATTTTTTGGAAATCTGCCAATTTTGATGTTCGTCAGATTATTCTTAAACAGAGGTTTGTTCTGTGTAGCAGTAAAGGGCTTTGGTAAATCAAAATCATCCATAGTTCAATCTAAAACTACGCGTGAATATCGGAAATTTTTTGGAAATATGAAATACGCAAAATTATCGCAGACAAAAGATTTGATGCCCACTTTAGGTTTAGGTACTTGGCAGGTTAGTACGATAGATTTAAAAACTAAAATTTGTTATCTTTTTATAAAGATTTTAAACATCTTTTAGGCTTCACCAGATGTGATAGGATCTATAGTATATAAAGCGTTAGATTTGGGTTACCGGCACATCGATACGGCATTCAATTATAATAATGAGGAGGCGATTGGAATGGCAATACAAAAATGGATTAAGGACAGGAAGGGATCAAGAAGAGATTTATTCATTACAACAAAGGTAATATTTCCCTGCAAAAACCGCTAAAGCCTTTTTAAATAAATTGTCCGTAATCCACTATTGTACCACGAAAGTTGTTTTAGAAGTCGAATAACTTGATGTTTTTAGTTACCCCACGTTGCAAATAGAGCGTCGGACGTAAAAAAGTTCTTTGAGCTACAGCTTCAGAGATTGCAGTTAGATTATGTGGACTTGTATTTGATACATGTACCATTCGCATTCCATTGCGACCCGAAGACCCTCACGCCAATAGTAAAGAGCTGCGGAGAGTACGAGCTGGATCATGACACTGACCATGTTAAAACTTGGAAGGTAAGAAAAGTTAGTTTGTCTTCCATACGAATGAGTAATGAAAGGCTTCTGTAATCTGTCGTATACATAAACTAAGCTATAGCTCGTAAAAGCGTAACATTCCGGCTTAAGAATAATTAATACGTTTGTTTATCGTTTAATACCTACTGTCCTCATGAATTTAGATTAGTTTTAAGATTTACTCCGATAGTAGACACAAAATATTTTGGTGGTTGTAAATGAAATTTTGTAAATGCAACCATAATCTTACAGGCCATGGAAGATTGTCAAAAAGACGGTTTGGTTCGGAACTTGGGCTTATCTAATTTTAATGAGGCTCAAATAGCAAATATTATAAAGAGCGCTACAATTAAGCCGCAAGTTCTTCAAGTGGAGTTGCATGCATACTTTCAACAAATACCATTGAGACAGTTTTGTGAGGAACACGATATAGTGGTGACTGCGTATGCACCACTCGGTAGTCCGGGTGCGAAGGACCATTTCGTCAATAAATACAATTACAGGTGAGATTTAAGAATCGTGATGTGATTGTATCTGCGTGGTGTAGCTGCTTTGGACAGAATTAATAAAAAATCGGGTATATATCTTAACGATGACGAACTTACATACAAAATTTGTACCACTCCCTGTTTCAACCACTTTTTCATGATAAAAGGCATTCTATCTCCTTTGCCCCAGGCAACTCATTAAAATTGGTTAATTAGCAGAGATGTATGATGTATCTATGATTTTTCTTTTCTTATGAGACAGCATCTCTATCCCTAATCTTTATTACGCACTAATTGTTTCGAGAACGTATTGGATTTTGACATACAAAACTCATATGTTTCGAATAAAATATTATCTCAACTACTAATTTAGCATTAAACGTATGTAATTTACAACTTTAATTCACGTAAAAACGTTTTCAACTTCAGCCCTGACAAATTTCCGGATCTACTAGGACTCCCAGATGTAAAGAAAATGGCTGAAAAGTACAAAAAGACACCCGCCCAAGTCTTACTACGCTTTCTAGTTCAGCAGAACGTTGTCGTTATACCTAAAAGTACTAGCGAAAAAAGAATTAAGGTATTTAATATAAAATAATTGAGTCTTTGTCTGACATAGATATTTATTAGTAAAAGGTTTTCTAACAGTTATTACAATGAAACTTAAAATGTAAAGAATTCAACAAGCTAACCTCTTAAAATATCATACAATTATTAAGGCAAGTAGATTTGTCTTTCTGATATCAATCATTGTCATACAATTTGTAATATTCATAGGAAAATTCAAACATATACGACTTCAAGTTGACTTTGGAGGACATAAAAACTTTAAAGAACCTGGATAGAGGTGAAGATGGCCGCATCTTCAATTTCTTATTTTGGAAGGGAGTTGAAAACCATCCGGAGTACCCTTTTAAATTGCCAGTATCTTTGTTTGGTATTTGAATGGCACAAAACTATTGCTTCTTCATTCCCCTAGTAAATAGTGCTTTAGAATTATGTTAATTTATGTGTGTACCACTTATTAACAGACAAGGATGTAATGTGATAGTGTGGAACACGAATTGCTTCAGAGAAGTTTGAGTTAATAAATATATATTTTAGAAAATATTGTATTTTATTTCCTTGAATATTCCTTTCCTGTCATAATTCATTATTGAACACTTATTTGGGATATTGTTAAAAATAAATGTGACAACGTATCACAATAAATTTTCAGTCCGTAGTCAGTCTGTTTCAATATGTAGGTAATGCATAAGATTAAGGTATATAACACTTTCTAGTTCTAGCTTATCAAAAAAATCCTTTATTTATGTCTTACAGAAAAAAACATTTTAATTTTTAACAAGTACATAAAAGAAATGTTCGACACAGTCGTTCAGAAGATTATTTTAGTTAGGTATGTAACAATGTTGAGGTTAAATTATGACAATCGGTACAGCATTTTCCTTTGCAAGCGATGCTGTAATTCTCCACGCCTGATCATTGTATGAACAACTTTGAGTATGGCCCGTTCTGGGTATTTTTGTTTAAGGAAATCTTGAATAATAGTTTGCTCGGATACTTGAGAACCGACTGCGAAGCGACGTTTTAATTGTTTCTCGATTCGGGTCAACATCTCCTGATCTTCTTCGGATGTGAAGCCTTCCGCTCCTGCACAGATGTTATAAAAATATTGTTTAAATGGGAGTTAAAAAAATTATTTTAGTATCAAATTGACAGGAAGACGTTTAGAAATACATAAAAAAACCTGGACTTATTACAAAAACCGGGTCTAAACAACTTTTTAGATCTGGGTTTTATTTGCTGTAACTATTTTGTGATATTTTTAATAGGCAAGTTTTTATAAGGCATGCCGGTTTACCCACGATGCGTACAAAGAAGGAAAATACCATTGGTGCACAGCCGGAGTTCCAACCTACGAACTCTAGGATGAGAGTCGTACGCTGAACCACTAGGGCAAACACTTCTCGTCACAACTAATTAAATAAAATATCATAATTACTATGAACTTTATTTTTTTTAAATATAATGTTATAAAATAACTATGCAACTCAAGAATATTTGCAACGTTCGAATTTAAGACATTGTGGAATTTTCTATTATAGTTCGACTAAGTATGCACTCTAAAATCGTAAAATATCGAAGTAAAACAGAGATTTTGTATGCAACGGGTGTAAATTTGGTTATATTAGATGCTTAGAGTTAATTGCTGGCCAAATATAGACAACTTATCCATATTTAATGGTTTTTAACACGTGCTAGGTATATATATCACAACAAAACAGCACCGCAACAATCGTGACTCGGTCAAAGTGGGAAAATCGCAAAATTCGATCTGTGGAGTACAACTTTATTTTAGAGAATCAATCGTCGATCTATAGTTTTCATACAAAAATCAATCCTAAAATACCGATCGGTCCTCCCAAAGATGGTTTACAAAAACAGATATACTATTGATCCATCGATCGGTTATTGAAAAGTATTTTATGAGAAGTGGCTTGAAATATTAATTAGTAGTAAAAATTGGATTGAGATTGAGTATCAAAAACGGCCGTATGTGTTCTTCATAGCTGACAAAAAATGCCATGATTCATTTTTATAATCTAGATCTTTGGCTTTCTAAAATAGTTATTTCCCCCCTGTATAATTTTTAATATAAAATAATTGTATGTTCACTTACTCACTCTCTTGTTAACAAGGTAGTTAAATGATAGGTTTATAGGAGACACAGTAAGTAATTTTCAAAATAAATAATGAAAAACAGAAATTAAAATACCAAATAATTTTTTCCTCCTTAACAATCAAATTCCGCCAGTGGGGCATAGGCCCCACATTGGGAAACACTGATCTAGATGATAATTACCAGCTAAACTGCCGGTCATGGCCGCGTCCAGGGTGGACACTTGGAAGAGCCTTAGAGCCTCCGTCACGTGAGATTCCGTTGCGAATGGCTGCAGTTGCATCTTCGCCAATGATTCCGATATACGAACTATGGCTTCTAGTTGCCTGAAAAATTGCAAATATAGGTAAACGTTTTACGATTATACCAAGTCGGTAATTATTTATTATAGCTTATGTCAAACAGATGTGTACTTAAATTAATAATCTAATCCAATTGCTTTAGACTGTCCGCGAAGCTCGGACTGCAGGCAGTGCGCAATAGCTTTGCTAGCTATTAGCCCTCTGATGGCAAAGCGACTTCTAAGCCTCAACAGAACTAATCTTAAAACATATTAGATGATATAATGATAGGGACAATTACGGGCCATTGTCTCCTTAATAAACATCTTTTTGTCCTAGGCGCAACTAACAGCTCTATGTGCAGAGGAACTGTAAATTAATACAAATCAGGCGCAGATAGCTTATACTCTGCAGGAGTCGATTCGGAGCGATAAAATAGTGATTAGTTTGTTACGAAAATAATAATTTAAAAATATCTATAAACCGCCATAGAAATGTATTCTGTGCTGTGCTTCAGACCAAAAACAATAGAAGTAGTGAAGTCTACCAAAGACAATGTTTCGTTTAGTCATCTCTTAGACTTAAATAGTCCTGAATCTAATACAATGTGTTATAAACGCCTTTCAAAATTGTAATTAGTTAACTTGCTTTTGAGTATAGTCAGGGAAAAAATTATATACATACCGAACAGTAATGGGTATAGTGAGTCGTTTGTCCATCTGTCGTTCCTGTAGCGAGGCCCCCGAGCGCATCAAGACATATCTGGCCGCCAGCCTTTGGGCAGCACTCTCGGATAAGCGAGGGCCACATCTGGCCCTGCAGTACGCGGAATACCGCCGCAGTACGGCCAAGGGGAGTTCGCCCTCGGCGCTTTGGCGCTCCGCTGCGTTACCGCCCATGTGCACTGATATTATGTGCTTAGCTAGTGTCTGGAAACGGTATTTCGGTATTATATAACGCTACTACCGTTGTATGGAAAGACATTACATTGAATAGAGGATAAGCCAAACAAAAAATCGGTATTTTAGTTAGTTTGACGGTATTTTAATGATTACCCTAAACTTATAACCGAATTACACATAACTATATAATGTTACTATTATAACATATTACAACATATCCTGGAATTTGGAGTCTAAACCAGAGTAAAATTCAATTTAAAAAATTTCCAAAATAAATTTGATAGCTGAGTACTATCCAAATTAAACATAAATATCTAACATACAACGAAAATAAGTTACACCAAGCTTGGGTTCCCTATGGATCAAAGATGGAGAAATCTGAATAGAACATAATATGGACTGCGCTTAGGTACTTTAATACATATAAACTGATGGATTTCAAATCTACAGAGGCCTTACTACGTATCTTGGCATGACTCTGAGGTTTCGGTAACTAACACAGACACTGCGCACGCCCATAACTCACACATTCACACATTAACACATGCCTATTAGACCAGGGTCGATAACGTCAAGACTTGTGTTTGATTAACTGTAAATAAGTTATTCTCAAAAACTGTTTTAAATATCAAAATCATTAATTTATTTATATAGGTAACCACAATGTACACTTATAAACGTCAAAAAAAAATACATTAAATGCTTCTAATTTTACATTTACTGCCAGTTCTCAAATCAAGGGCGTAGAACGGAAGAGAATAACTGGCAATAAACTCTCAGCCACTTTTTTAATAGAAATACTACAATCGCTTTTGAGGAAGACTTTTTTTTAAATGATACTTACAATGTCCCTATTCTGGTCGTGTTCGTCCTTGACGATGAAAATCATATCGAATCGAGATAAAATAGTGGGCATGAAGTCTATATTGTCGTCCGCTTTCGTGTCGTCCCATCTCCCGAACACCGAGTTGGCGGCCGCTAGTACTGAGCAACGAGAGTTTAGAGTTGTTGTTATGCCCGCCTGAAAATAGAATTATTAAGTTACAAATGTTGCATTTAGACCTTTTAGGGAACGTTCAAGTATTACGTAACGAATTTTTTTCCTTTTGTAAAACGTTACGATGCGGGGCGGGGATTGATTTACACGTTATTGTTAATATTATTTTACACCACATAATAGTAACTAAAGAGTCACTAGGTGTTCACGAAACGTTTTACTAGACTTGGATACAGTACTGTACTTGGGTACTGGAAAACGTTACGGCGAGTTCATGGGGGGAGGCTATAATCTCCAAAAATTGCGTTACGTAATACTTGAACGCTTCCTTAAGCAAAACCTGTTACCAGCTATACTAATCAAATAAAAAAAAAGTGTGTGTACTTAAGTTATATTTCTTTAGCGTAACAAGACAAAAATCTTTTTAATTTTTTTATCTTTCGCCTAGTTCTACGTTTGTAGAAAAACTGACACTAACAAAAAAAGGTATTTAATACATTATAAAAACGCATTATCTAGTTAAATTAAGTTTATTTATACATCACAAAATAAAATCTACATAATTAAAGAAATTGACATTTTTTATTTTAAAATGTTGACTATGTTAACTTCAGGGTATCGGTTTTTTGTGACAGTGTGCGAGTGTCGGTTTTTTGTGTGTTTGTTTGTTTCGTGTGTTACGGTGTGTGCGCGCATCGTAAAAATTTACTCTCATCATATTTCCCTAACGCGCCAAATGAAGTATAACTTCAAAAACAATTTTGTTACAATAAAAAAAAATACTTACACACAAATATATACATAGTTTGTAACAAGTCAAAGGTATTTATGACATGAAATATTTGTAATTCTGACCTTCGCGATAGAAATAGTCTGTTGCTCCATAGCCTCGTGGATGGCGACACGGTCGTCTTCCCTCATCTTGTCGAACTCGTCAATACAGACCACGCCCCCATCTGCCAGAACCATCGCACCGCCTTCCATCACGAAATTACGCTGAAATTAATGGTAAACGGAGAGTCAGTCTGGTGGTAGTGTGTTTGTGCACCGGTTATTAAAAAACTTTTAAAGGTTGATATCCAGATTTCGTACCGCGTAATTTCAAGCTCGCATCGCACGCTAACATCAGCGTGATTAGATATCATTGCTGTGAGTGCAATTAAAAATATTATTTGGCGGCACGACCGCGGCAGTGCGCTCACTAAGTCGAACAAAAAAGCGGCACGGCCTTTTCTCGAAGCGGCTTGGATGAAGAAAAAATAGAACTAAAGCCTGAATGTTCAATTACAAAGCAGGGATTGTATAAACACGGTATATTTCAAATTTCACTCAATTTGAACAAGTTGTTTAAGAATCATAACTACAGTGACATTTCTTAATTTTGTCCCTCACTGACTGACCGATCATCAAAACTCTCATACATAGAAGCTTCAAATTCAATATATTTATTTAAAAAAAGATTTGTAATACAGTGTCTCTCGATTTAACGAAACCTCCTAAAGCGTCGAAATCACTCGGCTTTGGTTGGTTTAGCTTGTCTTCCATACAATGATACCCTCAATAACGACCACAATTAAATACTAAAAAGTACTTTTTAAGTTGCCGAAATTAGTTAAAATTGCGGAGCTGTGTACGTTCTTTTGACGTTTTCTTGTCTTAGCCCCTAATTTAATTTTTTACAAATTGTGATTGCTTGTGCTTTAAAACGAACATTAATAGCGCAAGATATTAGTAAAATAAGTAAAAAAAAGGGTCCGTGTACTTATGTACGCGCGTAAGAAGTTATACTTCTTTGGCAATATTAAAAATAGTTTGGCTTTGTTCCACCTCCAGTTTTTGATGTTTCACAGCGATAAGATGACAACTCTTTTTTTGTATTCAATTTAGTGCAGTTACACTGATTCATCAATTGTTTTTTGTCTCTTTTCCTTATATTTGCTAGATAAAATCAGAAAAATTACATGTTTTGATTAAACAATGTGGTTAATTTTTTAATCAAAACATTACTCGATAATAATAATAATACATACGGATAGTTAACCTCAATTGTATTGAAGCACTTAGGAAGGTTGATGAGCACAGTTTTTTCACAAATATTAATTAGTATTGGTTTAAATATTCAATTTAAATCACTTCTGATTATAATTCAAAAAGCATCGCTAAATTTCTTTGAAAAAATAATTAAAACTCTCCATTTTCTTCTTTCCATTTAACGACAATTCTTTGTAACGTCAGAATACAAAGTCCCTTGAGTGTCATTATATAGATTTAACACTGTAATTATTCACTATATTAGATGTTGTTAGGTTAACTAGTTGATAACTTAAGTAAGAAGGCACCTTAAGTAGGGACTGAATTAACCAACTTGGTATTACATGGTTCTCACTACTTTATACAGTATAAGAACTGAGTTGCTAGACTTGACTTTTTATATAACAGAGTGGAGAGTTGTACTACATGAGAATTTTTATATGTAAAATAAGTTTGAAAAATCCAGAGCTAAATAGTTATCTGCTGCCTCGGAGCTTATAATTCGACAACCTGGTCAGTTGATAAATCAAAACCGAGATAATTTAAACGAATATTTTGTCATTCATATTAATTTACTGGTATTAATTATACTCACACTCGCCGGATCGCGTATGACAGAGGCTGTAAGACCGGCGGCACTGGATCCTTTCCCTGAAGTATATACTCCAATGGGAGCCACTTTCTCCACAAACTTCAGCAGTTGGGACTTGGCAGTACCGGGGTCACCCAATAATAGTATGTTTATATCTCCACGACGGGTTAGGCCATCTGGTAACCTTTTGCGAGAACCTGGAAAATATTTACATTCCATTAGTGTTAATAAAGCTGTTTTTTGATGAAATAGTTTTTTTATAAATTGTCACAAAATTAAAAAGTGGCGAAGATAAAGTATTCCTTAAGGCTTAAATTTATAATACTTAAGAAACATGAGGTTCTTTAGACATCTTGTCATATTATTATTTTTTGTATTAAACACTGAACATAATCTATCTAAATCAGTGTTTCCCAACATGGGGCTATCCAAAAATGTATTAAAGTTATTTGTAAATTGTATTTGAGGTTTTATTATGTTTTCAAAATTTACTTACTGAGTTTCGAAAACACTTAGTAATTTCTTCCTCAAACCTTCTTTTTTAGTAAAGAATGAAATTTTTGAAGTTGTACTTCTTTAGGCGCGTTATGAAAAATTGATGAGAGTGAAATTTTACGATGCGCGCGCACCTGTGACACAAAATTGGGAGTGTGATATAGCGTGCGCGAGCGAGATGGGAATAAGACAATCTACAAGTAAAAAGAAATAGAATATGCGTGAAGTTAGCTTCACGCATATTCTATTTCTTAGCTTAGCAGCTTAACAAGAATTTTGAATGACCATGACATCTGACAATGACATTTACCTTTTAAACAAATAAAGGAGTTTTAATTATTGTTGCAAATTAAAAGATTATATACCTATTTATTTTCATTATACAAGTGCGAATTTTATATGTGCGTCTGAATTATAATCAGAAGTAATTTAAATTGAATATTTAAAACAATACTAATTAATATTATTCTACGACCCTATATATCAATAATTGAGAACAAGGATTTAAGCATTCGACTAATAAGGAGAAAATGAAGGCTTGGAGCGATATAACAGAGAAGTAAACATTTTAATAAGTACCTGCATCTCATAAATGACCACATTATTTAATCAAAACATGTAATTTTTCAGATTTCATCTAGCAAATATAAGGACAAGAGACAAAAAACAATTGATGAATCAGTGGAAGTGCACTAAATTTAATACAAAAAAAGAGTTGTCATCTTATCGCCGTGAAACATCAAAAACTGGAGGTGGAACAAAGCCACCATCACAATGGACATGGCAGAGATGATACCGCAACGGTTTGAAGTAGATTTCAATGAATTTGATTGTGATGGTGTTGAGGTAGGAATGTTAATTATAAATATGATGTATGGTGATGTTCAAGGTTCAACCTCTCAAGCATAGGCACATACTTTATTCCCCTACAGGGTAGTTAGAGATATTGTAATACCTCAAAACATCCATGTTGCACTTGTAGTACCAAAACTCTGTCCAGCCAGAAGTGAGCCTATTCCCACTTATAATGGACAGTGGGTATAATACACCTTAACACCTGAGTGCGAACCACTCACCATGATACTTAAATTAATAGATGTTATTTATATATTTCAGGATATTACAAATAAAATCATTTTGGAAACAATTGATATCCCAAAATCAAATAAAGCCAACAATGACAAGGTAATATATCAGTTTTGACATAACTTGAATACTAGAAAAGCCAGACAAAGGTGTGCACAACAGTGACAAAATAACTTAACAATTTCATTATTTTGTAGGATTAAAGAAAGGTTAAAGAAAATCATGTCGAACTGAACAACAAGAATCCCCTAACAACTCCAAAGAAACCTACAAGGAAGACACCGGTATTATATTTAAATTATCTCTATCTCTAAATAGAATAAAAGAAAGTTGCTATCCAGGTCTGAAGCATGTGCTACAAATTATATTATTAACACATTTATATAATTATATTAATATAAATGTGTTAAAAAATTTATAATATGAATTATAAAAAATTTTAAGTTTTGCATGGGCAGAGCTTAGATTAATATTCTCTTATTTGTTGCAGAAAGCAAGTAGTAGTTATAGTTTTGGAGAAGCCTCGTAGATGCACAACCAAGTAATGATTAATAGAATTTATGTTACACTTAATGTAATAGAATAATAATAAATATTTATTTATTTAATTTTTCAAATGTAAACTGAACTTTAATGACTCCTTTTCCAGTCTTTGATTATTTAATTGTAATTAATTATTTGAATGCAATCAAAAACTATTTTAATAATGCTAAAGAAGTATAACTTCTTACGCGCGTACAAAAGTACACGCACCCTTTTTTTTTTAATATTAAAAATTATACATGTTACATTATACGGTCCTAAAAATTTTAGAAAGTCTAAGGTATAGAAGGGCATGGCAAACGTTTGGATATACTGATCTAAACCTACCTCCAAACAGCAAACAAGCAATAGCTTTCTTCATATCCACAACTCCAAAAACACTTGGTGCAATCGAAGCAGCTATCCTTTCATATATGTCTGGCGCAGCAGCCAGTCTTCGGAACTGTTCTTCTTCATCAGGAGTGAAAGGCCTGAGACCTCCAGTCACCCCTTCTTCAGCTGACAGACCAACCGCACGAAGGTATGATGAACGAACTCCAACAGAGCCTTTTTCTCGGTCACCTCTCTATAATAGTTTTATGAAATTTTGTAATTTATCGATAGTAGATAAGGCCCTAAATTATACCTAATATTTTTTTAATTTTATTCGATGAATTTACTTACACACTTATTTCCATTAAAGTGCTACACAGTGAGTGAAAAATAAAAAATAGAACACATGAACAGAGTGTCTTCCCTTTAATAGAGACTGTAAGTAGTGTTATTGGACACTTTCTTATGTTAAATATCCTTATTAGTAAATTAGGTTAGACTTAAATTACTTATTACTCACAATCAAATAAAACAATTAACGCCAGAAATTGAATTGTCTTAGGGATGTGTAACATGTGCTAGAGTTTGATTAAAGATATTACCCCTATTTTGGAGATCTTCTTGATAGAGTAAATACCAAGTACAGTAACTCGTGCCCCTGGGGCCACTCGTTCACAGAGCATACGATCACAGTACACAGTCAGGTGTCTTGGCATCTCTCCCTGTGGAATGTTCTCTGGGGCTTCTTGTAGTTTTAGCACCTGCAGTATCAAACATAACTTACAAGTGGAATCATACATAGAAGAAATTTTGTGATATAGTTTTATATGTCTAAGATGTTGCATTGTATTATGTTGTTAGATTAATGTGAACTAAACTATACGCAAGTGGCAGATTTACCAGAAGGCTGAGTAGGCTGGACCCAAGGGGGCAAATTTGGGAACCGATTGTTTTTTGCTACCTCAGAAATCAAAAATATTTCTGCATGACGGTTTTCTGATATTACAAATAGAAGTCTGCAACAAATTTGATTGATGACTTTCCTCTCTCACTTGTCATTGTTCATTTGGTGTAGCAAACTTCCATATTCTAAAGTAAAACAGCTAGTTTGCCGCCCTTCAAACAGTACACGACCTCTGCACCCTCAGCTCACACTTTGGATGAGTTAAGAGTGAAATTGCAGAAAATGTAATTCCCTCTTCTCTCTTTCCTCTATGAACCCATACATGTCAGCCTTACTGGTTAGAGGGTGGAAACTGGATGGTTGGTGTATAATTTTGTGCTAAAATCACACCCTAATTTTATTTTATGTGCATGTTCAAAGAAATTGTTGGATAGAAAAATGTTCTAGAACATGACAATTGTGTAGACAAGGGCAGCAAAAACTTCACAGCCTATACTTTGTAAATTTGTTAATCCGCCACTGCTATAAGCTTTTTGCAGCTCACAAAAAATTACAAGCATAATAAAATGTGCATATTTAATAGTAGGTATATTTTTCTATAGAAATTAAATATGTTATTGTAATTGAATCTGTTCAATTATAATACTAACAGTTGTAAAGGTACAATATTAACAACTTACCTGATAGTCAATGCATTTACATTTGTCTGGCACTATGAAATATGGATCTAGAGGGCATTTTGGTCGTCCAGCTTGCTCTCTGAAAACATAAATAAGACTTACCTCAAGGAAAATATTATCAACAGTACAGTCATGGAAATGCATACAATGGGTACCGATGGGGGAAATCAAGTCTCCACACAGATATGCCATGATATGGTGTAACACACATATCTCATTTATATGAGAAAATAAATGTGTTTATTCATCATAATTATTAATTTTATAAAATGACTACTTACGTATTACATTTTCTAGGCATAACATATCCTTCAAGTCCAGGTTTGACAGCCAAGTTCGGTATCATATTACGACATGATCTGCATTGAATAGATATTTTTGTAGCTTTTGCTTTGATTGCAGATGCTGATATAACTATACCAGGTATTTTTACCAATCTGGATACTGTTTCTGACTGTAAATAATTATAAGGTTTATATGTTAATAAAAAGCATTTACAGTATGAACATGTATCCAATATTCAATTTTAATTATTTGTATATTTTAAAGAATCATATAAAATTTTATGAAGTCACTTTTACACAACAAACAAAATATTATTTTCTGAATATTTTCAGTATTAACATGGTTGAAGTAATTAAAATTACCTTCAGTTCTCTTAAGTTAGATGCATGGGCATCTGATGAGAGCAGCACCTGAATATCTTCTACTTTTTCTTCTCCTTCTGGTCTAGGTGCAGTGAGCTCATCAGCTAACTAATAACATAAAGGTAATGTTTAATTGATTACTAGATCATTACTTTACTTTTAAAACCAGGTGTAACTAACAAACAGGAGGTCTACAATTCCCAATATCTCAATCTAGTGCTCTCAATTTTTGTATGAACTGAGAGCACTACACACTATACACTGTACTAAAAACAGAATATATGCTTTCTGATTTAGACTGCAATGTCCTTATTTAATTTTCAATTCAATTGTAATCTACAATAACAGAACAAATATTTATAATTGCTTGTTAGATATAATTGTGAGTTACCTCCTTTGCTGCCTCTTCAAGTATAGGTATGTGTTCAGTTGGTTTTTTGTACAGTTTTTCAGCCAGCACTTCATCAAAGCTAGACAAGTCTTCAATATTAAGTTCTACCCAATATTGACGAAGGTTATAGTTTCTTTTCAAAGCATCCCTAAAACGAAAACGATAAATGTTATGTTATTAAAGGAACATCTCACAATTAAACTTTAGATACGGTCATTACTTACCTGTATTTATAATTAAAGTTTCCTGTGTGAAATTGTCTCATAAACTCTTTGAACTTCTTTTTAACTGCTTGAAGGTTAATTTGATCTTGTGATTCTCCTTCTTCTACTCCAAAATTATCAGAGAAAAATACACCAGGATCGTCAAATCCTTCCATGGTTTACAATGTACTTAAACGTAAAGAAGCTCCTAAAATCTTAGCTTCCGTTTTACTTGTTTTACAAACAATAATACAATTACAATCTACAAACTGCAGTTACAACTTACACGTTAGTTTACGCGGGTAAATAGATCCATCTGACATTTTACAATGTGTCACGACTTATGACACATGCTATGGAGTCATTACTGACATATTGAACTATATTTTGTTTTTTTTAGACATACCTTGAATATATTAATAGAATTGATAATATAAAAGATGTTTTTTAGAATTGAATGGAATTAAGAACCAAATCATTACTACGTAAACGCAACGGTTCATTCTAATATCTTAAGACTATGTTCAGATGGCAAAAACTTGACGCGCGTTTTCAAATCGCGCGACTAGAGATTATGGTATTTTTCATACAACTGTTCACATGTACGCGCGTTAACGCGCGTTAACGCGCGTCAACGCGGCGCTCAGAGAAAAAGTCTCTAGACGCAGGTGATCGCGCGTTGACGCGCGCTTTGATATTAATGTAATGTCCGTTTGCTGTTCAGATGAGCGCGCGCTTTCATCGCGATCGCATGTAATTTTATTAATTTTCGTAATTATATTTTGTTCTCGCTTTTAAAATGAGTGAAATTGAAGATATTGACATCGATGAAGTAGAAAAAAGGTCAGCAAGTTGGAATATAGCAAATTTGTATAAAAAATATAATATAAATTGTATTTTTTTTTCAAAATTGGATAAACCCAATGTGTACGTTTTCTTTTTCTATATTTTTCTTTATAATATAACCACAAAATAATAGCCTCTTCCACGTCCATTTTCTACGTTCTACCGAACTAGACTGACGAGTACTCTCGCAACGCGCGTTAGCGCTCATCATCTGAACGCTCTTCAAATTTGATCGCGCGTTGACGCGCGTAAACGCGACGGTTCATTCTAATATCTTAAGACTAACAGAAAATAGATTTTTTGAATTTCGAAAAGCGGTTGCTATAACAACCATTGTTCATTTATTATTGATGTTAATGCGACACAATAAAACAAACATATTTTAAACTAGTTCTTGAAAATGTATTTAGACTAATAAGAAACAATAGATGTTACTATAATTAATTAGCACGACATAAAGACAGCAAAATGGGTGATGTAAGTGAAAACATAATGTTTCATTCGTAATTGGTATATTCCGTACGGTACAAATGATTCGTACAATGTATGTACATCGTTAATAGTTAAAATTCTAAGTCTAGAAAACTTAGGACTTAGCTAATGTCCACAGCTTTCCACTGTATCGTATGCACGAAGATTAAGTAGTATATACCTATTAGAGATCGATATCTTCGCAGGCAAAATAATTCTAATAATATTTCGAGTTCAATCATTGACTGACGATTCCGAAGATTTATTTTGTTATAAATCCATAATTATGTTAATGTGTATTTACTTTTCCGTCACAGAAAGAAGACGTTGATTTGCGCTTAGAATTTATGTCCGAATATATCCTAAAGTCTCTAAAACTTAAAATAGAGAAATGGAATAAGTTTATCACCGGAGATGAAAGGGTAACTATTAGATATTTGACGTAAATTACTAAGAAATGAAATAACTATAATTAAAAAATAGATTTTGGTACTTAGGAATTTTGGATATAATATAATGTTCTACTATACTTTCAGCATGTTTTGTTCAGGTACTTTGACATGCCTAAATACGATATAATAGTTTTTCGAGTTAATACCGCCGGCCTGCTTACTTGTGCGACTAATTTTCCTCCAATAAGCAGGGGAAAGATGCTTTACTTCTTGAGAAATGTTGACGACAAAATAACAGCCACCAATTACAGACAGGTCAGTTAATATCTATACATTTTTTAGCTAAGTAAACTGATCAATTACTTTATACCTCCCTATGCTAAATATGCTCTTTGTAATTAAATGTGCGACAGCAGATGTAGCTATCGAACATCCTATTAACGTACCAAAGCTTCGAATTTCAATCTTTTAAAAATGATGGCGCCAAAATATTGCAACCGGAAACTGGAAAGTGAATGTAAACATGAAATGAATCAGAAATTGTATTGTCTAACATCTAAAGATAACAAAAAGTATAACTTGTATAGTACAACCCCGGCAAAATACAAAATTCTACTCTAATTGTGGGAGCCTAGTGGCTTCAGCGTGCGACTCTCATCCCTGAGGTCGTAGGTTCGATTCCCGGCTGTGCACGAACGGTGAAGGAAAACATCGTGATGAAACCGACTTGTTTTAGACCCAAAAAATCGACGGCGTGTGTCAGGCACTGGAGGCTGATCACCTTGCGTATTAGATTAAAAAATGATCATGAAACTGATTCAGAAATCTGAGGCCCAGACCTAAAGAGGTTGTAGCGCCACTGATTATTATTAGTTGTGTACTGTAATTACCTTTTTATTTTTTTTCATCATGTATATATTTCTCATCCCGCGTTTGAGATTGGACTAGGGCCAATAATTCGTAGCAATTATGAATATTATAAATATTCAAATATTCCAGGCATTGACGATTGGTGAATTATCAGGCAATGTGCTAATGGATTTATCCGTGATGGCTGATGAAGTTATTGGCCCACTCCTATGCAATCCAGAAAATCAACGAGGCTGGCCCAAGATAGTGAAAAACGATATGAAAAGACATGTTAACGAACTACGAAATTTAATGCATCAGGTAAACAAAAGAAAAATCGGTAATGATTTGGAAATCCATCGAACGAATTTGATGATACTGATTACGTAGGTGTCTCGGGGGACCGTGATTGGAACACCTCCAATTGATTTGTGATTATTATGAAAAATGATTTAAAATTTTGTGTAATGTATTGAAATTCGTTAACAAATCGTACATTTTCTACTTTTCTATTGGTTATTAGATATGTGTAATTCTGCATAAAAAAGTCGGTTTTTTAATTAATCGATTTTTTTAGCATGAAAAATCGATGAATAAAAAATAATCATATAATCTAAACCTAATTCCATAAAGGCAAGACTATAAGTATAAAGAGAATATAATTAATAGTTTGTTCTAAATATGTAGTGTAATAAAATTCTGCCACGCCATGTTAATTGATAATCTCCACGGGGAAAGATATGGGAAATCTACCACTTACATCTCTATAGAAAAAAATATTATACAGTCATAAATTAAAAATAAAATTTGATTTGCTATTTTAAAAGAGTACCGAGAGTTTTTTACGCCGGCTTTTTTCTCTCGGCCTACACCCTCTGTCTTCTTTGCCGATGAGTAGGGATGCCAACAAATTCAAATTTAATGACGTGGAATAAGTGATACATGTATCTTATGTTCCATAATAAACATATTTTATTTTATTTTTTATTTTTAAAAGGCCCTTGTATTTAACTTCAAAAATATTTTCTTTTACAAACAAATTCTGACCCTAAAAGCCATAATTTTAAGTACTATTGTTTAAATTTTTATTATTAATAGTTAAAGGGAGAGATGAATAGCCAAGTAATGCTGCCCATGCCGGATGGAGTAGAGACTATATACAATGCTGAAGCTAAGCTAAGGGAAAGGTGAGAACTTGTATGGGCTAAAATACTACAATTGGAAACTGGTTATAATAAACATTAAATATTTAAAATAAATGTTTGTTTTAGTGAAGACGATGTGGATTTGTATCTGAAAACAAATATTGAAGGTGCAATAATAAAATGGGCCCAACAAGTGCATGATTTGCTAAAAGAAGATTCTTATATTGGTAAATATTACCCATTTTTGATTTTGTTGGCACATAATTATTATCAATGACGCTACAACCTTTTTAGGTCTGGGCCTCAGATTTCTGTATCTGTTTCATGATCATTTGGTAATCTAACAGGACTTTTCGGGGCTAAGGCAAGCCGGTTTCCTCACGATGTTTTCCTTCACCGTTCGAGCAAATGTTAAATGCGCACATAGAAAGAAAGTCCATTGGTGCACAGCCGGGGATCGAACCTACGACCTCAGGGATGAGAGTCGCAAAGTTAAATTCTAAATTCTAAAATAATCTGTGAAATTTTTTTTTTTTTCTAACTAGATCAGAATATAATTTATCTCTTACATTTTGGTTTCTTAAATTTTGTTTGGACTTACCTAATATGTCAATTGTTTTTTTTTAAATTTTGTATTGAAGTGCATCTATTCATGGCTTGATTTCCAATTTGGCTCAGTGTAGGAGCATTTATATTTACATACATTTTTATTTTCAGCATTCAAACGTACAAAATTTCCTTTGCCGAGCGCTGACATAGACTTCTATGCAAATCGTCTTCGAAACCTTGAGGGAATCTACTCTCAATTGAGAGACCCTCGAGTGAAACGAATGGCGCACTACTTAGAAGCGACAAGAAGTGTTTATTTGAGCTGTTTTAAAACTATGCTGACTAATGTTGTAGCTGGTAAGATTTGGATTTTTCTATAGAACAGGCAGCCAACGGGCGGGAGGCTCACCTGATTATAAGTGATATAAGAGTGCCCATGGACACTCTCAATGCCCGAAGGCTCGCGAGTGCGTTGCTGGCCTTTTAATAGTTGGTACGCTCTTTTCTTGAAGGACCCTAAGTCTTTAATTAAAGTATTTAATAACTAATCGATTAGCGGGTTTTCATGAAGCATATCGTGTAAAATATGATCCTATTTCAGATTTCAATAAATTATTTTGCATAAAATATAAAATACTAATATTTCACAAATTATCTTTACGAAATTTTAATTTTCAAAATAGAATTTCTATAAGGTAATTCACCATTCTCACTCTCTCTCAATCGGCCTCAATCGCTCTCTCCACCTATTTCTTCGACAAAAACGCTGCACATTTTCGTGACGCTAATATTATTATTATTGCGTTTCATCCGTAAACATTTTACCCTCATGCGCCTAAAGAAGTTTCACTTCAAAAAACCACAGAAATAACATGTATGTTTCGCGACATAAGATAAAAAAAATACTTTCAGCTGTCGTGGAGTGTCGTGACATATACGTGTACCAAAAACCTTTGCTCCTACATTTTGAGAACTTTGAAGGGACTGATTTTGCGGATGCGAAGTTTTTAATCAGGCCTATGTTTCACTGCATCGGTCTATTATGGGGCAACTCCAGATATTACTGTAGCGTGGAAAAGCTTATACGTAAGTATTGGTTATTATTTTCTCGCCTAGGTTACTAGGTTTGGGTTCGATGTTGAAAAATCTATATTTCTTGTTATAGCCCAAAAAAACTAATTAAAAAAAAATAGTTTTCATGATGATGATATTAATTTATTCCTAATGGGAAAGGCAAAGGACTTTAGTCCATACAGCCAGCTCATGAATAGTTTTCAGCAACAACCGCGCACTGTCAAAAAATAAAAAAAAAAAAGATTTTTTTTGTTCTTTTTTTGTAAAAATTAATCCAATGCAACGCTTGTTTGCAACTTTTACATTTCCGCTCACTTATCTGCAATATCTGAATAGCTGTTCCGCACATATACAAACTAACATTTTATAAGATCCAGGCGCGTAACTTGTAAGTGCGCTCACGCTACCCTTAATTCAATAAAAAATATATACATTCAGTTTATCAATTAGCCCATTGTACCATAAATAAATTGTTGTATTTTAATAAATCAATCTGTATGATTAATAAAATAAAATAATTCATATATTTATCAGCTCTGTTACGAGAAGTATGTAACCTCGTGATACAACAATGTACCAATTCTGTGGATCCAGCTTCGATATTTCAGGGAGATGCAGATGAACAACTGATTAAAATAAGAAAAGCAATATCTGTATTAAATCATTTCATGTGAGTAACCTGTTACGTATTTAAGAATAATAAAATCAGTCGCGCTATAACCTTTTTAGATCCTCAGATTACTGTATCTGTTTTTTTTAATGTATTAGGAGGCAAACGGGCAGGAGGCTCACCTGATGCTAAGTGATACCGCCGCCCATGGACACTCACACTGCCAGAAGGCTCGCAAGTGCGTTGCCGGCCTTTCAAGAATTTGTGCGCTCGAATTTCAAGATCATTTGTCAATCTAATAGGCAAGTAGGTGATCAGCCTCCTGAGCCTGACACACGCCGTCGACTTTTTGGGTCTAAGGCAAGCCGGTTTCATCACGATGTTTTTCTTCACCGTTCGAGCGAATGTTAAATGCGCACTTAGAAAGAAAGTCCATTGGGGCACAGCCGGGATGAAACCTACGCCAAGCCACTAGGCCAACACTGCTCACGTTACGGTTTTAAAACACTGCAAAAAGGTTTCTAAATTAGATTAATTTATGTACACTTCGTTACCTTTTACAAAAACATATATATAAAAAAGCAGGCTACATAAGTTATTAGGCAACGGGCGGCCTTATCGCTAACAAGCGATTTCTTCCAAGTAACCCTAGTATGAAACAATAAAAAGGAAACACCTACAGAGGGTAAAGTACAAGACGTGTATAAATAATTAACAAAAAAAAAAAACTACAATTACATGTAACACTAACTAGAACTTATTTTTAATGTTTTTGCCCTATTTATATCCTAGAGCCAGATCTTTGCTTGGCTTTAAACAGTGCCTGATTTAGGGAGCGTTCAAGTATTACGTAACGAATTTTGGGGGGACCTTTCGTAAAATGTTACGATGTGGGGCGGGGATTGAATTACGCGTTATTGTTGATATTATTTTCGACTTTCCAGTACTTTACACCACTTAATGGTAAATTTTTGGTATAAAGAGTCACTTTGGTGGCCACGAAACGTTTTACTATTGGGTACAGAAAAACGCTACGGCGCGCTACATGGGGCTGGGGGGAGGTTTATATTCTCCAAAACAGTTAATCGGGGTTACAGACCCGGGGCTCCCACAATAGGGACTTCGAAAAAAAATGTTTTAAATTCCGACTAGTAAACACTAGTGAACAACATTTCTTTTGATTATTTTTTATATATTTGATAATAAAAGAATCTACTTGGTTTTACAATATACTTATTATTGATAATATAAATGATTTTTGCATTGTTGTGAAGTTGTAAGAGTGAGATAGCCTATTCACTGGACCATTAACATGAGCAAATAAACCAAAAACGGAATTCACATTTAAACCCAAAGAAAACTACGTCAAGTTATTATGTAAAAAAAGAAAATAATTGAAAATTAAACAAAAAGTTTACTTAAATGACAACTAAATACATCTTTATTTATTTAATTCTACTGTACGTGTGTAGGACACTGAACTCCTCCTTAACGGCTGGATCGATTTGAATGTTTTTTTGTATGCGTTTGGGGGGTATATCCTAATCGCTTGATATCATGCAGGACAACGTCTGTCGGGTCCGCTAGTATTAGTACATATTTAGGAGTAATTTAAATAATTTCCATTATAGAGAAACATACGAAATGAACAGAGACAAGGTGCACACTTTCTTTCCACCTGGCGTGATGCCCGTGCGCTGGTCGTTCGACTTCGACCGCGTTTTCATGCGGTTTAATATTTATTTGAAAAAGCTTAAGAAAATCGAGGAAATACTGGAGGCAACTGTTGAGATTCTTAAATTGGAGAAGATGGAGTTTTGTGGTTTAAGAGGGAAGACTCTCAGCACAGAGTGTATGAAAGTAAGCTTTTTGAAACGTCGGTGAATTTTGACTGTTAATTTTCATGAACTTAAATTGTCTTTTTTGTTTTATAGAACAGGGGGAAAACGGGCAGGATGCTCACCTGATGTTAAGTGATACCGCCGCCCAGGGACACTCTGAATGCCAGAGGGCGATGCCGGCCCTACGGTTTCCTAGAAAAGCGGTGCCGTTATCTAACGGCCGTAATGTAACGTTGGGTGAAGTCACCGATACGTTGTCTATAAATAACATCGGAGTAGGTTTTCAAGAGAACGTTGAGTGTCACATTAACGTCAAATAGCGGTGCTGTCATTTACATGACGGCCGTCAGAGCGTTGATAAACAGTAGTTCAACGTTTTTCGCGTGTAGCGGTGCGCATATTTATATTAATACTTGGACGAGCGAAAATGATGAACAATTAATTGATATAGTTAAAAATCATGACGCTTTGTACAATATGAAATAACGTAACAAGTATCACGGTTTTTGAACATGACACTCTCCTCCAAACGCTTTTGTCGCCTTCTGATGACTCTTCATCATCCAAAACTACTAATAATGCTATGTCCAAATCGTCCATATTTCACCAGTGCACGACCTATGCACGAGTGAGTACAGAGTGACTACGATTGAATTCGGTCGCACCGCTTTCCTAGGAAACCGTAGCTTAAGTAGAATTGGTCCGGAAATAACACTAAACGTGTATTTAATAACTAAAAGATGATTTTCATGAAGCATATCGTTTGTTTATTTTACATGATCCTTTTTTTTACGTATTGAGAAACTACTTAAAGTAAGTGCGTGGCAATGTATGGACACTCTCAATGCCAAAGGACTCGCGAGTGCGTTGCCGGCATTGTATAGTTTGATTTGATTTAAAAAAAAGTATTTCTGGTCTTCTTACCAATCCATAGTGTATGTTTCTAGTAAATGTAAATTTACAATTAATTTAACTTCTTTCTGACGATACATAGGTGTACTGTACTTGTTTACCTATATGAATATTTTGAGTTTGAGTTCTATATTTTTTAAATATGACACGTTACGCACAGGTACTAGAGGAATACATCTTAATATACCAAAACCTGGGGAATATAACATACGACCCGGCGGATCCGGAAGATAACCGATTTCAGCCCGATTATGAGAAGCATATGGCTGTTTTAGATGACGTTGATCAAAGATTGGCTTCGCTTTTCACCCAGGGCTTGGATGAGTGCCATAATTTGGAACATTTCTTTAAGGTGGGCAAAATATTATTAAAAATGTATAAATAATAATTGGAACTTTAAACTCTTTTGTCTTCAGACACCGTGACCACGCACGCTGTAAAGCACGCGAAACGTCGGATAAATTTAAAATTATGTTAAATATGTAGTTGTAAATTTATAATAATACATAACTTCAATCCGGTCAAAATAGTGTTTTATTAAACTTTAAACTTTCTTAAATCTATTACTATATTTGTTATTGTTTGCTTGAGTGAGTCCACCAAAACAAACATTTGTGCCGTACGCAGTGTCGTAGCTACCTTTGGTGGCACCCGGTGCGGAAGTTGGTAATATCACCCGATCGAAATTAAAAAGCAATAAATTTCATGGATCAAACGAGAAATGTTGCAACTGAGACGTGAAAGATCGCGATAATGGGACGGGGAATCCCCCACGACAGCGTCAGGCTATTTTGCAAGAAACTTTTGCAAAGAACTTTGAAATTGAATCTTATTTTTCTAATCTAATTATATTTTGTGTCCTTTCAGTTTTTCCAAATAATTGGAGACTTATTTCATCGTAAGATTATTAAAAACGAACTGAAACCGAAATTGTCCCGGCTGGTTGACTTTATGCATTCCAACCTTGATGCTGTTAAGGAGATATTTGATGAAGAAATGTCGGTGAGGTTTAATATGAGAAACAGATATTTATTTATTCATTGACACTTCGTTACATTCATACAAAAACCAATAATGATGGATGCAACTAGGCAACCCTGGTAAGGGTAAAAACTAAAAAAAAATATGATGGGTATAGTGCAAGAAGTGCATAACCAAATCTTATAAAAAAAATATAGGATCACCAACCTTAATCCAAAATAATACAAAAAAAAATTAAAAACTAAAAAACTTATCTATCTATATAAGCTATTTATTTATTGATTGCAATTAAACTTTTATACAGAAAGATATAAATTAAATTAAGATATTTGTTTTATTATATTGAGTCAACTAGTGACTCATTTTTACACAATATTTTTTTATAAAATATATTCTATACAATTAAAATCGTCAATACAAAGGCAACGTTTCTTATTTAATAATCATTTAGTGTAGTCACCATAGGTATATAGGTCGGTTTAGCTTCTAATTCCGTTTCAAGGTATTCTATTTTATTTTATATTTGCAAATACAATTGTAGAAACTAACCAAGGGTCCCGAACGACCAATGGTGGACAACTACTTACCCCCAGTGGGTGGTATGTTATGGTGGGTTTATAAACTGCGTAGGCGCATCCAAACCCCAATGGAAGATTTTATCGTTTTTGAAGATCCGTAAGTTTATTTTATAATATAAATAAAAGAAAATAGACACGGTCGGTTTTCATAATTTAATTTTTCGTTTATGAAGTTTCAGTTAAAGTGTATTATTTTGAAATGATTTTGTGTTGTAATGTTTCATTAATAAATTCTCTCTCATATAATATACGGTCATGTATTTGAGTACCCCGGCAAAAGATTAGTTTATTCAGTTCATTTTTAAGTATACATTTTGAAATTGAATAATCGTCGTTCTTTTTAATATCTGTGATGCGTAAATTATGGATGTTCTTTAGAATTATCGAAACAGAGTATGCGCTTTACATGAAGCAAAAACACAATGAGATGCTGGGGTATCTTAATGTTGTGGAAGATCGGCAGTTTAAGCAGTGGTGTGCGACTGTACCTAACATATGCAAAACGCACTTGGCTAAAAACCTTATATACCGGGATCCGCCTTATGTCAGAAACAATTTTAGTCCTGAGGTATATTTAATGTATTTTAATCTAAGAATAAAAAAATCATATTTCTTAAGATTCGTGTTTCCAAAGTTGCAAGTTACTGTATTTTTGAGCAGAAATCTTCTACAATACAAAATTAGTTATAAAAGTACAATTGCTTTACTTTACAACCTTTTAGGTCTGATCCTCAGGTTTCTATATCTGTTTCGTGATAATTTGTTTCCTTTTCTAATAAGTGATCAACCCTCTGCCCAAAATGGGTCGTCGCGTCGAGTCTAACACATGCCGATTCCTGACGATGTTTTCCTAGACCGTACGAGCGTAAGTTAAATGCGCATAAGCATATAGGCACTGCCTACGGCGTTTAAACCTTCAATCTCAGGATAATAATTTAAAAAGCTTAAACATTGCCAATGGGCACACACCTAATATTATAATGATTTATAGCTGGTTATGTTACTTCGGGAAATTCGTTATATGAAATATTTGGAAAAACAAGGCATACCGCCAGACGGTCTGGAATTATATGGGAGGAATGAAAAGCTTCAGGTATTTACTAGTATAGTTATTAAAAACCTAAATTTTCAAAGTATTTATTTTAACAGGTAAAATATACCTGTTAATCTTAATATATATAAATTACGTGTCACGTTGTTTGTCCGCTATGGACTCCTAAACTACCGAACCGATATCAATCAAATTTGCACACCGTGTGTAGTTTGATCCAACTTGAGAGATAGGATAGTTTAAATCTCAAATTATAGTAGCAATTTTAATTTATTGCAAAATATTTGTTTATTATTTGATACAATTCTAACAGATGGCGCTGTGTTAAAATTATCAACGTTTCACATAAGCTGTCATCTACCTTTCACATAAGCTCTCCTACCGTTTCCCTTGAATAGTTTACTACTATGTAATATAACAAAAATCTTAGCCAGAGCAACGCCGACCGTCTACTAGTATAAATATAAAATGTCATAAATAATTTATTTTCACCACACAATTTAATGATTAACGTGGACTAGGTATAGCGCTTGTGACCATTTTGTTTTCACATAATATTGCAACCAATAACCATGGTAACAAAAGTGATACTATCTTTATATTTTGTAGTATGACATGAATCGTCTGAACCGTGCTATTGCGTGGTATAACGCTATACGCGAAGGCAGCCACGAAACGGAGGTGGCTCTTATTGAGAAAGAGATCTCTGCTATTGACAAGCTGTTAGGGAGAGGAGTTGAAGAGCTTACATGGAATGATGATTGTAAGTTTATCACTATTATTTAATAAGATTATACACTACAGAAACTTCTTGATAAACAAAGCATACCTCTCGATACCTTAAGGCGCATAGACAATTTGTTTAAACGTAACAAGATTCGAAACGGGAAATACGCTGCTTTAGCCCGGAAATTAGTAGTGGAAAAAAATGCACCATTCTTCTACAGCATTAATCCATAGGATGAATGATGGAGAGCTTACACACGACTATTTATTCACAAAAAATACATACATTGTCTTTACAGTACTAAGCCAATACGATAATGTCTAAAATTGTTCAGCATCTTTATTATCCATTATTGAGGGTATATGGGGGTGTATGAAGGGTTGAGTAGTGTTGGCCTTGGCTTCAGCGTGCGACTCTCATCCCTGAGGTCGTAGGTTCGCTCCGCCGGGAGCACCAATGGACTTTCTTTCTATGTGCGCATTTAACATTCGCTCGAACGGTGAAGGAAAACATCGTGAGGAAACCGACATGTCTTAGACCCAAAAAGTGGACGGCGTGTGTCAGGCACAGTAGGCTGATCACCTACTTGCCTATTAAAAAATGATCATGAAATAGATTCAGAAATCTGAGGCCCCGATCTAAAGAGGTTGTAGTGCCACTGATTTTTTTATATTTTTTATTGAGGGTGTATAAATAGATGGTGTTAGAAACTTCACTAAACAGTGAATATAAAACGGCAATGAATTCAGTCACAGAATGGATGGCAGAAGTGTACGCAGCGATCAACACGTTGCAAGAGCGAGTGCTGACCGCACAGAACAACGTACGACAAGGGCTTGATAACATCGCCGCCTGGGGTGATAAGCCGCTTCATAACCGAAAGGAAAACCCCGATAAGATGGAGCTGCTTGCGGTTAACGAGCGACTGCCTAGATTAGTGAAAAGGTAATTTCGTAAAGGTGTAGAAGGGCGAGAAATGTTCAGGCTATGCTTTGGAGTCACCGTAATAAGCTTGTATTTGTACTCACTGATTAATAAGTGATACCACCGCGCATAGACACTCACATTGCCAGAGGGCTCGCAAGTGCGTTAGGAAGCGTTAAAGTATTACGTAACGAGTTTTTTTTTCCTTTTGTAAAACGTTACGATGCGGGGCGGGGATTGAATTACGCGTTATTGTCAATATTATTTTCGACTTACACCACATAATAGTAACTAAAGAGTCACTAGGTGGTCACGAAACGTTTTACTATTAACGTTAACAGTTCTGTACTTGGTTAAAAAACATTACGGCGAGTTACATGGGGGGGTCATTTATCCCCAAAGATTGCGTTACGTAATACTTGAACGCTCCCTTACCGGCTTTTTAAGAATTGGTATGCTCTTTTCATGAAAGTCGATCGTCAATGGAATTGGTTCGGAAATACATCGGTGGGCAGCTGGTGGTTCTATTATTTTTATCGATTGTACCGCCATTCAGATAATCCAGTAAAAAATATGACTTTATTAATTTGCAGACGCTCAAATATTTTGGAAAGTCATGCTGAGTTCGAGCGGATCTTGCAAATTAATTATAAGCTGTTTTTCAATATTCACGAAGATGAAGAGGCAAGTTATACTATAAGTATTAATAGTAATTAAGACTTGTGTTTCAATTTTTATTGTTTACATACCTTACCCGGTATTCTTCTTCACATTATTTATATTGGACATGTCCGATTGGAAAGGAATCCTACTTTTAGAATGTATTTTTCAGTAACTTTTTTAATACCTTATTATAACAATTTGCTTACTCACAGTAAAAATATTTATATATTTTATGTTTTAATGATGGCAGTCTGATGATGAAGAAGAGGACTTAGAAGAAGTAGATGAAGCTACACTCGATGAGGACGAGAGAGCGGCACGTAACCGCAAATTAAAGGAGCTAGAAGAGAGGCGGGAGGAGAAGAGACTTGCAAAGGAAGAACGTGACAGAGAAAAGGCTGAAATAGCTCAGGAGAAATTCGAGCGGAGAGAGGCTAGGCGACTGAAAAGAGAGGAGAAGGAAGCAGCACGGGCCGAAAGACAGGCGAGAAGAGATGCAGGTGAGGGTTAATTTATACGAAATATGAATTTGCAGCCATGTTATTCTAGGATGACATAGGTAAAGAGGAATTACTACACATATGCTTCGGCTGCAGAGGCTTACAAATTCCATCTAAATCATGTTTATATAAAATTTTCTTCATGAAGAGTAAAAATAAATTTAGATACATATTTAACAGGCGAAGAAGGTGTGGAATCGCCAGTTGAAGAAGAAGAAGAGTTAGACGAGGCAGAGTTAGCTGATATTGAGGAGGAGAAGAAAGAAATGGAAGAGGAAGCATTTAGGGCAGAACGATGGCCCGCTTATGTCAAATATGTTGATTCTCTTGTACGTATTTTAATCTTAAAACCAAAAGCGATTATTAGATTTTTTCGGACTGATGCATAGCTTTTGTCCTTTTGAATATTAAAAAAAAAAAGTTCAGTAATAAAAAACATACTAGTGGAAATTAAAACCATTCATATTTTCTGAAGTCGGTTAAAAATATACTTTATTTGTTTAAAGGTTTCTCGTCAAGTGATGAAAGCAATCCAATGTAGCCTTGATTTGTTTGAGAAACAAACTGATTTGGAAAAGGGGCCACGCGTACCATTCATGGATGTTATTGCAGAACTAAAAGACCCAGGTAAGTAAAGAAATATCTCTTCTTAAATGTAACAGTTGTTTTTGAATCATGAATCATTTCGCAAAACACCGGTTCCCTAAGGAATTTTACGTTCTAATTCTGATGCGGGCGTAAAAGAGAATCTCTTAAATCTTCTTATCTTTATTTTCGACCATCTAATATATAAAATTCTCGTGTCACAGTTTTCGTTGCCATACTCCTCCAAAACGGCTCGACCGATTCTCATGAAATTTTGTGTGCATATTGGGTATGTCTGAGAATCGGACAACATCTATTTTTCATCCCCCTAAATGTTAAGGGTAGAGTCCACCCCTAAATATTTTTTTTTATATTTTTAGATATTTTTTTCTGTTTTTATTTTTTATGATACAACATTAAAAAATACATACTAACTTTCACCCCTCTACGATCAACCCCTATTTTTTATTATAAATGATATATATGGTACAAAACGACGTTTGCCCGGTCAGCTAGTTTTTTTATAAGAATTCATAAAAAAAAAATAGCCAGAACCTCACGCGTATTAATTTACACGATAATATATATACAGACTACATTACCTATTAAATTTCATTTTATTAACTGAAATCGACTTTAGAACGTAAATTTCCTTAGTTGCAATTTTTTTTCAATAGAGTTTAGTATATATTTATATTTTACTAATATATTGTGTAATTTTTATGTTACGATTAATTATGGTATAGATGTCGTAGACGACTAGCTTAATTAGCCGTTTAATCAACAGCCTAGTCTCACTAAACAGCGCCTTTAGCTAGCGGCCTAAATGATATTCAGCCATTTGATCAAACAGCTAGGCTAATGACTTGGATCGATGACGTTACATTACTTGCTGTGACGTAGACATTGTTAACTGTTTGTCTAATAATCATTTTCCCATATATTACAGATATATGTTTCACACCGTCTCTGGATATAAAGGATTCAGGCGGCCTCTATGACACGATGATTGAAATGATGAAAGATATGTTCCTCCAAGCCACAATTTTCCCAAGGATCGATCCTATTGTACCCATACCATCGTATGAAGGTAATGTAAAACAGTGTCCATATTTTTGATTGTTCTTAATTTTAGGACTACGGATTCATTTGTGTGGAACAAAATTTCAGATGAGAGTTAGTTTCTATAATAAAAACGCCTGGCGGTCACAGCGATTTTTAAGGCAATTTCTGCCGCGCACCACCTCTTTGTGGAACCAGCTGCTAGGGGTATTTCCAAACCAATACGACTTAGGCTAACTAGACTTAGAGGGTTGCGGAGAGTTCCTTGCCAGTTCTTCTTGCCATATCTACTTGCGAACTGGTAGTAAATGTAAATTTAGAATGAATTTACCATCTTTTCTATTGACATTCATAAGTTTACTTGGTTACCTATATGAATAAAGTTATTTTGAGTTTGAGTAGGGGCCTTCAAGAAAAGAGCTTACCATTCTCTGATAGGTCGGCATCACACCCGCTAGCACCCGGCGCCACCTGCAACGTTCATGGGCGGCGGTTATCACTTTATTCAAGTGCCTCGTTTGTCTCCAGTCCCCATAAAGAAATGTTAATTATAATTTAATAAAATTTTACCGTAGAAATTTAGAATTACTGTAACTCTTAAGTGGGAAATTAGTGAGCGTTTTTCACAGGTTTTAATTGGTTTTAGATGATATATCAGGTGAGGAATCTATGATAGATCTCTATCATGAGATTGCAAAGCGGATAGAGAACAGTATAACTGACGTAGTGCAATACGCATCGGTATGTATTTTGTTTGCACCCCTATTATTGTTATATGACTTGTTTTTATTGTTATATTTCTAATCTAAATTTGTTTATTGTATGGCAATCAAGGTCTATAATAATTTACATATAAAGATCTTCTTACAAGAGTTTTTAAAAATCGACTTACCTACTACTTTTGGAAAAATTTATTATTCTATTATTATTAATATTAATTTAAATCGGAGTAATTTTGTAGTGTGTAGTATTTTAATAATGTGATGATAAAATAATATAAGAATTGACTATAATGATATGACATAATATAATTGCAACTTCTATGAAAAAATTCTACCTTTTAAGACAAATTTGCATGCCAGAATATGCGAACTTTAGCTTGTACCACCATACTATTATTGTTATTATAATTATAATATGTCTTCACGTTTATGTTTTTAGACAAGTGACTCAGCGCGTAATTTAACGACATAACATTTTTTCCGTTCTTTTTTTCACAGGACGAGCAAGTGTTCAGAAATATAATTGGTCCGGGGTTCGAACCTACTAGAAACCTGTGAACCTCTAAGCTTACATTATTATTTTGCTTAGTCACATTAAAAATCGTAATAATTTTTTCTTAATTTGTAGAAATACGAAAAGTATACGCCTCTATGGCTAGAAGATAGACAAGAAGTGTTGGCTAGTTTTCTTAAATATGGCCGAGTGATTCCACCAGAGGAGTTTGATAAATACAAATATGACTTTGGCTGTGACCCACCCGAAGCGAAACCCAAGCTAGAAGAATATCAGAAGGAGGTTTTAATTTTCATTTATTTTTTAACTAGTGTGATGGTTCACTTTTGCATAGACCCTTAGATGAAAATGCATTTGCTCTAGCCCCAGAAGTTAGGATGTGATGTGAGAATCCACCTATACCGGAATCCCTGGTATTTAGAGGCTATTACGGTAAAGCTATTGCATAGCATTTTTTATCAACTTATGCAATTATAATTATTAATTTTTTATTTATGCAGTATTTTTTTTCTTTGAGAGGTGTGAACGCAGTATGCTTTCTGTCCCACTCTAACGCACCTGCGCTACGTCCCGATCACGCCAGACCGATGTGAGACGCAGTATACGTTATGTCTTGCTCTAACGCGTATTGGCCGCACCTATAGTCATCGTGTGTTAGGTTTTCTTTTTGTTACGGAATTTCTTGATTCGGTCGCCGCGCTCAAAGCCCGCAATAAAAGCTATGCAATAGCTAATATCTCAGTAGCGCTACAACCTTTTTTGGTCTGTAAATTGAAGAGTAAATTGTCATTTTTGATTACAGATAGATAAATTCAACGCGATGTACGATGAAGTGGCTGCTCTTCCGGGAGACTACTTGTGCAACGGATGGCTGAAATTGGACTTACGCCGCCTCAACCATGCTATAATGAATATTATTTGCAAGTGGAGCAACCTTTACAAGCAGAATTTGAAGGACCATGTGCAGACTAGGCAGGTTTTATTAATCTTTAAAATTGTTTGTCTATAGATTATTAAAAGTATCTTTACGCTCTCATAAAAAAAAGAAATATTTTCAATGTTTTTTGTATGTGCAATTGACATGAAATAGATTTTGCGGTACAAGGTGTATCTTGTTGCGTTATTCGTTATCCGAGTTGATATAGCATAAAATGTCCATTTATTTATTAAAAGCCCGGGAACGCACTCGTGCGCCCTCTGGCGTTAAGTGTCCATGGGCGGCGGTATCACTTAACATCTGGTGAGTCTCCTGCCCGTTTGTTGTTCTATTAAATTAAAAAAATTAAAAACAAAATTCGTTCTCTCTCGTACCGTTTTAACCAGTAAAAAATTGGACATACATGGCGTCATCTTCTATAGTAAATAGTAATATAAATGTTTGAAATAGAAAACGAAATACCGGAAACTTTATATTTCTTATTGGCGTTTGTGTTTGGGATAAGCTTCTTATATAAACTAAACAAATATGTTACACGGATGGATGGAAGAACTGGCTATTTGAACCTATTATTGTAGTCTTTGGATTATTTTCTTACCCAAGTGAATTTAATTAAAATATTGAACTCTCAAATCTAGCTTGGATGACCTGGAGAAGTTCATAGCGTATGCAACAAAGGAGCTATCGGTAGAACTAGGCGAAGATGATTACGAGGGTCTATTGCAAGTGATGAGAGTTCTTAATGAGGTGAAGGCGAAGGTAGACGCCGGAACAGAGCAAATGTTCGAACCGCTTAGGGATATTATTTACGTTCTCAAGGAGTATGGAGTTGATTTCCCCGAAGAGACGTACGAACAGGTGCGTACACATTTACAAATCGTAATGTAAACTACGTATGTATCTGTCGCAGCCAACTAGCTTAATTAGCCGTTCAATCAACAGCCTTCAATCAACGTCATCGATTCAAGTCATCTGACTAGTTGTTTGTTCAAATGGCTGTATATCAGGCCACTAGTTAAACGGTGCTGTTTAGTTAAAAGGCTAGCTTGTTAATTGAACGGCTTATTAAACTAGTTGGCTGCGAAAAATTTAATGCTTTTATTCATTAGTAATTTCCGTTTTAACATTTGTTATGAGTTTAATGTAAACTAAAGATTAATATTTATGCTTACTTTTGGATCACCAGAAGCCAACGAAATCACATCAGTATTCGGTAAATATTTTAGTTAAAATCAACTTAATTTTAACCTAACTGTATAATAGGTTTAATAAAACACAAACGTCGGATAAATTTAAAATTATGTTAAATAGTTGTAAATTTATAATAATACATAACTTCAATCCGGTCAAAATAGTGTTTTATTAAATGAATAAAAGTTATGTTAATCAAAGACAATACTATGTATTGTGAAAATTCATTATTCCATTAGATGATGTTTTTAATAATGCCATTTGTTTTTAACTTTAGTTGGATATTTTGCCTGAAAAGTGGCGCAACTTAGTGAAGTTGGCGACGGTTATGAAAAACACAGTAGCGCCGTTGCAGGCTGCGCAGGCGGCGCTTATAGCCAAGAGAGTGGCTCTTACAAACTTGAGGCTCACTATGTATAGAGATCAGTTCAAACTTAAAGAGGTATAAATCCATGAAGTTAACTCAACATTTATTTATTTAATTATAAGTAATCTTACAGCTAACATAGATATTATAAAACAAAACACTTAGACAATACAGAAAGCCAAAACAGATTACATAGATAAACAATATATACGAAACAGAAAACAAATAAGTACATTAATAGTCAAAACTATATAAAGAAAACTGTAATTTAACATTTAAAACAACAAATAATACTGAATATTTCAAATCACTGCTTAAACAAAATCAGAGTCTTCCCGCCTCTTCAACTACTGTCTCACATCTTCTTTGGTGAGGTGGAATATATCAATATCCTCATAATTAGTGTCATAGTTAGATAAGACCCGAAACATTGGTTCGCACGAGGCACATAGAACAATTTTGTATGTTATCTTCTTGTTAAAGCCTAATAATGTTGTTAGCGCTAATTGTTCGTAATATGTAAAAACATTGTGATTTTGTAAATTTTATATTTATTAGAAATTTTGAAACACGTCACTGTACACCTATACTTTAAATTTTTTTGTTCAATATAACTAGTATGAACAGATATTTAAGATAAGGATAGCTTTTGCTTTTGTCTCTACATATCAACGTTTTATTCTCGTTAAAAACGATCTCATATGTTTTATATTTAGATGTTCCTAGAAAGCTGCAAGGAGCCGTACAGGCAGATAGACAAAGTGCACAAAGAGCTTCTCGACTTTGAAGATATCGTTTCGAACTTGAAGAGAAGCTGTGCGTTGTTTGATATACAACCTCCAGATGAGAAATCCCTGAAGCAGTGTCGAAGGGAGCTGAAGCTTATCAAAGTAATATTACTGTTGGCATTTAGCAATTTTTTACATAAAAAAACAGAAAATTATGGTTTTTATCATATTATCTAACAAACATATTTTATTAAACAATCATTTATATTATAAAGAGAAAAGATTTGATTTTTGTTTGCATCGAATAGCTCCAGTTATTAGACCGTTTTGAAAAATACTTACCACTGATGAATAATCAAAAAAGTTATAGATCTGTATGAAAACTTCGATAGTGTAACGCAAGTGAAAAAATACCAATCAAAATTGCGCTCCTATTGCGTCCGCAGCGGAAAATATTTACAGACAAAGTGATGTTCCTACTACGGTTTTATAGGAGACAAATATTTACAAAAAGCAGGGACTGAACGAATAAAAAGATTTTAAAGATAATATTATTAATTTTTTGTAGCAACTTTGGGATTACTACTACTTAGTTATGGGTACAATAGAGTTCTGGAAGAAGTCCCCGTGGAAGAAGATAGATGCTGATGGTATGGACCAAGAGTGTAAGAGGTTTACGAAGGATATGCGACAGCTGGATAAGGATATGAGAGTATGGTGAGAAGTAGAACTGCTGACTAAACTTATCACTTAACCTATCAAGGTTAAATTGCTAGCGAAAATAATATTTCTGTGGCCATAGGTCAGAATATGATAAATGCAATTTACTTTACAGGAACCTATTAAATTATTAAGGAATCTTGAAGGCACTATTAAAATATGAAACACTCGATATTTAGATTGAAATTTTATCATAATCCACTAAGTGAATTGTTCATGAATAGTTTATAAAGTTTCTAACATTTTGATCTTTTCATTCTGAATATGACTGTTATAAAAAACATTGCCAGTTCAAAGAGTGTCCGATAGTTTCTTTCCACATCTTTTCAAGCTCTAAACCAGTAAATGTAAATTAAGTCCGCCCCAGATGACTGGCCTTTTTGGGTTTTGGTTCCTATGCTAAAAAAAGTATTTGAAAAAAAAATTGACTTAATATATTTACTTGATTTAGGGAGCCTTACATCTCCATTGAAGCAACAATAAAGAATTTGATGACATCGTTACGTGCAGTAACAGACTTACAGAATCCAGCGATTAAAGACAGACATTGGGTAGAACTCATGATGGCTACTAAGGTAATTTGTTGTTTTTTTTTATTTTTAAATATTGTTTGATATTTATATTTATACTTTGTTTTTTATCATATCACGTAGAAGGCTGTTCATTCTCATCTCATTTCGACCTTCAATCGGAAACCTTTAGCGCTAGGAAGTGGGACTCAAATGTCGATAGAAGAAGTTGTTGAAGATTTTAAGAGTTTAGAAGATCTTCATGATGCAAATACAATACCTGAAACAATAAGACAACAATATAGAAATTACGCTGATATAAAAGACTTGAGACAGAAATTTGATTTTAAAAGCAAGTTAAATGGTTCATATACACTTCAAGAGATGAGAGAAAAAGGCTTACAGTTGACGAAGCAATCCTCACATTCGAAGATTTTGAATCATTCTTTCATTTTGTCGGAATTTATTTTGTAGATTTGTGTGTAGATTGTGCTGTACATAGCGTTGTTTCTATAGGTAACTAGGTGAGTGGTTTTTTTTCTATTTATTGTAGTCATAATCAGAACAAGAAGGTTTACAATAGTGGAAATCAAAACTGGACAAAGTTAAATATAGTGCAGTTATCCTTATAACACGGTAAGCATATTACGCGATTTCAGTCCCACTTAAAACCCGGCCTTTCCTCTATATATCGCGAGGATTTCCCACTTTATATTTATGTACTGTAAAATTAATAATGATTTACAGGTATGCACTTATTTCTATAACAGTTTTATTAAAATTCGATTAAAATTCACTTTAAATAAAAAAGTTAAACGAAAAAATTCAGCGTTATATGGAGTCATACAAGCGCGTTATGCGACAATATTCCGGCAACGCGATTCATAAAATGCGGAACTAATCTACCGTGTTATAGGGGGGATTACTGTAGTTCGCATGCTGGTATATATTTGGAATATAGGTTAGTATAATACGTCCTAATGAGGGACTGATTTAGGTTTAAAAATCAAATTAAAATGAAGGTCGGTTTTACCTATAGTAACCTATAGTAACCTATAGTAGTTTTGATGAAGTGTTCATCCATAATTAAATGTTTTTTAGGTTAAGTTTAATATAGACGATGATACTACACTAGCGGACTTACTAGCGCTTAACCTGCACAAGTACGAAGAAGAAGTCAAAACTATTGTGGACAAGTCTGTCAAAGAAGCTGCTATGGAGAAAACACTCAAGTATGTTTATATTTTTTTTTCTGTAATTATCATATTCGCAAATTTAGAAATTTAAACTTACTTGCTAGTTTAAGAACATTTTATAGTGAGAAGTAACAAATAATGTTTGATGTAGGGAACTGGAAGCTACTTGGGCAATCATGGAGTTTGATTACACAGTTCATGACAGAACTGGGTCCAAATTACCGAAAGCCAGCGAAGAACTTGTCGAGACTCTTGAGGATAACCAGGTAATGTTTCTTACTTCTGCAACAATTTCCTTCAATTGAGACAAATGTATAAAAAAAATCATTTAATCACATAGGTAACATAATGTACACTTATGTACGTACGACTTGTCAGTAAAGAAATACATATTAATGCTTCTAATTTTACATTTAATGCCAGTTCTCAAAACAAGGGCGAAGAACGGGAGAGAAGACCTGGCAATAAACTCTCCGCCACTCTTTTTCATCGCCATTTTTTTGTTTTACAAAATGTTTGTAAGGAGCTGCAACCATTACACCATGTACCATGTGACATTTTAAGTAATTAATAATAATAACATAAATTAAAAACAAAGATTTGTCCTCTATCAGCAGAAGGCATGGTGAAATAGGAGCACGCACTTACATTCTCGTCTCTTCTCTTCATTATATTATAGCCTAACTTTCTTACAGTTTCTAACAAAATTGGCGTTAATTTATTATGCCTTTTTATTTGAACTGACACTGTACTTAATAGAAAGGTTCTGGATTGTTCTCACACCCGTCCGAAATGTGTATTTATTACATAACTTTAAATTACTTCTAATTAGAAATCATAATTTGTTTCATCCATGTTTCTATGTTTCTTAACCACGTGAGTTTAGTTCGGTGGCGGTTATTGGAGATGTTCAAATAATTTCAAATCTTATTTTGAACTGGCTTTAATCGTTTAAAACATGAGCTTATAACTATTAATTAGGCGTAGTGGGGTAAAAATCTAACCTGACTTTATTAAGAGTTCTTAAATGTGACACTTCTGTTACCTGTAAAGAATATATGTGTAGTCGACCTATTGGATATTATCGGAAACGAGAATGTTATATTACAATTTATGAGTGTGGGAAAAACTTTCATTTTGGCTTCAAGTTTGCTAACATTTGGATGCGCTTTTAATTGACTAAAATATATATTGGTAACTTAACTAACGTTACGTTACATAACTCGTTTCTAAAACCTTTTGTTCACCGCAGAACCAAGTTCAAAACATGATGTCGTCCAAATTCATTGGTTTCTACGAGGCCGAGGTGACCGCTTGGCAGAAGAAACTTGGCACGGCCGATGCAGTCATTGCCATTTGGTTTGAGGTGCAGCGAAAGTGGCAATACCTTGAGAGCATCTTTGTCGGTTCTGATGATATTCGTGCTCAACTGCCAGAAGATTCAAAACGTTTTGATACCATCGATAAGACATTTAAAGTAAGAATTTTATGTTACAGTACTGTAGAATTGTGGAGTATTGGATTTGTGGTTTACTTTTGGGTCCTAATGTCCCATTGGAAGAATTCTCCATATACAAAGTTTTTTAATAGTAAATCGAAATAAATAATGAAATAAAATAAAAACTTTATTTATAACAAATAGGTTGCGACAAAGATCATCTATCGCTAGTCCCCACACTACGGAGTCTCTGTAAAATAAAATAAAATAAAAATCATTTAATCATGTATGTAACATAATGTACAGTTGTACACTTATGACTCGTCAGTAAAGAAATACATATTATTGCTTCTTATTTTACATTTACTGCCAGTTCTCAAATCAAGGGCGTAGAACGGAAGAGAAGAACTGGCAATAAACTCTCCGCCACTCTTTTAAATCGCCATTTTTTTTACACAACGTTTGTAAGGAGCTGCAACCATTACACCATGTTCCACATGACATGTCAAGTAATTAATAATAATAACATACATTTAAAAAAAAACAAAGACTTGTCCTCTATCAGCAGGAGGCATGGTGAAATAGGAGCACGCACTTACATTATCGTGGGAACAACACGCAAACACATAGTCGAACGTAATAGTGTGTTTTTAAATTAGTTACAGAAATATTCTTTAGTTGCGGTCCGGTTCTTATGATCTATCAATAGGATCATTTACTTAATTATAGAACACGGACTGGATTCTATTTAAAAATTTAAACATTGCCGCTGTAATCCGTCTTCTGTGACGCAACGATACATTTTGTGTCTAAGGCATGTGTTAAATGCGCAAATGGAAAAGTCCAATGGTGCAAGCGGGGTTTCGAACTAACGACCATCTAGGACAGTGTTTACCAACCTTCTTTGTCCCATGTCCAACCTTAACCTTTCTAAAATTCTTATGCCTTATATGTAACATACATCATTTTTATATTAAACAATTGAATTGTTCAATTGGTTTGTTACGAAAATTAAATGATAGGTTTTAGGAAGAAATTACTGAGAAATTGTTAATGAAATACAGTAAGTAAATTTTCAAAACATATAATGAAAGACTGAAATTTAAATTTCAAAGAATTTTAATAAATTTTCGAATGGCCCTCCTTATTGAAATTGCCCAATGTGGGACTTGGGCCCTACGTAGAGAATCACTGTTCTAAAATGAAATCGTACACTCAAAATCTACTAGGCCAACACTGTTTTAATTTGTGTCTTCTCTTTATTAATAGGAATTATTAAAAGACATTGGAAATACACCAAATGTTGTGCAAGCGACTAACAAGCCGGGTCTTCTCGATAAGCTGGAAGAGCTGATGAAGTCTCTCAACTTGTGCGAGAAAGCGCTCAATAACTATTTGGAGACCAAACGTTTGGCATACCCTCGTTTCTACTTCGTGTCTTCGGCTGATTTGTTGGGTAAGCTTTTATCGAGAATTATTAAACTTAAATTTATGGCGTATAAAGTTACATTTTATATCTGCCTTTGAAGTCTTATTTTAGTCTCATATGAGTCTTAATTAAAGGTATTGGATGAAAGGGTTCCCTCAAAGGCCGGCAACGCATCCACTAAAATGGGTGTCCATGGGCTGCGATGACGGCCCTTTTGGGCGTCCCGTAGGCTCGTTTGCTATAATAGGGGGCTATTTAAAAAAAAAACTAGTACTACTAGGTGTATTAAAAATAACAAGTTTTTGGGTTTTTAAACTGTAGTAAGCAGATATGTTTCAATTTTTTGACGTGACAGTGTCTAATGAATCGATGAACGCCGGCTCCACGCACGAAAAAGCATAACTCATTGTCCCGTTACGCTTAGTGTACACTTGCGCCGCATCTATCTCTCTTCCACTCGATTGGCCTATGCGTCCGAGGATTCACTCCTTCTTTGTATCCATACAAAATAGTGATAATTAAATAAAAAATAAAAGTATGCAACATTGATATACAAAAACCCAAGATGCACAATCAACGTCTAAAAAACGTCCTCAAAAAATGAGCGCAACATTCTAAATTGTGCGCTCATTTCAAATAGTCCCGCGTCTATAAGTGGAGTCGATGTTATTTATTTGTGTTTTTTTTATAAATAAATTTATGTACTCTTGAACCTTTTTGTGTGTAGTTTTTGACAAATATATTTACGCTATATAAAGTGTGGGTCAGGAGGTAGCCAATTTAACATTTTTTTTTAATTTAAAGAAAAAACTTTTTAACCGGATTAATGTTATGTATTATTATAAATTTACAACTATTTAACATCCAACACCTTTTGTCTTCAGTCACCGTGACCACTCACGCTGTAAAGCACCCGAAAAGTCGGATAAATTTAAAATTATGTTAAATAGTTGTAAATAAAAAAGTCATGTTCGACTCCACTCAATACCTTGTCCTACCGACCACGGTCGGTCGTAAAATTTTATTGCTTTAAGTACGTATACACTGCGTTGTAATAACAACTTTAAGCAATTCGCGTAAGGTTGATTTTGCAATAATATATGCTTGTAACATATACTGTTATGGACAGAAATAGTGTTTCGGGACACTTTCGAGCGTTACTTTTATTCGAGACTGTGCATCTTGGGTTTTTTGTATATCAATGGTATGCAATCATTTCATCAATGTTTTGTTATGACGTTGTCACGTTAAACTATCGTCCGTAAACCGACTTTACAAACAACCAATTTTTTTTAATTTCCAGATATTTTGTCAAATGGCAACAATCCGCCGGCGGTCGCACGTCACCTGTCGAAGTTATACGATAACTTGGCTAAATTAGTATTCCCGAAACCTGGGAGCAAACACGCAATTGAGATGATATCCAAGGAGAATGAAGAACATGTACCATTTAAAGCACCCTGCTGCGATTGTTCTGGCAAAGTAAGTAGAGTTGATAATATTTCTAATAAATCTTTAACCAAAACCTCTAAGTTGGAGATCCAGTTGCATAATTTCTCGGGGAGCTCATAGGCTTCAAGAGAAGTTCCTTATGGCACACCCGATCGAAAGCTTTTGCTATATCCAAACTAAGGAAGGGGAGACCTTTGAACTCCATTGTCTCTGCCCGTCTATGTGTAAGGTATACAAGGATTTAATAATGGTTTCCATTATTTTGGAGAACAAGGAGGTTATAGCTATTGTTGAATCCATTGATAATTATGTAGAATTGATTTTTATATCTTAGGTTGAACTCTGGTTAAACCGGGTAACTGACTGCATGCGATACACCCTACGGGATATATTTGAGCACAGTGTTAAGTCGTACGAAGATAAACCCCGTGACGAGTGGGTGTTTGATTGGCCCGCGCAGCCGGCGCTCGTGGGCACGCAGATCTGGTGGACCACGGAAACTAATCAGGCGTTTGAAAAACTTGAAGAAGGTATATTTAGTATAATAATGTATTGAAAATATTTTGCATATCCAAAATTCTTTCACGCCTAGTGTGTTGTAATAATTTTTTAAATACGTATTCACTAACTTTTATAAAAGATTAAGCTATTCGAAAAAAATAAATTATAGAAATGTTATCAAAGAAACATTTCAAAAGTTGACAAAAAATAACTTAATATACTGTATACAGTATCAATCCTCCCTCAAAGGCCGGCAACGCACTCACTAAAATGCCCTTTTTGGGGGTCCAATCGTTTGCCCCCCTTTTCTATTATATTTAATATTCTATAGTTTTCAATGTTCAAGTTAGAATACAATAAGCTATTTGATCAAATTATATTAAAACATTGACAAAAAGTAACATTTAAAAAATAAAGTCGTCAAACAATTGTATAAATTAACTACAGAGTTCCCTTAGACCAGTGTTTCCCAACGTTCTTTGCGCCAAGCCCCACCTTAGTCTTACTAATTCTTATGCTTATTATGATTTTTAATATTAAAATATTAAATTGTTCACTTAAGAAACTTTACTGATAGGTTTTTGATTTGAAACACAGCAATTAAACTTTCAAAACATCTAATGTAAAGCTGAAATTCAAATTCCAAATACATATTATATAACCCCCTTAACAAACAAATTGCCCCCTTGTGGGGCGTGAGCCCCATTTTGGGAAACACTGCCATAGACAATGATCCCAGTGAACCTACAACAATTGATTTTTATGCCGTCTCCATTGCTTAATCAATCTATCAGGTTATGAGGGCGCCCTTAAAGATTACCAAAAGAAGCAGATCACGCAGCTAAACGCTTTGATTGTTCTACTACTTGGTGACTTGACTGTTGGCGATCGACAGAAGATCATGACGATTTGTACGATAGATGTACACTCGAGAGATGTTGTTGCCAAACTTATTGTGGCTAAAGTGGAGACGTCGAATGCCTTCCAATGGCAAAGTCAATTGAGGTATTTAAAAAAAAAAACTTATATAAAATTTTTGAAGTTATACTTTATTTAGCGCGTTAGGGAAAATGATGAGAGTAAATTTTTACGATGCGCGCGCACACGGTCACAAAAAAACTGACACCCCTTTTTTTTAACTAGCTTTTTTTACTAACTTGACGACTCATTGGTCTAGTGGTTAGTACCCCTGACTGCGAATCCATGGGTCCCGGGTTCGATCCCCGGCTGAGACGAACATCGATGTGATGAGCATTTGGTGTTGTGCTTAGGTCTTGGGTGGTTAAATATGTATTTATATGTCTATCTATCTATAATATGTATTTATATCCGTTGCCTAGTACCCATAACACAAGCTTCACCAGCTTAGCATGGGACTTGGTCAATTGGTGTGAATTGTCTTTAAAAAAAAAAACTTTTATAAAAAATATTGTATTTGGTTAGGGGGTCATAAAAATATTATTGTTTTGTAACTTTATTAATAATGAAATTATATGAACCTCCTCAAGCTGAAGTCTGAGATTTGAGAAGTTAATCTTGCTTTTTGCTCCAGACATCGCTGGGATCTGAAACTGAACAATTGCTATGCAAACATCTGCGACGCTCAATTCCTCTACGATTACGAATACTTAGGAAACACACCACGTCTTGTGATTACACCTTTGACGGATCGATGTTATATTACTTTAACACAGGTGAAATTTTTTTGAAGTTAGGGGATATGTAGTAGGTTCGTCGTTATTATAAACAGTGGCGGTACAACCTTTTACATGTGTGCCCGACACACGACGTCGACTTTTTAGGTCTAAGCCATCCCGGTTTCCTCACGATGTTTTCCTTTACTGTACCAGCGTTAAATTCCATTGAATCATTGGTGTACAGCCGGGGTTAGAACTACGACCTCAGGTATGATAGTCGCACGCTGAAGCCACTAGACCAACACTGCCTGCTGAGTTAAATGAGTAATAATATTTTAAACCTGGGCTTGGCCATTTTGACATAACAGCATGCGGGTGACCTTTTTTAAGAAATATCGCATTTAGTTTGTTACGCGTGTTTCATGCGAGCTGTTTTAATTTACTGGAATGAATAGAAAAGACATATGTAAAATATTTGCTAACCTCTAGTTATAGAGACATATTTATGTTTCATATTAAGGTACGTTCATGATAAGTGTTCTGTGCTAGGCAAAGAAGATTCGTTAGGAACAGAATGTGAATGTATTCGACCATAGACGAGATGGCATTAAGGTTCTTTTCACAGAGTCTACATTTAATAATGGGTGGTGCCCCCGCTGGTCCAGCTGGGACGGGTAAGACTGAAACTACAAAAGATTTAGGAAGAGCACTGGGTATAATGGTATACGTGTTTAACTGTTCTGAACAAATGGATTACAAGTCCTGTGGAAATATATATAAAGGTAAAACCAAATATTTATCAAAATGTTCAATTACTATAACAGCCTATATCACTTATTCCAGACCCCTCTATTTGTAATAACTAAACCAATCTTATTGCATTCATCTGGCCCTTTTCATTACAGCGTAAACACTTTTTGATAGAAAGAGTCAAAAGAGTTATTTATAGTTGGGAGTTAGTCCAAGTTTATAATGTGCAGATAAGGGTGATATTTATAAAAAAGACTTTAACTAACTTCCATATATCAAAATCTAATACTATGCTAGTTAATTTAGTTTCTAAATCTTTTCTTCAAAGAGTGTAACGTAGCCTAAAAAATCTGAAAATATATAGTTTTACAATTTTTATCTGTAACAATAAGTTTTAAATTAATTTATTACTATAAGGTCTCGCTCAAACTGGTGCCTGGGGCTGCTTCGACGAGTTCAATCGTATCTCGGTTGAAGTGCTTTCCGTTGTGTCAGTACAAGTTAAAAGTGTTCTCGACGCTATAAAGGCTAAGAAAAAGAAATTCGACTTTATGGGAGAGTTCATCACACTTATACCGACTATTGGGATGTTTATCACTATGAATCCAGGTTACGCTGGAAGGACGGAATTGCCAGAGAATTTAAAAGCTTTGTTTAGGTAAACCTTTGTTGAATAGTAATTTTCGTATCGCAATAGAGAAAAAATATTATTAGCTGAGCGGTATATTTCAATTTACAAAAATAACTACTCCATGTAAATAAAGTTTAGTTAATCAATTAATCATAATATCATATTTGATAGCGAACTGTCTAAAATGTCATAAATTCGCGATTTTTGTTAATATAAATGAATTGCTTTTCGTTTGTTTAGTTAAAACTCGAAACCGACAGCGATCCCGATCACAATAATAATTGATAGATTGGATATTGCGACAACAACATCGAACTTTAAATGCAATGCGATTTTTATTGATATCGCTGTTGGAAGAGTAAAGGGCGCAAATCCTATTTAAAATAAGTTCTGTTCCGCGTATAACATGATAACGAACGTCTACAATTTTTCTTGACTCTGTTTTTGCGAAGCAAGTGAACAAATGCTATCTTTAAATAATTTAGAATATATTATATATTAATAATTGCAGGCCTTGTGCTATGGTTGTACCTGACTTTGAATTGATTTGTGAAATTATGTTGGTTGCTGAGGGTTTCCAAGAAGCCAGACTGTTGGCTCGTAAATTCATTACTCTTTACACCTTATGTAAGGAGCTATTGTCCAAGCAAGACCATTATGATTGGGGTCTGCGAGCCATTAAGTCTGTCTTGGTCGTTGCTGGATCACTCAAGGTCAGTAACATACACAGAACAACGACAACAACAGAACAACAAAATACCTTTTATCGTTGTGCTTACTGAATGCTGTGTTCGAACATTTTTATATGTTCGCAGAGTGAGTTTACAGAAGCGATATTGTGTATATTATGTATTTAATATTGTATATTTTATTTTTTGACATTATCGTATTGACTTACTGTAATGATAATGTACGTATTTTTGTAAATAAATAAATAAATCTTTAAATAATTTAGCATTTATGAAATATATTACTTAAAAATTGAGAAAGAATAAGATATTATGTTAGAAGGAAGAGTTATCTTTCTAAGGTATCTGAACTGTTTACAGAAGCAACTTCTTCGTTTAGAACTTAATTAGTTTTTTCTCTGGCTGTGTGTCTGATTCTTTTTTCAGAGGCAAAGACAAAACACACCTAATATGTTTTTTCTCTGAAAAATTTTTTTTTAACGCAATGGAATATATCTGAATTTTCCAACATTTATCGTCTAGTATCGAACGGATCTTAAAATATAAATAATGTTTATCTAGAGAGGTGACCGCTTGCGACCGGAAGATCAAGTACTCATGCGAGCTCTAAGAGATTTCAATATTCCCAAAATTGTAACTGACGATAGGCCGGTGTTTATGGGTCTTATTGGCGATTTGTTCCCGGCTTTGGATGTTCCCAGGAAAAGGGACTTTGATTTTGAAAAGAACTTGGTTGATGGAGCTATTTCAATGAAGCTACAGCCGGAACCTGGGTTTATATTAAAGGTGAGAACATTGTTTTAATCCTTACAGAGAAAACAATAGTTAAGTTCTATATTTATTAACATGCTTTAACAAGGCAGTTGTCAGACAATTTTTGTATGTAACAATGAAAAAAAAAAAAAACAGTGGCGCGCTACATCGTTTGGGGGGGCCCTGGCCTCAGTCACATTTTAGTATCTGCTTCGTGATCATTTGTTTTTTCTAATACGTAATAGGCATTGGTCAGATCAGGTTTCTCTGTCTGACATACGTCACAGACTTTTTGGGTCTAAGGTTATGCCGGTTTCTTAGATTTTTCCTTCACCTTACGACCGAGTGTTCGATGTGCACATAGAGAGCACTGGTTGGAGAGCCGGGATTCGAACTTACGACCTCAATAAGACACTGCACGCTTAAGCCACAAGGCCAACTCTATAGATGAGGTGAGTAGGATTATATACAAAAGCAAACGCCAACTTTTTAGCTTATTTTGTATATATACTTAAAAAAATACACTTAATATAGCCAAAATTTATATTTACAAGATTTCAGACATTTGCAAAAGGAAAAACATTTTACAAAATTATATCTAATTCGGCTGTGTTGTGTTATGGTATGTACTTCACTTTTCAAAGATAATTATTACTTGTAGATGGTACAACTTGTGGAATTATTTGCCGTTAGACACTCTGTGTTCATTGACGGGTTTGCTGGTACGGGCAAATCAATGGTCTGGCAATGTCTGAACAAAACATATCATATGCTCAAAATGAAGCCGTTTTACAACGATTTAGACCCTAAAGCAGTGACGAACGACGAATTATTTGGCATAATTAACCCTGCTACAAGAGAATGGAAGGATGGGTTATTTTCTACTATTATGAGAGATATGGCTAACATGCCAGGTGATGGACCAAAGTGGATTGTGTTGGATGGCGACATTGATCCCATGTGGATTGAGAGTTTGAATACATTGATGGACGATAATAAGGTACGTTTTAGTCCAAATGTAAAAATTAATTATGATTAGTAGTTTATATTTATTAGGAAATACTTGATATAATGATTCAGTAAAAATAATTTTTATTTTGTCTTCATCAATAGTAGTTAAGCGTACTGTACCATCCCTGTTAGGCATAATGCTAACACATCATATTCATCGTCAATATGGTATTTTAGAGGATTACGTTTCTAGTGACATTAGTGAGTCTGCGTATATCATTCTTAGAGAGTGGTTGTAATTTTTTTGTATTCTTATTAAATCCTTTTTTTTTAAAAGCCTTTTTTACCTCCACGACCTAACAGTACGATGGCTCGATTTGTACCACGATCGTACTCGCGAAAAGAAACTGAAGTGTTCCGTTTAATGGTCGAACGTTAGTGGTAGTCAAATAAAATAACAAGACGAAGAATCCTGACTAACTTAAACTAAGACCAAAACTACACGGTTCTAACCGTTTCCAGGACTAACATCTGGCTTCCAGCTTTGTTTACCAGCTTTCTAAACTATATTGTACGTAACAGTTGTAGTAAAATTATTATTTATCTTTTAGGTATTGACACTGGCAAGTAACGAACGAATTGCTTTAACGAAATCAATGCGGCTCCTTTTTGAGATCGCCACTCTTCGTACTGCAACACCCGCCACTGTGTCACGCGCAGGAATTTTATACATTAATCCACAGGACTTGGGCTGGAATCCGTGAGTAAAATATCACTAGTAATTTTTTTAATAAGAACACTTGATAGTTAATTATTAAAAAAAAATTTTAATCAAAGATTGGTCCTCTATCAGCAGTAGGCACGGTAAAATAGGAGCACGCACTTACATACATTCTCGTGGAAACACCACGTGAATACATAGTCGAACTTTGATGACGTTTTAACTGTCATCTTCTGTCCGCTTTGGGCAAGTGTTGATTACAGGGTTGAGATTTTTGGAGATTTTTGGTGTATATGATTTAATTTAAAAATTTATGTATAAGGTTTGTAGCATCATGGATAGACACGACTCGTGATGATGAGTCAGAGAAGGCGATGTTAACAATAATGTTTGACAAATACATACCCTCATTACTCGAGTCTTGCAAGAAGTACAAACGAATTACACCATTAAGTGAACTGCAGCAGATACAATTGACATGCTATCTGCTTGAATGTTTCCTGAACAAGAGCTTGTTGCCTTCGGATTGCCCTAAGGAATGGTAAGTATATAAAGTGATATTATTTTTGATTTTATATGATTATGAAAATTAAAATTACTTTGATAATCAAACATTATTTAATGAAGAAAGGTAAGTAGTGTTTTTCTGGAAATAAAAATATTTTTATTTATCTGTATCAATTTTAACTCCAATAACTAGATTTTCTTCTTTCTTGCTTTATTAACATCAAATTTTTGCACATGGCCATTTCTATCTATCGTAGCTGAATAACGATTTTTTTTATCATAGGTACGAGACATATTTCGTATTTTGCGTCGTTTGGGGATTCGGATCTGGTCTATTCCAAGACCAGCTGGTGGATTGGCGGAATGAGTTCAGCAAATGGTTCTGCAATGAATTCAAACAAATTAAATTTCCGTCAACTGGCAATGTTTTTGGATTTTTCATAGATCCAGAAACGAAGAAATGGGCACCTTGGACCGAGAAAGTTGAACATTTTGATTTGGACCCAGAAATACCCTTACAGGTTACAACTTGACATAACATAAGTTAACTAAAAATAATTTTAAAATTAACTGTAAAAATCGATGCTAAATTTACTCCTACTAATATATTATTTATTATCAGAGCCTCAGATTGAAATAATAATAATAATCGTAAACTCTTACTAATCAATACTAAAACAAACAGTTCCAAGTCTTTTCATAATTTTCTTAGAAATCTTGAAACAATATTAGTGGTTACTATTGACCGTCTACACTTGTGCACTAGTTTATAATGATTTTATTAAAATACAAAGGATACTTGATTAGAATTAGAATCACAGTAGCGTTTCCATCTTAACATCTGCCTAGTCCTTCCAATTTAAAGTCGTCGTAGGGTGGTAGTTATTTGTATTAATAACTGCCCACGCCAACTTGATTTCGCCTTAATACGTTTTTTTTTACTTTTTTCAAATTTGTTTAGCCGTCTTCGAGTTTTGCGCCTAGCAACATATTTTGGGATTTATTTTTTGTTTATCTATACGTATATACGTAGTTGGTCCCAAAGTTCTGTCACTGTCACATTATTTTTAAATTTTGAACATGATTTTATAAAATAAATATAATATTATATTTTTGAATGTTTGACTATTATTTTAAAACAAAAAACAATCACTTTCCGTAATTTTTCACGATGGAGTGGACATTGAAAGAAAACCGAATAGGCGTTAATGCGTTGCACCGCTGTGGGCACTCGCCGAGTACCATTTTCAAGGAGCTCAAAAATTTGAATATAACGCTTAGGTTTGTGTACCGTACTATTGATAGGTACAATGAAGTCTCCAGTGTTGAGGACAATAAAATAACTGGCTGGCCGCGCTCCGCAAGAACACCAGCAGTAATCAAAGCTATCATGGCGCAGAAGCAAGAAATTCTGTCCGAAAACAGAAGTTGATGGCTTTGCAGATGGGGGTCAATAGGAAAATAGTAAAAAAAGGTTTTAAATGAAGATCTTGGTCTATGAGCATACAAAAAAAGAGTGGGCACTTACTTAATACTCTTCTAAAAGCAATAAGGCTTAAGAGATCGCGGGTGTTGTTAAAGCGGTACGCGAAAATCCGACACCGTGATATCTTCTTTGCGGATGAAAAATATTTCGATATTGAAGAGAAGTACAATAAACAGAATGATAGAGTGTACGCCAGAAGTTCTGAAGAAGCTGGAAATAAAGTTCCAAGGGTGCAACATGGACATCATCCATCATCAGTAATGGTCTGGTTGGGAGTGTCCTATTACGAGCCAACTGAAGTTCATTTTTGCATAAAGGGGGTCAAAACCAGTGCAAAAGTGTACCAAGATACGGTTTTGCATCGGCTTGTCAAAGAACTGCCCAGCACGCTATTGCGGGACATCACTTCGTGTTCCAGCAGGACTCTGCGCCTACCCACACAGGCAAGACCACTTAAGCCTTGTTTGAGCGTCAAAACATCGACTTAATTAGACATGAGGATTGCCCTTCCTCCAGTCCGGACCTTAATCCTTTGGACTATAAAATTTCGCAGGTCTTAGAGAGGAAGGTCTGTGCATACCACATAAAAATTTGGAGAGTCTGAAGTCATCTTTAAATAAAGCAGTCACTGAAATCGACACGAATATGGTGCGTGCTGCGATAGACGACTGCCCGCGGCGCTTAAGGGCCAATATTAAAAATAAGGGAGGTCATTTCGAATAATTTTATGCTATTTCTATTCCTTAATTAATGTACTATAAATTGGTATATCACTCATTAAAAACTGATAAGTAGTTTTGTTTTTATCATTATTTCCATTTATGACAGAACTTTGGGACCGACTACGTACATAGAATATCACACCCATTTAGACGTGAGTGAAAATTTCCATTATTGTATTCCAGTCGTGCCTCGTATCAACATCAGAAACGACTCGTATAAGATTCTTCATGGACCTTCTGATAGCGAAACAGAAGCCTGTGATGTTGGTCGGGAGTGCGGGTAGTGGCAAAACTGTCAGCGTTGCGGCTAAACTGAATTCGTTGTCTGATAACTTCGCTATCACCAATGCTCCACTCAACTTTTATACTACTTCAGGTTTGAACTAACCTATGTAACGTGAACGGTCTTGATTATACTAAAGGTTTTAATGAAGTAATCTTTAAGAGAACATTCATAGAGTTCCTTTCATAGCCAATATAAACGTAGGACGCACATTTAATTTCAGTCTTTTTAAATAAATATTTGCCGGAATGTTTGGATAGTCCCATGCGTAAAATACTTTAATTTCCGTGTCACTGTTAATTTTAAAGTATCACAAGAGGACTTAAACTTTTATATGGACATATTAATATGGCGTTTCTTAAGAGTTGGGGCAAAACCCTTAACAACTATGTTACAAATTCTTAGAATGTTTTCTTCACAGAAATGATTCAAAAAGTCCTCGAGAAGCCGTTGGAAAAGAAATCGGGTCGTAACTTTGGTCCTCCTGGTAGTAAGTTTATGATTTACTTTGTGGATGACTTGAACATGCCCGAAGTAGACACATATGGAACAGTGCAACCGCATACGCTGATTCGGCAATTTATGGATTATAAACATTGGTAAGATTTTGCAATTACATTTTGGGTATGCTTTTGCCTTTCTTCATCATAAACTATTAAGTATGAGAATAGTAGTAAATGTTTTCTTTATTTTTCATCTAAAATCAATATGTTTTTGGCATTTGATATTGGGACAAATCGATAAAATGGTCACTGTTGTGATTATTTATTTCAGGTACGACAGACAAAAGTTATCTCTTAAAGACATATCCAATTGTATGTTTGTCTCGTGTATGAATCCAACAGCTGGTTCTTTCACAATAGATCCACGTTTGCAAAGGCACTTCTGTACGTTTGCAGTCAGGTGAGTCATCGCATATTGAATTAATTGCATTCTACAAACAAGTTATAGAATATTTAAACTGTGTTAATGTCTATAATAAATTCCCTATTTTAGTTTTCCCGGCTTGGACGCATGTTTCCACATCTACAAGCAAATTCTATCGCAGCATATGGCCAACCCCCTCAACAAATTCGGAATTGTGGTTCAAAAGTACAGCGAGAATCTCGTTAATGCTGCCTTGGCGCTTCATAACAAGCTTGCCTCGACGTTCTTACCCACAGCCATAAAGTTCCATTATATATTTAATCTGCGTGATCTTTCTAATATATTCCAGGTATATATACCGTCCTCCCATAAATTGCCATATTTTTAGCTTTTGGTCCTTCGAATTCCGGCGCCACAAAAATTAGCTTTTATTTTTGACACTTTATTAATAATAATTAATCTAAACCTAGATACACTAGTAGATATAAAGATTTTTGAAATTAATTATGTATTTTTACAATAAGATCATTTATTTCGAAAGTTTTGTTGTAACTTAACTCTCGAATACACACCCATTCATACACTCACACATTCACGCATACTTAATGTCCTATAAGACTTAGTTGTAACTAGAATTACTTTAAAAAAACTTGTACCACGTACCATGTAATAATTGTTATCGAGTTACTCACATCACAGGGACTCCCTAGTGTAGGGACTAGCGATAGATGAATTTTGTAACAACCCTTTTGTCATGAATAAAGTTTTTATTATTATTATTATAATTACCTACTAATCCAGTGTTTATAATCTTTAAGGGAATCTTATTCACAACTGGAGATGCAATAAAGTTCCAATCTGAGTTAATTAGGTTGTGGATGCACGAAGCAACCCGTGTGTACTCCGACAAACTGGTGGATTCTATTGACAATGAAACCTTTAATAAACTCATCGTAGAAGTTATTAAGAAGAATTGCGAGGTTATTATTTGTTAATTCATTTGATTTGATGGTCTAATGAAGTATTACTTTCCGTGTAATGAAAGCTCAGTAGATACGGAAGAAAATGTTCAACAATTTGAAATGAATGGTTCTTGGTGTTGGGTGTTCACTATGTATTTAAGCCCTAAAAGTGAACACCTCCATGCCGAGCAACTGCGGACAGCGTATAGGGTAGGGCACTAAATTGGCCCGAATTTACTTTACAGAAATATATTACAATTAAATTAGGCGATATGTCGAGAAATACAAAAATAATTACGTAGAGTAATAAAGTTATACTGTAAAATGAACCTTAAGAACGAATGATAAAAACGGATTTTCAATTGACGGATATCAATCCAGTTCTAACGTCAGGGCAGAATACAAAATACCATCCGTTTCACCTCGACGTCCGTCGTTCCACAACTGAGCGTTTCTTAAGGCAGTTTTTGCCGCGCACCACCACTATATGGAACCAGCTGCCCACTGAAGTATTTCTGAACCAATCCGACTTAGGTTCCTTCAAGGAAAGAGCGTACCAAGTCTTAAAAGGCCGGCAACGCATTTGCGAGCCTTCTGGCTATGTGAGTGGCCAAGGGCGGCGGTCAACATCAGATGAGCCTCCTGCCCGTGTGCCTGAATAACATAAAAAAGTATGATTTTTATGGTCAAGATATACGTTACGTTCTTTCGATTTTTAGGACTATGACGAGAATGTCGTATTTGAGAAGCCACTCATTTACTGTCACTTCGCCGAGGGTATTGGAGACCCGAAATATTTCCCAATCAGGGATTGGGCACAGATCAAAAAGTTACTTGAAGAGTCATTATCAAGTTACAATGACCTCGTGGCGACGATGAATCTTGTGCTCTTTGAAGACGCAATGTACCACATATGCAGGTTATTTTTTTACCAATAATTTTTGTATTAAAAATATATTTTATTTCAATAAATATAATTAAGACTTACGCGGCGGTCTTATTAAGGCGATATTTAGGCGGTCCGTTTTGCACTGTTCTTTATAGGATAACATTGTTCTACTACGTAATTATCTATTTTTAGCAGCGATAGGAAACTCGAAAAAAAGATCTTATTTTAAAATACCGTATGTCAAAATCCAATACATTTTGTAACGTTTCTGAAGGTTTTTTTAAATGGCTCTGGCACGGTTTGTGCATTAGCCAGCGTCAAGTATAAGATTTTTATAATTCGTGATTTTCACCCTTAGGCCCACTTAATTAGTTGCTACAAAAAAAAATCAACAATGTAATGTTTTGGATACATTTAATGACATTTTTTACAAACAAATACTGCTAGGCTTACAATAATAAGATAAAAAATCACTTTATTTGTCGCAAAAACGTACATTTTGTACTTATATTCTATATATAGGTTGTAAACATACAATAGGCAACGAATCGTTGAGATGCTACAATAATGAAGCACTACTGAAAATTTAAGATGTTTTTGATAAAATTCAAGACAAAAATTCATGTTCATTTCTAGTCATGAAAGCACATTGTTCTAACACTGGATTTTATATTAACTCTTTTAAATTTTAGAAAGTAAATACTGATTTCGAATCATAAGTTCCTGTGCTATTTCGTTGTATTTTCTCATTAATAGAATCAATCGCATTCTGGAAGCACCCCGAGGTAATGCTCTGTTGGTGGGAGTTGGTGGTTCTGGGAAACAATCTTTGTCCAGATTGTCTGCTTTTATATCTTCACTTGAAGTTTTCCAAATACAACTCCGCAAAGGATACAGCATCAATGACTTGAAAGTTGATCTTGGTAAGACTGTGTTTAAATTAAAAAAAGCCATACACTATAGGCAAAATAAATTAAACAGTAATTTAGTATAACTAACAAATACTTAAAAACGAGGAATATCTAATTCTAACAATGAGCAAATAGAAATGATGCCGATTGTTGCAAAATTTAAAGACATATTTTCTAAATTAATAAAAATTATGTGTTTTGCAGATGTTATGGTCGTACATAAAGTGTCGTCCGTTTTGAATATTTCTCTCATAATCATAAAATAAAAACAATTCATTGTGTATTACTTAAATTCTAATTTTTTGTTTGTCATATAGCCTATATTTCAACTACGTTTCGAACTTCTTGCACGTTTTTATATTTCCGAAGTGTTTAGTTAAAATAATAATCTGATAGTCGGTACGGTTTTAATTTTTATTATTTACTGTATTTAGTATTGTCTTCCGTTTTTTACATAGGACCGCTAATACCCTAGCGCATGTCGCAAGATGTTTTGTTTTTCACGGGGAGTTTTTGCTGTTGACGTCTTTAATTAAATTAATTTTAATTCGTTTCTTTCCCTTCTCTAGGAAGTATTTTACTTTTCGCTTTTCTTCTTGCGTTTAACAACCAATTACAATCTTTCCATCCTTAACATTTATCTCTCTATCTAATTGCACTTCTACCCTCTTCTCCTGTAACTCTTGTTGTATTACGTTTACACAAGTCAGGTCATGGACGTAAACGTAACGCGTCTTTAAAACTTAATATATTTTAGCGGGTCTATACATCAAGGCTGGTTTAAAGAACATTGGCAATGTGTTTCTGATGACGGACGCTCAAGTGGCCGAAGAACGCTTCTTGGTTTTGATCAATGACTTATTAGCATCAGGAGAGATACCAGAATTATTAGCCGATGATGAAATCGAAAATATTATCAATGGTGTCAGAGGAGAGGTATATTTATTCTGTATATTTAAATTAACTTTATTAATATCAAAGGTAATTGTTGTATAGTAAAACATTCAGAACATATCACTAATGCGGAATAATGTCAGACAAAATTTTTCAAACCACCATGTTGTTTGCACCAATATGCATGATATTACGAGCTGTTAAACAATAAATACACACATAAATCAAATTAATTTCTTCAAATAACACTTTAATATTTTTTTATTTTTACAGACCAAAGCCTCAGGCGTGCCAGATACAAGGGAGAATTGCTGGAAATTCTTCATCAATCGTGTTAGGACTATGCTAAAGGTAAGTGTGACTTACTTAGGTAGAAGTTTTGTGTGTGTGTCCAACAAATTGATAATATATGGTTAATTTGGAGATGAACATCTACAGTTCGTTTAAAAAAAATAGTGCGCGGAGTACGAGAACGTTTAACGCAACCTTGTTGGAAGTTGCATTAGAAGTTTCACTTTAATAAATCTTTGTTTGTTAAAAGGTGGTGCTATGTTTCTCGCCAGTAGGCGCAACTTTGCGTATACGAGCGCGAAAGTTCCCGTCCATAGTAAACTGTACTGCTATCAATTGGTTTCACGAGTGGCCGAAAGAGGCTCTGCGCTCCGTATCTACAAGGTTTTTGAATGAAGTCGAAGCCTTACCGGTAAGTGAATTTTGTATTGTTTTATTGAAGCATTTTTTTACTTCACAATTAAAAATGTGAAAGTCTAAGGATATTTTTTTTGTTAAGGTTTAAACGTTATGAAATAAAACGTAAATCTATAGATTGGTTTGGCTTAAATAACGCTAAATAATCTGCATCATGAGCACATGCCAGATACACACTCTCAAATACACATCCTAACTTTCACACTATCACACAACACAGCCGAATCAGGTATAACTTAATTAAATGTATTTAATTACTCTTATTGATTTTTTCCTTTCGTAATTGATGAGACCTTTTTGTATTTATATTATGTATTCCATCTTTGGCTATATTTAAGTATAATTGTTTTTTGTTATACATAATATTAGCTGTAGGATTACGATATAAATAAACGTATCATATTATTTTTATGAGATTCTGGCGTGTACACATAAAAAATTACATAAAATTTTAGTGCTTTGTAAAACCCAAAATATAAAGTGGCGTTTCGATTAAAAATTAAAATAATATTGCTAGTAATTTTCTTTGTCAGGCTTTTCATTAAGGTTTATAAGTTGCAGATATAATTGAATAGTATTAATAATAATAATGAAGCCTTATTTATTACTTAAACGTTTCATCGTTTATAGAGAAATACTTGTGGTAGCCTGGAAGAGATCGCTCGTAAGCGATAAGGCCGCCAATCATGTAATTATGTAAATTATGATATATTTCTGTAAGCAACAAAATCTTACTAAATAAACAATTACATTTTTTAAGGACCCCTTAAAGAGCCTCCTCCAACTGGCTCTATCTTTATCTTGAGCATTTTTCTCCCAATCTTCCCCATTCCTTTAAGCTTGTCTCGCGACCCCTCTATTCCCTGGTGGCCCTTTCACCTTGTTATCCTATTCTCCATTTAATAGTATTGATGATATAATATTTGTTGTTTATACAGCGAGATCTAATGGAGCCAGTGGCGAATTTCATGTCTCACGTCCATCAAAGCGTGAACCAAATGTCAGCTGTTTATTTCCAAAATGAACGGCGATACAACTACACGACACCAAAGACGTTCTTGGAGCAGATATCGTTGTATAGCAAGTTGTTGACTGAGAAGACAACCAACTTGAAGATGATGATAGAAAGACTTGAAAATGGTTTGGAGAAGCTCGCGTCGTGCGCTGCTGATGTAGCTGTGTTAAAGGTAAATATTAGACACACAGTTAAAAGGAAATACATGTCATAACGTCATGGTTAGGGCTCTACAATCTCGAAGTGAATTGCCTTAAAAGTTTTTTAAAAACTACTACATAGACCCAACTCAGAATAGAGATGTGGGGTCTCTCTGCATCTTCTACCGCAGCTGAGTTTCATTATCAGAAGTCAAGGCTGAATACAAAATACCATCCGTATCATCTCGACGTCCGTCGTTCTACAACTGAGCGTTTTTTAAGGCAGTCTTTTGCCCGCACCACCACTATGTGGAACCAGCTACCCACTGAAGTATTTGCGAAACAATTCGACTTAAAGTCCTTCAAGAAAACAGCGTACCAGATCTTAAAAGGCAACGCACTTGCGAGCCTTCTGGCAGTGTGAGTGTCCATGGGTGGCGGTATCACTATAACATCAGGTCCTCTCGCCCTTTTGCCTCCTGTTCAATAAAAAAATGAATACTTAAAATCTCTTGCTTTTAAGGTAACACTCGCAGAACAAGAGATAATATTAAAAGTTAAGAATAAAGCGGCCGAAGAGTTGATTGATGTGGTTGGAGCTGAAAGTGAAAAGGTCTCCAAAGAAAAGGCTTTCGGTACGTTTTTGTAAAGTGCATATAATTTAGAGATAGTTCTAACAAAAACCTTTTGGGATTTGGAGAAGTCCATCTCCATAGCAACATTTATTTGTGTCAGTTCTAGTAAATTATCTATCATCGTAACTAAATAGAATCTCTATTTTGCATTAGTTTAAAAGCTAAACGAAAACCTGTGTGTACTTCTTTGGCGTAACAAGATAAAATCTTTTCAAAATTTTTATCTTTCACCTTATTCTACGTTTACGACACTAACAATAGAATAAAATTTACTCTCGTCATTTTTCCCTAACGAAAAAGAAAGAAGTATAACTTCAAAAATATAAATTAATCGGTAAGATGTTGTGATTAACAATTTCCCCACCAGCTGCGGAAGAAGAAAAGAAAGTAAAAGTGATAGAAGAAGATGTAACGATAAAGGCCAAAATTTGTGCGGATGATCTAGCCAAAGCAGAGCCGGCACTTTTAGCCGCACAAGAGGCTCTTAACACGTTGAACAAAAACAATCTCACCGAGTTGAAGGCCTTTGGGTCCCCACCGGACGCCGTGGTCACTGTGACGGCTGCCGTACTTGTGCTGTTCTCGAAGAAGGGTAAATTACCTAAGGATAGATCGTGGAAAGCTTGCAAGGTGTGTTTTTATACACCAATAATATTTTAGGACGATTTACAATTTGAACGATTTATGGGTCAGGTCGTTAAATACGTTTTAGGTATCGATATATACGTTGTGTATCTGTTTCGAGATAATTTTTTAATCCGCTGTTTTGTTAGTTTTTTTTTTGCTTAACAATAAGCAAAAAATTACTAATAAAATCTAAAACTGGAAGTGTAATTTTTTTATTGTATTTTTAATTTTTGTAACATTTATGTTTACATTAGCATTATATATAATGTGGTGAACTTTAAGAAATAAATAACTAAATTGGTGATCAGCCTTTAGTGCCTGACACACGTTGACTTTTGGGTCTAAAACCTGCCGGTATTCTGACGATATTTTCCTTCACTGTATAAAGTTAAATGCGCAGGTAAAAAGAAAACTATAGTTGCTCAGATTCGAACGCACGACCTCGTGCGTGCTAGGTGATCTGTGATGGAGGGTATTAACTCAATTTACGGTATTTTTAAACTGCTTCTATTCTAGACAAGAGAAATATACAAAGGGTTGATCGAACGTTGCATATCAATTTAACAAGATTTCAAAGAATACTTAATTTCCATAAAAAATGTATACACTTTAAATTCTAGTTTCTACTTTGTTAATTAAAGATTTATATTTATAGTTAATGATGAACAAAGTTGATCAGTTTTTGTACGACCTGGTGTACTATGACAAAGAAAACATACATCCGGATGTTATTAAGGTAAGATATACTCGTATATCTTGTTTACCTCATTGTTATATATTTTCATTACCATAACAAGTTTCTTTTATTCATGTACTCAAACTCAAAATAACTTTATTCATATAGGTAACCAAGTACACTGATGAACGTTAGCAGAAAAGATGTTAAATTGATTCTAAATTTACATTTACTACCAGTTCGCAAGTCAAGGGCGTAGAACTGGCAATAAACTCTCCGCCACTCTCTTTAATCGCCATGTTTTGAGTCATGCACATTGTTTGAATTGGAGCAAATCAATCCCAAGGATTAGGATCATTTAAATAATCGTCAAATTTATAAAAAGCTTTATTTATTAATTTACGTTTAACGAGAGTTTTGAATTTATTAAGTGATAATTCTATTATCTCGCTATAGATAAAACAACATAAATCTTAAGAAACGTCAATAAAAAAAACAAAAACAAAATTGTAAATTTGCCCATCAGCGGCGTAGAACAGCCGAAAAGAACTGACAATATTTTATTTTTAATCCCCAAGTTTTTTGGTTGACAAACCCATGAGCTTAGGATTAAGTATCGCGACATTAACGTAGGTATATTAAGACTCCAATTGGCACCAATATTATTATAATTATAGGCAGTTCAACCCTACATAAAGAATCCAGACTTCAACGCTGAGTTCATAATGTCCAAGTCAGCTGCAGCCGCGGGGCTGTGTTCGTGGGTCATAAATATTGTGAAGTTCTACGACGTGTACGTAGTGGTAGAACCCAAGAGAAGGGCTCTCAATGCTGCCAACGCCGAATTGCAAGCTGCGAGGGACAAGCTGGCCTTCCTAACTGAACAGATTAGTGTAAGCATATTCATTTATGGTATTCAAATTTTAGTTTTTATACAATGAATATAACAATTTTTCACCCCCACTTTCCCACCTGGAAAGGTCAATTTCTTATATCATTTCATAGCTTCTTGATACCTTAACTTGTTCCTGAAATAATATTCAGAACAGACTAAATTGTATGTTCTGAATATTATTTCAGGAATTCTACTTATTCTGGTTTTGGATATCCATGACACACATCTCACACTTGAAAATCGATTTTCGTTAAGTTTTTATATAAATTATATTATTTTTCTGTTTAACTTCTTTATATTATCTCTTGTATGCTATGTTTGCCTTTAAGTGCTTGTCACATTAAAAAGTATATTTTATTTTTCTTGTACCGATGTGTCAGTGTGCCGAACGTGGGCAAGCTTTTATAAATAAATATATGCCAAAGGATTTATAATACAGCTAGAGAGTCGATATACCTTTTCTTCTGAACTGTGACCTGTGAACGGTGAACTGTGAAAACAAAGCTGATTTTAACCTTCTTTTATCGAGTTATTTCATGTTTCAATTCAATTTCAAGTTAAATATTATTTTTGACAGGAATTAGAAGAAAAGTTAGGAGAACTTATGAAAGCTTTCCAAGAAGCTGTCAATGAGAAGATGAAATGTCAAGCGGAGGCCGATGCCACCAACGCCACAATTGACCTGGCGAATCGCCTTGTCAACGGATTGGCTTCTGAGAAAATTAGGTTGGTGGAATCAAAAATTTATTTCGCGTGTATACCTATCAACTCTGGAAGGTTCAGGATTTTCTAGTCAGCGTCTTGAGAAAATTAAATCAATGTCACTGTACGATCGGAAAATTGTTTAATGGTCAAATATGGAACAGTGACATGTCGTCCCTTATTCATTCCCAAAGTTCAAAATTAGCAGAATCTATCAAATTCTATATATAGCATAGCTTGATGTATTCGGTAGTGGGCTAATCAATTTAAAAAAGCGTTGCTAAGAGCCTATCTGGCGCCTATTGCGCATTGTTAAGCAAAAAATAGTAAAAACTAAAATTGGAAGTGTAATATTTTTATTATATGATGTGGTGTACTTTAATAAACAAAGAAAACTATTTAGATGCACTCAAGGGTGAAGCACTAAGGTATCAGCTAGAGTTTTGGTGAAGAGTACAAAACAAAATACACAACGCGTGATTTTGTTTTACTTGCAGATGGTCAGCGACGGTAGTGAATCTAAAGGAATCTGGAGTAATGTTACCGGGTGATGTGTTAGTGGTGACGGCGTTTATCTCCTACGTAGGTTGTTTCATGCGACGATATCGAATGATGCTGATGAACGATGACTGGATACCAACCCTCGCTAAGACCAATGTATGTTTTGTGACTTCCTATACTTTGACTTTGACTTTGTTTAGCAGTAATAATTTTTTTTGAAATATTAAGTCGAAATTGTGGTTTGTTTAATTTTAAATTTCAGTTTTCTTTTTGTCTATTAATGTAGTTACTTATATTTACTGTATAACATGGTATATATATTGTTTATTTATAATATTTTTTAGTTTTGTATATTGTCTAAGTGTTTTGTTTTATAATATTTATGTTTGCTGTATTAGTATCAGATTAGTAATAAATAAATAAGAACATTTTTGGAATCATATCCTCACAGATTTAATATTTGTGTTATCTTTTCGTGTATGTCATGTTTGCCTATAAGTGCTTGATTCATTGAAAATTTAATATTGTGGTTATTTTACCAATGTATCAGTGTGCCAAACGTTGGCAAGCTTTTATCAATAAAAAAAAACGATTACGCTGAACTGCAAACTTAATTTTAACTGAATATTTTTAAGTCGGTTGTCTCGTAGATGTTGAATTGAACAAACAAAAATACAGAGCGTTGACGATTTTCATTTCAATCTCCCATGATCTATAATCCAGATTAAAGAAGGATCAGAACGTATTGGATTTTAACACGTAGGAGTCGGTAGTTCCCGCTGTTTCTCTACTCTAAATTCAAATATATTAAGCTGACCTATTTGAGTTGTTTTTTTTATTTTGACGTGTGACTTGTCTTGGAATAAAATAATGTTTACTCTTTAGAGCATTTGGTTTAGGAAAATATTAAAAAACCAATTTTGTTACAGCCCAAAATAGAAACAACAGAAGGGCTAGACCCCTTATCAATGTTGACTGACGATGCTCAAATTGCGTGTTGGAATAATGAGGGCCTACCAACAGACTCCATGAGTACTGAGAACGCTACGATCCTTACGAATTCAGCCAGATGGCCTCTGATGATAGATCCCCAATTGTAAGTTATGACTTTCTTGTGTTATCACAAAATAGGTTTTTAAAAACGGAAATAAAGATCGATCTATATGCTTGTGCGTTTGTCTTTTGTGTGATTCTTTTCCCGTGAATTTATGTTATGCAAAAGTTATAGTATAGTTTTGTTCATGATTTTTTATGTCAAAAAAGTAAAAGTCAAATCATTTATTTCAAATAAAAATAAAAGTAAAAATAAAATAGGCGGATGGTGTTATAAAAAACAATGAAGCAGGTAACTAAATTGTTATGTAGATTACATTATATTTTCTCATATACATGTAAATACAATGTTTTCATGTATTATTTACGTTTTTATTAATTCCTATAGCCGCTAGTCCACCCTTTCAGTGCTCACATATTGCAACTAAAGATTTTACATTATTCTTTATAAAAAAAGAAATAATTAACAAAAGGCCTATTTATATTTAATTTATTGTTCTTATTTATCTTTGTTGAGGAAATTTTAACATAATAATCACACACTCAATCGACGAAAAAAATTTTTTTTGTTAAATATTCGTAACAAATACAAGAATATTTCTTTAATAAAAATAATCGAATATTTCAGACAAGGAATAAAATGGATAAAATCGAAATTTGGCGACGCATTGGTTGTGATTCGTCTGACTCAGAAAAATTACATCGACCGCATTGAACGTGCTGTTAGTAATGGAGATGCGGTCCTCTTGGAGAATATAGGGGAGACCGTGGATGCTGTGCTGGATCCCTTATTGGGACGTGTGCTTATAAGGAAGGGGCGTGTGCTTAAGGTAAATTAACTATTCAAAGTTTGAGTGTACCCCTCCCTGAAAGGCCGGCAACGCACCCACTGAAAATCGGTGTCCAAGGGCTGCGATTACTGCCTTTTTTGGGCGTCTGTAGGTTCGTTTGCCCCCCTATTATATTTAAAAAAACGTACATTAATGTTACATTAGCTTTTGATAAAATCGATTTTTTTTATAGAACAGGGGGCATACGGGCAGGAGACTCACCTGATGTTAAGTGATACCGCCGCCCATGGACACTCTCAATGCCAGAGGGCTCGCGAGTGCGTTGCCGGCCTTTTAATAATCGACATGTTTGGATAGGTTTTTAGGCTTTTTAATTTGATTATTTTAATAGAGTTTATATAAACCAGAGGTGCAGTTGCTCCTATTCTGTATTTTCTACAGATTGGTGATAGAGAAATCGATTACCATGCAAATTTCCGTCTTATCATACAAACTAAGCTGGCAAATCCGCATTATCAGCCGGAGATGCAGGCGCAATGCACTCTCATTAACTTCACTGTAACAAAGGACGGGTGAGTTATGCATTATATACCTAGGTCAGATATATATGTATAATATACGGTTCAGTCAACACTCCAGGAAAAAAACTGAAAATCAAAACCTGGACTTCCATGCACGTGTTGAGTTGACACTGAAATTCTAAGACAATTAAATGTAAATTTGTCTCTGAATACTAATATAATAACCAGTGGCACTACAACCTTTTTAGGTCTGGGCCTCATGATCATTCGTCAATCTAATAGGCAAGTAGATGATCAGCCTCGTGTGGCTCAGCCACGCCGACGACTTTTTGGGTCTAAGACAAGCCGGTTTCCTCACAATGTTTTCCTTCACCGTTCGAGCGAAAAAGCCGGGGATCGAACCTATGACTTCTAAACTATTTTGACCCATAATCTAGATTTATAAGCTATATAAATAATAAAACGTTATATATATTTTAGTTTAGAAGAGCAGCTCCTAGGCGAAGTGGTCAAAGCGGAAAGACCAGACTTGGAAAAACTTCGTGCCGGACTCACGAAACAGCAGAACGACTTTAAGATCACGCTTAAGAGTCTCGAAGACGACCTCTTGAAGCGTCTTTCGTCTGCCGGTCCCGATATTTTGAGTGATTCGGCGCTTGTTATCAATTTGGAGACCACGAAGAAGACTGCTGCCGATATTGAAATAAAGGTGGAAGAAGGAAAGGTGACAGCTGTCAAAATTGACGAAGCCCGTGAAAGATATCGGTATGAATTTCATTGTTCAGGTTCAATAAGAGAGCGTACTATTCCCTGAAAGGTCGGCAACACACCCGCTGGCCCCCTTCCCCTGCCTAACAGGTCTCCATGGGTGGCGGTTATCACTTTATTCAAAATCACCTCCTGTCCCATAGAAGATAGTATTATAACTTTGATCGGTTTATTAATTTTTTTTCTAACTTTCGTAATTTTTAAAATTTATATTTCTTGTTACAGACGCGCTGCCGCCCGCGCATCTCTCTTATACTTCATACTAAATGACATATATAAGATCAACCCGATGTACCAATTCTCTTTGAAAGCCTATAGCGTAGTGTTTAAGGATGCGTTGGCTCGAGCAGATCAAGCTGAAGATTTAGAAGGGCGCGTGCGCAACCTGCTCGACAGCATCACATTCGCTGTCTTTGTGTATACGAGTCGAGGGCTCTTCGAAAGGGATAAGCTGGTGTTCCTCTTCCTTATAACATTGCAGGTTGGTCATTTTTTGTTCCGTTTGATTTGATGTTTATTTTTATTTATTCCATACTATTTATACCTATAACTACTCTATTATGTTATTTAATTGTTTTGTAATCCTAGAGCTATTATAAATTATATATAATAAAAAAACACTTATTGCATAAGACAAAAGCGATTTCATTTTGAGTATTTAATTAATTAATTTCCAAAAAATACTTAATTGACTTTGGCAAACTCATGCATGTTTTTAATTTAATTAAAATTTTTAATTTCACGTTTTTTCCATTCTTTCAATTGTTTTTCTCTTGATTGGCACAAAAAAGTGGTGTTTTTTTTCACATTTGAGTCGGTTCGATTTCCGGACGAGACAAGTATTTTTTAGAAAATTATTGAATGCAGTACTTCTTTCAGCAAAATATCCTATCTACGATAATTCCGGTACTTTCCTTTGATGGCCCATAGTCTTGAGACGCCTGTACATAAAAAAGTTTAAACATTTACGAAAGGAAAAAATTAATAATACTATTAAATGTGGTATATAATGTACAGTACTTATATACGATATTGAAAAGTATCTAATTAATTTCAACTTGCTAACTATACTAACTGAGCGTTTGCCGTTATAAGATATCTTATGTTTTTGACACAATACGTTTAAAATTCAGGTACTGCAAAGCGAAGGAAAGGTAGATCCTCGTGAATTAGATTTCTTACTAAAGTACGCGGTCGCACCAGAAGTGTCACCGTACAGTTGGCTTTCAAACAACTCGTGGGGCGGAATAGTGGCACTTTCTAAGATGGACGCCTTTGAGAACCTCGATAGAGATATCGAAGGAGCTACGAAAAGGTATTTTTTTAGTTATAAAACGATTTGTTAGAAAAATCACAAAACATCTCTATTCATCTAACGAAACGTCTAACATCTATTCTTACCCCCAATCGTGATATAAAATAGTTGTAGTGCTAGTTAAGTTCGGTGGCGGTTGTGTATATGTTCAGATATATGTTAAAGGAAACACTTTGTGTAGCTGGGTAACAACTGACTTTAATTGCTTAAAACATGAGCTTATAACAAACAAAATTAGGGATAGTGGGGTTGCGACGCTAACAAAAACGAACTTGGCTCATCTAAGAGTGTATAAATCTAAGTGACACTCATACAAGTACAGTCGACCTTTTTGGACATTATCGGAAACAAGAATGTTGTTTTACAATTTATGAGTCAGTTCATTTTGGCTTCAAGTGTGCGACGATTGCTTCTAATTATTAACTATTGTTGCGATATAATTAACATTTAATAATTAAAAAAATCACTAACATTTCAAAACTTACATACATTCACTAAAAATCTTAAACAACATCTTATCAACCTGTCCTATGCTGATGCAGAAAATATTAATATTGTGCAAAAATAGTTTAATTATAAATTGTGTTAGATAGAAATTATTGTCAAGTACAGTTAACATGTAAAAAGGAAGAGACTATATTTTACCTAAATATTCAGTTGTGTGTAATAATTTTTAGATGGCAAAAATATACGGACGGAGAAGCCCCAGAAAGAGATAAATTGCCAGGAGAATGGAAAAATAAGACGTCATTACAAAGACTCTGTATCCTTCGGGCTCTGCGACCTGATAGGATGTCCTATGCGTCGGGGTAACATATATTTTACTTTTCGTAAACTTGTCTCGTTTTTGTTGCATTAGGGTGACCTGTAATAAGGGGCTGTCCATGAATCATGTGATGTTCGAAGGGGGGGGGGAGGGGTTCGGCAAAAATCACGAAATATCACAAGGTAGAGAGCCATTTCGTGATAGGGGTATCACGAAATGGCTATATAGTATAGTAATATATCACGTGCACTTATTTTTTCCTCAAACGCGTGGTTTCTAAACCGAAAAGCGAATTAGAAATACGATCGATGTTGAATTTAGTCTTAAACCTCACCATGTTAAAAAATCATCACGTGATTAATGGGACCGCCCCTAAGCTATTTAGTTCAATAAAATAATCTAAATTTACTGGATACTTATTAAAAATGAACTTGTTTCACTTAAAAACACTCTTTCTTAATCAGTTGGAGAGTCTTCTTTTCTTAGTCTGGAAACAAAAAAGGAATCTATTTCGTCGATAGTTTTGGAAATTTAAAAGTTTGCCACCGGTCAAAGGTTTTGTTTTACACATTTGTTATCAGGGCATTTTGTGAAGAGAACCTCGGGACAAAATATGTTGAAGCTCGAACGCCTCCGTTAGATAAATCCTATCAAGAAAGTACATCTACTACCGCCATGTTCTTTATCCTGTCTCCCGGAGTTGATCCGCTAAAGGTAAAAATATTTTCCACTTTTCCAAGGTCCCAATTACTGTTATATTTATCTTCATGTTATCAGCGAGGACGTAGGCGTAAAGAATTAGCTTCACATATTTTGATATCGTCTCTGCACTAGGATCTAGAAAAGTTGGGTAGAAAACTTGGCTTCTCTACCGATAAGAAGAACTTCCACATCGTATCATTAGGCCAAGGACAGGAAGTGGTGGCCGAAGAGGCCATGGGCGTGGCCTCGGTTAATGGTGATTGGGTGATATTACAAAACATTCACTTGGTTGCCAAATGGCTTGCGACGCTTGAAAAGAAAATGGAGGAAACGTTCGAAAATCCATTACCGGAATACAGGTTCAAAGAAAATTTCTTTTTAGTACATGATATACTTACATGATTGGCTTGTTAGTGGCAAATAGCTAAATATTGTCATTTAGTGTTTATATAAATCTCTATAAATATTAGCTGGCTTATTTTAGACAAAGGAATAGTTTCGAAATTAATTTTTTTATAAATTCTTGCATTATTCTTGAATAAAATAAAGTGTTTATTTATTTATTAGTAAAAACACTTAGACATTATACAAAGCCAAAACAGATTACATTAATAAACAAAATATATGAAACGGAAAACATGAGTTCATATTAATAGAAGAAAAACTAAATTGTTAATGCTAAACAAAGTGAAGGTGCCTGCTTTTGCAAATATTTCCTCTTTGGCAAGGTGGAAAATATCAACATCTTCAAAATTAGTGTCATAGGTAGCTAAAACCCAAAACATTGACGAATTACGCAGATACGTGTTCGTACGAGGCACATGGAATAATTGCGAATTCTTATTATATCTCTTTTGTGACAATCTTAACAAGGATGACATGTTAAGAATACATTTTATTTTAATAGATTATATTTGAGCGCGGAACCAGCTGGTGATCCAGCTTATCACATAATTCCTCAAGGTATCCTGGAGTCTGCTATCAAAATAACCAATGAACCGCCAATTGGAATGTGGGCTAACTTGCATAAGGTATGAATTCCCTTATATATGCTCTTACAGCTATTCTCTTGATTAGTCTATTACAAATTACAATAAAATATATATAAGGTAAACTATTTTTCTAATTTCTATTGAATTAGTATTTGAAGCTTGAGCCGTTTTCACTGTCTTACCTGCCTTGCGATTCTGTAACTCACTTTTCGAAAAATGACTGCTTCACGACTGATTTGAGCGCGACCGCCGCTGCGAAAACCGCTGTGAGAGTTCGAAAAGTGAGTTACAGAATCGCAAGGCTGTTTGGCTTGACCTCTCTCCCTTGTATAGAGATCTCTTAACATAGAATATTTTACTTAACTTAAAATAAAATGTTTCTAAATACGCTTGTATGTATATATGTATTTATATTAGGTATAGGTTGTCTTAAGGTTATTTGTTCAAGAAAAAACATAAAATTCAATTAATAGATAAGAATCCCAAAGTTTTCGGTTTCCGTAGGAACGAATAAGGAGACTGAGCTCAGTGTGGTGTAAATACACCTTTTTTGATCTTATTTGAAGTAGCATGATCTGTGATACAATAGGTACTAATAGAGATATAATTTATTATCTTGCCTTTTGTCAGGCACTGGACAATTTCAGTCAAGAGACGTTAGAAATGTGCAGCAAAGAGGCGGAATTCAAGTCAATTTTATTTGCTTTGTGTTACTTCCACGCTGTAGTCGCTGAAAGGAGAAAATTCGGCCCGCAAGGATGGAATAGGTAAATTGTGATTACAAAATATATTAAGCTTTGCGAAAGAATTTTATTTGTTTTTTTTAATTTCAAATGGAAGTTTGTATACTATTTATTAATTCCTATAGCTAAAAATGCTTACTAGTTAAATAGGCACCTCTCAAGTGAACCGCTTTAAACCTTTTAACAATATTAAAGATTTTTCTTACTGATATAATCGCATTGTAAGCTTCTTAAATATTAATATGTATTTATCATGTTTTTTAAAAATAATCAAAGTAATAATTAATATTAATTTAAGTAATCCTTATTCAACACGCCATACCGGATGATAAATATTCAGCATCGTATTGTATAAATTTTGATTAGAGCCCCGGTCCCTTACCTCGTACTTCGCTCACTCAAGTTAGCTTCCGTCCAGGCCTTCAGGCGACTGACCACTCCACGATGGCCCAAACCGAGGTCCGAGTCTCGCAGTAGATGCCCTTATGCTAGTTGTGAGAAAAAGCCCATTTCCGGCAGAGCCATGTTCGCCAAAACAGCCCGAGCTAAACTGTCAAGGCCCTCCATGCCAATAGCGAGATTACTTTAAAAAGAAAGTTTAAATTAAAAAAAATTAAAAACACTTGCTTGAAGCCTTATCAACGCTTGGTTTTTAATAAAATATTCTGTTGGAAAATGCGTTTATTGGTAAGTGTTACACTCGGTAACTTTGACCTCAAGTCATTTTTCAGAGTGTATCCCTTCAATTTTGGTGACCTCACAATCTGTGTATACGTACTTTATAATTATCTGGAAGCCAATCCCCGAGTCCCATGGGAGGACTTGCGATATCTGTTTGGAGAAATAATGTACGGTGGACATATCACTGACGACTGGGACAGGCGTCTCTGTCGGACGTTTTTACTTGAATATATGCAGCCGGAGTTGGTATGTTCATGTGAATGTGTTAGCTGTACTAAGAACACTTTATAGGTGATGATTTTGCTTTTCATAGACGTTAGCCATGTTGGTCCAGCCTTAACAAAATCCTTCATAAATACTGACAAACTCAGGCATCTATCGATTTTTCTGTTTACCGATTCTTTTTTATCTCTTTGTTTTTGTTTATTTAATAACATTTGGTGTTTTTGTATAAGTAATTGAATACGATAGGTCAGAGATTAGCTAAGATAAATTTGATTGTGTCTGCAAATAATATTATTATGCAAAGCGATTTCCTCAAGGAAAGAATTAATTTTACCTACTTTTTTTCAGTTATTTTTTTTGTTTTTTATTTTGTGGTTGCTTGTTTAAAGCTTTTTTCCCTTGGTTGCTTATGTTCTAATATAATTGATGTTTATGTGTGTAAAAATTGTGATGTCATATTTTCTTGTATAACTTTATGCATACACGTTGTTGTAGAACTTATAAATAAATTGAAATCATTTAAATTTCGGTTCAAGTAACATTTAAATAAATTGAATATAGTACTTGTTAGGTTTTACATTTTTACGTTGGAGACTTATTCAAACTAGCAAACTTTTCATAATATATTTATTAGTTATATTTTGTGATTATTAGGTCGACGGCGAGTGCCAGTTAGCCCAAGGTTTTATTTCGCCGCCAAATTCAGACTATGTGAGCTACCACCAGTACATTGACGATTTCCTACCAGACGAGACACCCTATTTATACGGACTGCATCCAAATGCTGAGATCGGTTATTTGACCACAGTTTCAGAAAGATTGTTCAAGGTATGAACATTCAATATTTCAGAATATGAATAGTGATGGACTTCGTGGGTCATATGTATGAAGTTTTACGTTTTTTCTCATTTCATGAAGTAATATTTGTTTTTTTATGCATAGTAATATTAATTTATTTAATTTAATTTGATATTAATTTTATAGTAATATTTTTTTAATATATTTTAGTTATTTAAAGAGACGGCTTAACAATCTGGGCCACTAAATATTTAATAATTTTCTATATTATAATACTGAACGTTTTTTATGGGAGCATTCGCATCACCACTATGTGGAACCAGCTGGCCACTGCAGTATTTCCGAACCAAGTCGACTTAGGGTCCTTCAAGAAAAGAGCGTACCAATTCTTGTAAAATTCTTTGGGACGAATTTGCGCGCCATCGTGTGTGGCAGAATATGCGAACGATTTATGATTGTATCACCTTAGCATTTGTACCATATTCTTGCAATAAATAAATTATTATTATTATTATTATTATAAAGGCCGGCAACTCACTCGCGAGTCCTCTAGCGTTGAGTGTCCATGGGCGGCGGTATTACTTAACCTCAGATGGGCCTCCTGCCCGATTGTCTCCAGCAACATAAAAAAAAAATCTTATGAATATTCACAAATTATATCAACAGGTAGTATTTGAAATGCAACCGAGAGACGCTGGAGCTCAAGCTGGTGGTGGAGCTACTAAGGAAGAAATGGTAAGATCAGTTTTTATCGTCTAAATTCTAAAATTGTCTTTTTCTGACAAATTGCAAAATTAAAATTGAGTGAATCCATCTTTTTTTTCTAAGTGTGAAGAAGAACGACATTACCTATTAAAATTAATAAATTGTCTTAGGTCCGGTATATCCTAGATGACATTTTGGACAGAGTACCAGAACCGTTCAATTTGCAAGAGCTAATGGGAAAAGTAGAAGAGCTGACTCCTTACACAATCGTAGCCTTGCAAGAGTGTGAACGGATGAACAGGCTTATGGGAGAGATACGAAGGTCTTTGAAGGAAGTCGAGTTGGGGCTGAAGGTGAGTCACGAGATACATGTGCATGTGGGGGGGCATGTACCGGCTGCACCGGCCGCGCATACGCTACGTCACCGATCTCGTCAGAGAGATGTGAATACACAGTATGCGTTCTGTCCCACTCTAACGCCTATTGGCCGTACCTATATTACGTCATCGTGTGATAGGTTTATTTTCGTTACGGAATTTCTTGATTCGGTCGTCGCGCTCAAACCCCCGATAAAATCTATGCAAAAGCATAAACGACGCTTCGGTTCAGAAAAGAAGTTAAAATATTGAAAACTACGACAGGGTGAACTGACAATCAGCAGTGACATGGAAAAGCTCATGGAGTCACTATTCATGGACAACGTGCCTGATTCGTGGACTAAGCTGGCTTACCCAAGTCTTCTCGGTCTGGCTGCTTGGTTTTCAGATTTGTGTTTGCGACTGGTTGAACTTGAGAACTGGTCCGGAGACTTCAATGTGAGTAGAAATCCTACCTAAAACCTTCCGCAGTAAAATTGTTTATCTGCTCATTGTTAGTTATATTAAGTCATTATAAAATACCAAACAAAAAACAAATTTTGAAACAAAAAATCGGTATTTAGATGTTTTTTTTCCTTTTTAGACAGAAGATGGCTTTCTCAAAAACATTTCTAGGCAAATACAGATTTACTTATTAGTTTTGTATTATACAAATTTAAAAATGTGACGGAAAGCAATCATGTAGAATGACGATAAATTATATAAATTCTTTGCAGCTACCACCAGCAGTGTGGCTGGCCGGCTTTTTCAACCCGCAGTCTTTCCTGACTGCCATCATGCAGCAGACGGCGCGAAAGAATGAGTGGCCCCTCGACAAGATGTGCCTCAACTGTGATGTCACCAAGAAATACAGAGGAGATTTCAAGTGAGTGTATGATTCTCTATGTTTAGGTAATTCATAATTCTAAATGGATACCGGCCTAAAGATAATTACAACAAAAAAGAACTTTTGTAGCTGTGAAAAAGAAATGTTTTTGTTTACAGTGTGTTAGAATAAATACTTTCTGTTAAACGTACAAATTATTCACAATTATTCCATGTGCCTCGTACGAAACCGAATTATCTGCGTAATTCGCTAATGTTTCGGGTTTTAGACACAAATTTTGAGGATATTGATATTTTCCACGTCACCAAAGAGGGCGTGAGGAAATATTTGAAGAGGCGGGAAGACTTTGTAATTATTAGTGATTTAGTTTTTTCTTTAAATCATTAGGTATTGATTGTCGTTTATTTAATATTAAATTTCAGTTTTCTTTCATTTTCTTTGCTTTTGTGTACTGTAATGTATTTACTTATGTTATCTGTTTCATATATATTGTTCATCTATGTAATCTGTTTTGGCTTTGTTTTCTTTTATAATATTATGTATGTTAGCTGTAAGATTACTAATAAATAAATTAACAAAAATAATTATAATATTAGGAAATATGTATGCAATAGACAGAATATCCTTTATAAAGACTGGTTCTAAGAAGTGTTTTAAATTACGCTTGTCTGCTTCTGAGATATTGATGCCGTTGTGAATGGCTATGAAGGTCAAAGGATTTTGACTTTAAAAGCTTACAAACTTATATATTTTTATTATTTAGTAAACAGTTAAATACGAATTTTGAAAGGTCTGGTTGAAAATAAAAATAATTAAGATTATTTGAAATGTAATAATGCAAATATAATGTTCCTATCATCTGCGTGATTTGAAAATAATATTGTTGTTGTACGAGTCAACGCTGTACATTTTACTTGGGCCTTTGCTAGTTTTATAAGCTTGGCGATTTTCGAAATTGTTGGAGTTACGCCCCGAGAGTATATCCAGACGTAGGCACTCTCTTCGACTGTTACATTGCATTCATTCGTTTCTTAGCAATTAATTTCGCTTATATTCTATTGTTGTACGCGAGTGGTTAAGTAGAGTAAAAGTAAAATCCTCTATTATTTAAAGCACCCCGATGACCAAGGAACCGTACAGTTAGTTGTCTTGCCTTGTTTATAACCTTAGCGAACGAAAAATATGTGTTTTTTAACTCTGTTTTTTTACAATTAAAAAAATATTTGAAGTAATCATGTCATTAAAGTCAAATAAATCATGTTTTAATTGAACCGAACTGTCAGTTTTCAAATTTATTTTAAAAATTAACTTTTTCTTTAGAAAAGTAGGACCGATATTACATAAGAACAAATTTACGACTTATTTTCTATTGTCTAATAAAAAGTATAGCTTTATATGAGATGTATAATTTCAGTGCGCCACCCCGTGAAGGGGCAAACATCCATGGCCTATATATGGAAGGGGCTCGTTGGGACACAGCAACTGGTGGAATTGTAGAATCCCGCATGATGGAACTGTTCCCAATAGTGCCGGTGATATACATAAAGGCGGTAACACAGGACAAACAGGATACAAAGAACGTGTATGAGTGTCCTGTTTATAAGATCCGGTAAGTGTGCGACGTCATTAAAATAAATTATTTTAGTCGAGTACTTTTTTAGATTAGATAAAAAGAATTGAGAATGACGAAGACCCGAGCTGTAATGCATGTTCGGCTCTGTACTTCGAGAACAAACGTCTATGGTGAGAGAACGTTGAGGCTCTGACGACTCATTGGTCTAGTGGTACGTAGCCCTGACTGCGAATCCATGGGTCCCGGGTTCGATCCCCGGCTGAGACGAACATCGATGTGATTAGCATTTGGTGTTGTGCTTAGGTCTTGGGTGTTTAAATATGTATTTATATGTCTATCTATCTATAATATGTATGTATATCCGTTGCCTAGTACCCATAACACAAGCTTCACCAGCTTAGCATGGGACTAGGTCAATTGGTGTGAATTGTCTTTAAAAATATATTTGACTGCCCGGTCAGTTATTATATAGCCTAACTTTTAGATACATAAAAAACAAGTTGAAGAATTATTTTATATGCATTTGTCGGGCTCCTCACAAGACTGCTATTGTTACATTAATACTAACCACAGTTTTCAAAAACCTTGATTTAGATTGTATTATTCTGTAAAAAAATATATATTAAATTTACGAGATTTAAAATACCTACTTACAACTCATTAACTTACAGATTTAATATAGTGCAAACAGATATGCCGGCTATTCCTTTCAAAACTAAGTTTACTAACTTTTTTCTTAAGATGTTGAATATTAATAATATTCACCGAGTGAAACGTAACAGAATACAGCTTTTTTTTATTATTAAGAAATAAATGGTCTCGTATATATATAAAATAAATTTAAAATTTTGTTTTTTAACTATGACTTGTTTGAATGATACTTTCATTCCAGTATGCGTGGACCAACATTCGTGTGGACCTTTAATTTGAAGACCAAAGATAAGCCGACACGTTGGACGCTGGCCGGAGTTGCGCTCTTGCTAGGAGTTTAGTTATTTACTTTAATATGTGAATTTTATTTTTATTTACTATGTAATGTTTAGAAATAACATTTGATCTTATTATTTGTTTCATTATAATCTCTTAGGTGTGAATGCGCAGTGTTTGCCTAGTGGCTTCAGCGTGCGACTCTCATACCTGAGGTCGTAGGTTCGATCCCAGGCTGAGAACCAATGGACTTTCTTTCTATGTGCGCATTTAACATTTGTTCGAACGGTGAAGGAAAACATCGTGAGGAAGTCGACGGCGTGTGTCAGGCACTGAAGGCTGATCTGCCCGCCTATTAGATTTAAAAAATGGTACCTATTGGTAATATAATGGTATGGCTGTTTGGTAAAAACGTTAGGACTAAGTTTAAAAAAAAACTTATCAAAATACATCATTTATTCCACTAGATGAGTATTTAACTCTGGTGCTAACAACATTCTAAAAGTCGTTTTCAATACCCAAAAAGGTTGTTTTTGAAGGTAGCAGGGAATTGCATTTTTAAATATTTCACTTGTGTAGTTGCCGATTGCAGTTTTATCGATACATTTATGTAACATTAAATGTATATATATAGTGATTGAGGAAATTGTGATAATAAACCTCGAAGAATTTTGGATTTCCCCTACTTAATAATTGTCAGTGCGTCAGAAATCTGCACAGTTATAAATACTAAGTTCTATAGGTATCTTCCGTTTTGCAAGATTTATTATAGCCCTTGAGAATATCTTCTATCGGATATTACATAAAAACAATATACAGTTCCGGATAAATGCTGATAACAAGGAATAGTTACTATAAATAAATGATAACAAATGTATCATTGCAAGAATAAAATAGAACAGTGTTTTTTAAATTTAAGGACCGATCTGGTCAGTGGTCACCCAACTCTAAAAAAGTACATTGTTTCTTTCCATTTTTCGTCATCGTTTCTTGAAGCGAATGGAAAAAATATATGATGGATTTGAGTAGTTTATGTATCCATTTTGAAAGATCGGTACACGATTTAGATAACTTCGCTTTATAGAAAAAAATTCCAAACATAGCCAATTTTTGACACTTTGAATTCATTTTATGACGAAATGTATATAGATCATGATTTTGAAATTTACACGATATTTTTTATCGCATACCAAGTAATCCATTTCAGAAAAAAAAATGATAAAATTACATAAATTTAATGTTTTACGTAACTAATTGTTATTACGGGCCGGCGCGCCTCAGTGCTGCAGCTCTCCACTGCGCCCCGCAGTCCACCCCGAGACACTGACACACCAATTCGTGCTGGGATAGGGCCTTAAGAAGTATTGAAAACGACATACTATTTTGTGCCAAATTAAAGAATATCACAGGAAGACAAGTATATCTTTACGCAACGCCATGAAATATATAAATACGTTGAAATCTAAGCAATTAGAAAAATATGTTTGTGGACGATCGCCAGTCTATGATTGGGACAATAGAAATAAAATTCTGAGCTTGATTCAAAGAACGATCACAGTTTTCTATTGCTTTGTCAAAATGAACCTGAAAGAAAATGAAAATATTAAATCCGGACATTTAGCCACTTTGAGCAGTTTTCAGTTTAGTTGACTTCGGAGATGCGTTGTCATTGTCTGAAGGCGGTTCAGATCCTTTCACTGTAAATGTTACGTAGTATCGCTTATTTTTATCTAATTTTTCGGCTGGTAATGCTATCAGCTGCTTCTCGGTTCCATGCGACACTTCCAGGGTAACGTGTGCTTTGCCGGAGCTTGAGGAAGGTTTCGTGTGAATTTTTGGCAAAAAACCTTTGGACTTTGTCGCTGCATTAGCCGTGGCTGGTTTGGGCATGGTGTGGTGATTCCACTTGTGAGGAACTACAAGAACGATAACAAATACAATGTCGTCAATAAATTTGATATTAAACCATGTATAATAGAGGTTATAAGTACTTACTGTAAGCAGAACATGGAATACCAGTATAGGCATGTACAGCATGAAAGCACCGATGTGTTTTGCTTGTGCACAGGCATGGATTATCAGGTATAGCGCTCATCTTATACAACTCACTTTCTCCGTAATCAAAATCAATTGGTTTCTCTGGTAAATTATCCAAATGTTTTTTTCCACTTTTCTGGAATTTTCTTAGATTTTGATAAAGAAATTTTTCAAAACTACTAAAAGAGTATTCAGTGCTGATGTAGCTTCCCAACCCCACGTGTGCCAAACTTGACTTATTGTATTCGTCTATAGCCCGTTTTACCAAAACAGCTTCATTTGCTTTACTCGTTCTTATCTGCAATCGTTTAAGTTCCAATAAATGTTGAAATATTTTTCTCTCACAGTAGTACCTGAAAATTTAAAGTAAACCTTTATTTATACAAAAACAATTGCACGGAGTTTTAATTAATATACTGTATACACTACTTCTGCTATAAAAATTGGAAAAACTCACCTCCGCATATTGGTTTGTATTCTCTGTGTAACTGAACGCATATCCACTGCGTTTCTGTCTCCTGGTTTTCTTACGGGGATTTTGCTATCGGATTTCCCTTGCACTTTTCCGGCAGATTTTCTCTGTTGATAATAAGCGTTCAGTCTTGGGCTTATTATGCAACGTTGGATCGGTCTTGGACTCGGTTCAAACCCTGAATCCATCACACCACTGGATTCGTAGCCTCTTTCAGAATTTTCACTTTTAGATCGTATGGTAATACGACTTCGGGATCGTCCTTTTTTACGAAACCTTTTACGTTTGCCATTGGCTTCTGATTGGCTACAATAGATTTCATTGTCACTTACGCTAGGTATTCTTCCTAAGGAACCTTGTAACAGTTTTCCATGTATTTCTTCATCGTCATCAAAAAATGTTTCATCGATAGCAAACGATTTTTTCAAAATTCCTGGGCTTGACTCGACTACACCAGCAGTTTCAGATAATACTTTATAACTTTCTGTTTCATAAATACTGTTTCTTCTACTCCCAGTTTCTTCGTTTTTTGAAGGTTTATTTATTTTCGAAGATTGTTCAGAAAGAGATAAATTAAAATTGGTTTCTTCCGAGCCACTTGGTTCCACTGTTTGTTTTTTATTATTAGGAACCTCTTCAATTATAGATATTATCCCTTTATCGGCTACTGGAATATCCTCACCCCCACTTGTTTGTTTTAATTCCATACTTTTTTCATTTTCTGCTTCTGTTGACACATTAAGGCTATCATCTTGATCGAAAGATGTTTGATCCTTAGGTTGAGATTCTTGGTTTTTAATTAGTACGTCATCAACGTCTATTTTTATTATTTCATCCTTATTTGAAAACGAAACACTAGGCGAGCTTTTTTCTTCAGATTCTGGTTGTATACTTTTTTTATCCAAGAGTGAATCAGGTTTTTCTTGTGACATATCACTAGCCATAGATTTTTCAGGTCCTGACAATACTTGAAAAGACTTTTTATGAGTTATATCTTTAGATGCTTCATCTGCAGTTTCCACCGTTGGTGAATTCACACTATCCTTTGTTTCTGTGTCAGGTAAATTTTCTGTGCTTTTTTCATTAGAATTAGTTCCTAATACTTCGGTTCCATCTGCTGTCAAAGCTTCTTCATCCATACCTTTTTGTTCAGAATCAGATTTCTTTTGTTCAGGTAAAGTATTATCTAAGGATTCTTGATGTGTCTTATCAACTATATTGTTATGTTCTAGTTCAGTTTGATTTTCGTCTTTGTCCTTGATAGCAGTATGTGACACATTTAAGTTAGATGTTTCAATTGAAACGTTGTTAAGCGAATCAAGAGTTACTGTTAATTCCGAACTTCCATGCTGGCTTGATTCTCTTTCCATATGTATTTGTGCTTCAGTTGTAACCATATTCGTTTTCAGAGATACGGTATCGGTTTCAGTTTCACTGTATGTCTTACTTTTACTCGTTTGTAAGGTTTTGTTCATTTCAATATCAGTTGGTTCTAAAGGAACGTCAAATGTGACGCTTGGTTCAAAGTTTTCTGGCGATTTAATGCTTTGCTCAGTTCCTATTGCCTTGTACTTTACAATATTTACACTCTGTTTCTGTTCGTCGTTTTGAATATGAATTGATGTCTTTTTACCTTTTCGCTTTGTACTACGACGTTCACTTGATTCTGTGCTACTTTCAGAAGTGGATTGTGTTCTTTTTTTGTATCGTTTTTTATGTCGTTTATTTTTCTTTTTTTCTTCTTGACAACTAGATAGTTCTGATGAGTCATCAGAGCTAGATTTATATCTTCGGTGATGTCTCGAAGTAGATCGACTGCGTTTTGAAGGTTCACTTCTGGACCGGCTTTTCCGGGATCTAGTTCCTTTAGATGCTCTTTGTTTATGATGACCATGATGACAACATGCTTCTATTTCGGTATCATATCCATCACTAAAACTTTTTTGTTTATTTACAACTAATTTATTTCTTCGCTCTGAATATCTACCTACATGTTTGTTTCTTTTGTAACGATTGTCTAATGAACTATCCGAGTTAAAATCACTGTCGTTTCTAAATCTTCGCGTCTCTTGCAATGGACTAGTCACTTCTACAACTTCACGTTTCTCTATTCTTATTTTATCTCGCAAATCAATTTTGGTACTTGTTACACGCCGAGTAGGTAAACTAGAAATCGGAGTGTTATCGATGATAATCTGAGTATTTGGTAATTTTGAAGCAGGAAGGCCACCATGCATTTGTATATATTTTGCTGTAGACCGATGGCCACGTATGGTTGCACAGTCTAAAGGAGTTATAGGCTCGTTTTTCGAAGATCTTGCTACAAAATTAACCTCTGCTCCGCGATCTAATAATAACCTACAAAGATCTGCATTGTCTGTAGCCGCTGCAATGTGTAGAGGCGATCTGCCCTCATGATTTGTAGCATTAACTTGAGAAGGTCGACCGTCTAATAGCCATTTAACGAGTTCCCTACGACCAGATGCAACTGCTTCATGTAAAGGCAAGTCTCCTTTGGAATTACGTAGCCATAAGTTGGCACCTCGAGATCCTAAA